GTCTCTTTTCATGTCTCAAACCACGCTTTGATAGCACTTGTTGGGGATCACCACAGCTCTGATACCACTTGTTAAGCTAAAAAGCTTCAATCCAATCATACCAATAGAAGCATAATCAAATAATCAATCAAACACACAAGAGATAATAATTTAACTTGGTTCGGTCCAATCGACCTACGTCTATAGATGAGAAACAAGATTCACTAGTTGTAAAAAAATTACAAATATACATCAAAACATATCAACCACTCAACAATTAATACCATATACCTTCTTAATAGTTTTTAGACCTATAAAGTATTTTCAACTCAAAAAAACACAAACCCATGTACACCTTTTCAACACAAATAAATACATACCCATATGTACTCATTCATTATACCTATGTGGATAATCTCAATCTCCTCAAGTGCACTTATAAACATTCAAACATACACACCCATAAGACGTAAATCTTTAGTACTCTTATGGGGTGTCTATTTCACAAAATCCTATAACACTCTTACAACTTTTTTTCATACCTAATTCTGTAAATACTTCATCTATTTATAACTATACAAACTTACATATTAAAAATCTCTTTCTTCTTAAAATTTTTTTTCTGCAAGTTAAACTTACCTATTAGAAATTCTCTTTCTTTTAGAATTCTTCTTTTACAAGTCTTTTTATCCATCAAGCAATATCTAACAAATCCTAAGCAATTTTTTTATGAGATTTGAGTCATTATTCTTAACAAGCTCTACAATTTACTCTCAGCAGGTAAGATGATAAGTGGTGTTGTGGCTTTCATGAAAAAAAAAACTAATCTTGATCTTTTTCTGAATGATTGTATCCCGCAAGCATTGCATAGAATATTTCCTCCTCACTTACAATTAACTTTTTAAAGAAAACAAAAATCCACATGTCTAAACAAATAGATTGCTAAACAGATAATTGACTCATTTAGATTTCATTCAGATTGAAGCAAATCTACATATTGGTTAGCTAAAAATATTTTTAGGTTTATGTTTTTCTCTGGAACTGTAGACTTTAATTGTGTTGGTTGCTTGACCTTTTACCTTCTTTAGTCTCAATGAAATTATTAACTTTTTAAACTTAAAAAGAGAGATTTCATTAGAACATCAGACCATCTTTATGAAAGAAGATGGAGTATTGCAAAATATGAAGGAAATGCAAAGATTTTCTCATCCACGAAAATTTTTTCTATCATTTTTTTTTTTTTTGCATTTAAGATTCTGAATAAAATACAATGTCCTAGTTAAGATGGGTCAATCAGTTCAGAGTTTTTATAACGTACATCCAACAATTCGTGTCATCACGTTATGTTTTGTATCATACATAATATGAATAATTTTAATACAAATATGATATAAATATTTAAATAAAATAAATAATCTAAATATGGATATGACATATTTATTATATGTTATAAATTATATGATATTATTAATACGTTTAAAATTAATTTGTTTAACATAATCCGAGTAATACCATATGATACGATTAACACAATTACATATGATTAATAAATTTATTTATTTTAAAAAATAATTTAAATTAGTATTTAAATAAAAAATTATTTAAAAATTAAATATTTATAATCTATTTAAACACCAAAATGATATAATAAATACGATTATTAATTTATTTAAGAAATAAATTAAAATAATTTTTATAATTTATATGTTATATATGCTTGCATGAATAATATCGTATTTTAAATGTTTTATCACTGTTTCACTCAAATACGATAATTATAATAACATATCTTAATTATATTGATACAATTAAAATAAAGAACCTCATCCATCATACTTGGCGATTCGTTGTTCACTGACCATATCTTTCCTATGAATAAAAGACTTGACAACTAAAACAAACGTAATTTCAATATGGATTCAGCCATCTGTCGAAGGCTTTTTCACCAGGAGTGTGTCGGTATGAGTGAACGAGCCTAAAGCTATAGCTAGGATTATGGATAATTCAAACAAGATTGATCCTAAAAATTTTGGATCGTAAATCGATTCATCACCTTTTAAGATTGTGGATCACTCATACATATTCGATCTGACGTGATTTAGGATTGATTTTAAATTTTAAAATTTTAAAAAATATATATTTTTTAAGGGATTAATATCATAAATAAAAATTATAATCACGTAATTTATATTTAAAAAACCATATTCTAAGTCATATTAAATTAAATATTATTTTTTTCAATCCCTTTTTTTTTTGGAATGTATTAAAAGTTTGTTTTATTTTGTTTTGGATATCAAAAAATGCCTTCAATAATCCTCTTTGCAAGTGTGACCTTTTTTTAAAGTAAACGCCGCTGTCGTGATGAAATAGCGTGGCTAAAATTTTTTTTCAAAATTGAAACCCCCTCTTTCTCCTCTATAATTTCCTTTCTTTCCCCAACTTTTTTCTTGGAAGAGAATAGTGAGAAAGAAAATTCAAATAAAAAAGATTGACAACGTAGCAACGAGGTAGGTGACTTTCTTAAAAAAGAGAAAGGACTTTTCAAGAAAGCTCATGAGCTTTTCACTCTTTGCGATACTGAGATAGCTCTTATAGTCTTTTTAGCCACTAGAAAGCTCTTTGAGTACTCAGCACAAGGTTGCTCTCACTTATCTCATATCTATTTTTGAATGTTTTACCTTGATTCTTGCTTTATCTTTACTGGTTTAATATAAAAATCTTTGCTTGCTATTTGATTTAATGTGTTACATGTGCTTGGGTGAGTGTGAGAGGAAGCGAGAAACGTAATTATTTTAAAAGAAGATTTTTCGAATTAAGAGAACTATATAAAAGTATAAATTCATGATAATGTACTTGAATCTTTTATTCTATTACAAAAAGAACTTATTTTAATAATTTGTCAAAAGTTTAGGGGTTTTGAAGTGGGAGGCCATGATTTCACATGAATGTCTGTATGATATTTGTTGATGCTTGTTCATACTTTTTTGAACCTTGTTTAAGCCATATTTTATGACTAGTCAGTTGTCTTATAAGAAGTTTATGCTTTCTATATATCTTTGCTGGTGCAACTTAGAGCACAACATTGATATTTTACCTTTCATTTTTCTTGTTAGAACATAATCTATTATCATTTTCAGTTTTCTTAATTTAAAATTGTAAATCTTGTTACAATTTTAAGTTTCCTACACTATTTTTGAATGTTCTTTAAGGTTTTCATAATGAAATTGACAAATTCTCATGATTTTCTTTTCAAATTCTGTAAAATTCATGTTGAACTCAAATCTAGTTTCAAAACTGCGCACCTGACCTATCTTCAATCTTTTGATCAAAACTCAGTGAATTCTAGCTTGATTTACTTCAAATTTTTTTCCCTAGATTTGTAGTTCTTAAGGTATAATCCAGTAAAAATTCAGCCTCAAATTCCATTTGTACAAGTACAGTTAATTCTTCAAAGTTAAGGGTGAATCTAGAAGGCAGAAACAATCCATGTATGGGAACTTGATGAATGATGATCCTCTCTCATTTTTGGTGTTCGATTTGATTCTCTCATAATTTACATTCTTAGTTTTACATGTTTAATTGTTATTTTTTAATTTATTGCATTTATTTTTATGAATTTATTTGGTGTTTGGATAGATTTAATTGTTAATGCTCTATTTTTCTTTGTTTTCAGTATCACTTGAGTTACTAGTTTATTAAGCTGGTTTTTCTCTATTTTGCTGCCATTTTCTTGTTGAACTTTGTAGCAAACTTGATTGATGAATTGTTTCTTAGCTCATATCAAGTTCATTTTCATTATAAGCTTGTAGACCTAATTTTTTCTTTCATCAACTCAATGAGTTTCAGTTAAATTTCACTTTATATTTCAGTGTTTTCTAGTTAATTCTTGTATTTTCTTGCATTTTTTGTTCTTCAAATCAATTTTCCTTCTGGTTCTTTAATTGATCTTTTCAATGCCAATTTATGATCACTTGTTTTAGCATCAATTAGGTGTAGATCAATGAGATCTTGTATATCTTCCTTGATTTTATCTTGTATTACAAATTTTATGCTACTTTTTATAGCTTACCCAATGACATTTTTCAATCAGGATAGAACATGAAGTTGTGGAGAAGATAAATGAAATGTACTGTGATGCAATTCTAACAATATATTTTGAGGTTCCTGGAGAAATGTTCTCTTTAGCAATGGAAGCCAAGAGGAGGAATAGGCGTTATAGGTTCCACTCAAAGCAAGTGCGACTCCTTTTATGGAGTCCGTTGATGGGCAAGAGAAAAACAAATGCAAAGTGGAATGTTATTACATATATTAAACTTTGTGTTACATGCATATTGGAATAAATTATGTATTTAGATATTTAAATATTTATAATATTCAGTTTATGAATTTAAATTCATTTTTATTTTTTTTAACAATTTTTATTTAATTATAATAATAAATATTAAAAAAAATTAAAAAAAAAGTAAAATTTTTTATTTAGTGGCGTTTGTATTTAAAAATGCCATTAAATGTTGAATTTAGTGACGTTTGTATCAGAAAACGTTGTTAAATTTAATGGTGTTTTTAAACACAAACGTCGTTAAATTTAGCGACTTTTTTTATGCAAATGCTACTAAATTCATAATTTAACGGTGTTTTTTAGTACAAACGTCGCTAAATTTAGGACGTTTGTATAAAAAAATATCGCTAAATTTAGTGACATTTGTATCAGAAAATACCGCTAAATTTAATGACGTTTGTGCTTAAAAATATTTTTTTATTTATTGTTTAAAAATGATACGCGATAGACACATCATTATCACATAACAATCACATATTACTCACATCAACAATAATCTAATAGTATTAAGGAATTAAAGACAACTTAATATGTGAAATTAAAGTTTAGATATAAAGAGATTATTTTAATTTAAGTATCATATTAAAAAAAATTATAATATCATATGAGATATTATTTATTTCTTAACAAATAATATATTCATTAATTTCTAATATTCAACATCGGCCCGGTTCAGCGAAACAGCCGGTTCACGTGGCCCTATAAAAGCGTAAATTTTAAGGGCTTCGGCTTTTACCACTTACATCCTCTCTGTCTAGGGTTTCCGTGGAAGTCTCCTTCTAGCCTTAAAAGGTACCTCTTTTTCGATTGATTCTTTTTATTTCCATTTTTCTTCAAAATATTATGCTAATTTTCATCATCTTATCAATATTTTTGTAAATAAGCTGAATAAGAAAACCCCCAAATTATGGGGTTTTATTTTAATCTTTCTGAATTCTTTGATGTTAATGTAGTGTAACTAATTAGGCATTAGATGTTAAATAGATGCTGAATTATTTCCTGATTATTTTAAAAAATTTCTTTTTTTTTGTCAATTTGTAATGTTTATGTAGATGCGGAAGAAAAAGGAAAGAACTTTTAATGAGCCCCATTCGACAGTTGATTTAAAATCAATGATTCATGAAAATGCTTTGTTCTTTGACAAATTGGTTGAGTTAATCCCTGCAAGGTTTTATCTACCGGATGAAAAAGATAAAGCTTGGTTTCAGGGTCTTAGCAAGGCCGAAAAGGCGTCTGCTAAGAAACAATCTAGAGAAAACATTAAGAAAGCTAGGAGAGATAGGTTAGATCCCGAGAAGTCGTCAAAAACGACTCTTGATTTGTTGAAAGAGAATTTGGAAAAGGAGAAATTGAATCAGGAGAGTGACGATGAGGAAATTGAGGTTAGGCCTATGATGTCTGATTTAGATGGTGGTGAGGAACGGTCGGTTACTTATGAAGAACTTCGGCAAAGGCTTCATAGGAAAATCGAAGAGCTTCGTGGTGGAAGAAATAATGTTGGTTCACATAAAGGGAAGAAGAAAAACGAGAGGAATGATAAGAAGGGTAATGTTCAAAAGAAGCGAAAGAGGGATAACGGAGCTGAAGAAAAGAAAGGTGCTACTAGTAATGATATGGAGAAAGTAGAGAAGGATGTGGAAGAGGCTGCAAAGGAACTTACTTTTAGTCATGTTAAACTTGGGGATGAGGAAAAACATGGGAAGAAGAAGAGAAAACTTTCAACGCTCAAGGAGCTTGAAAATGCAATGAAATTAGAAGAAGCTAGGAAAGATCCTGAGAGAGGTGAGGTTATCGCGAAGAAGCATTCATGGAAGGCAGCGATGGACAGAGCTGCAGGAATTAAGGTTCATGATGATCCAAAGTTGTTGAAACAAAGTATACAGAAGGAGAGGAAGAGGCATCAGAAGAATGTTGAGAAGTGGAATGAAAGAGTTGAAACTACGGAGAAGTTGAAAGCAGAGAAACAACAGAAGAGATCGGAGAATATAGCAGATAAGATTCACCAGAAGAAGATGCGGCGGATTGCAAAGAGGGAGAAGAAGCTGTTGCGACCAGGGTTTGAAGGTCGGAAGGAGGGTTTCATTAATGAAGGCTCAACCTAAGGTTGGTTTCTTTTAATTTTTCCATAGCCTGTGGCTTGGATATGTCTGTTTCTTGTTGATAGGGTTGTCATTAACATCATATATCTGTTACTACTTCTCCTTTCCCTTCCTTTTTCCACCTAGAGAAAGTGGATGAATGTTATTTAAGAACTGAATTTGGATTAATATAACACAAAATGTTTGGTTCTGATTGTTTATGGCCTCATTTGTGCCCTTTGACAATAATCTCCTACAAGCTTCAGCTTACATTATAATCTCAATTTGTAGCGATGCTAAAATGACTATATATTATTGTAACAAATGAAAAAACTAACATTTGCTAATCGTTTGAATGTTTCATTTAGTCATATTGATAAAAGAAACTGTTGCAAGATTGGATCAATGTGGAATAGTATGCTTCTTACTCTCACTAGTCCATAAATCTTGGAAAAACAAGAACAAAAAATTGTTATTGCTGGCATATTGTTGACAACCTTGGCTTATTCCCTAGGTGGTTGAGGCATTTGCCTTCTATTGAAAGGCATCATGTGGTTATTGTGAAAATGAAAAGAGTGCTAATAGATAATCAAGAAAACCATTACCATTACATTCTTTTAATTGGATCTAAATTCTCTGTTAGATTCTTTTTAACTCCCATGAACATCCTGAATTATTCTGGATAGACATGCTTTAACTCTCTTTGTTTGTCACCAATCTTCCAAAATAGTTGATTTTTTTTTATAATCTGGAATATATATTTTTTCTTGTTTCATAGGTGAGATCTTTGGCATGTAATTTGGGCATTCAAAAAGAAGAAGTTGAAGTGTGGAATTGGAAGGGATTATCCCAATTTCACCCTTAAAATGGCTCTTTTTAACTTCTGTTTCTAAACATAGAACTTTTAAAACTTGCAGAAAGGAGCAACTAGTTTTCTATTGCAACTTGATTTCTGTAATCCAGGTAAAAATATCTTAGGCTAATATTCTTTGATGAGTCACTCTTCTGATCAAGTCTAACAATTGATGATGTTTAATGTGAAAAAAAAAAAAAAAAAAAACTTATTTATTTGGTTAATTTTGTTGAAAATTTAAAGCCATTGAAATAATAAAATCTCCAACTAACCATTTAAACAACCAAACCACGCAATATGTACAACACCAGATATGCTGCAAATCCATATCCACGTGCATTATAGGAACATGAAAAGATCACTCACCCTACTTACAAAGTACATGTAATTAGAAGGTTATGTCCAAATTGAACTGATTTAATTTCAAATCAACAAAATAGTTACATTTTTATCTAGTCAAATTATGCCCCTTCAAGCCCTCTACCCTCCCCCTATCCTCCGCCTTCATTGCGAGAGGCTCATCTTCAGGTGCACAAATGCAATAACTGGAATTTTTTTTTTACACGTATTAGCATCTTATTGGATGTTTATATCATGTCAACAAGTTTATTGATAACGTTAGTTTTAAGTACCTAAAATAAATGATGAAATGAAAATTGTAATACTAAACTGATAATTTTGTTTCTTAAAATATCAAATTAATCAAAAATGCATAATATAAGGATAATTTTTGTATCTAACTCTTTTAATTTTAAATTTTCTTTTATACAACTTCTTTATTTGATATGTGATATTAAATATTAAATAATTATATTATATTTTTATTTTTTATTAATTGTTTGTTTTATCACTTAAACAAGTAATAATAATAAATAATAGATATTTGATATTAATTTCTCATAATTAATAATTATTATACATTATTTTACAAGCTTAATTTGATATTGTATTATATTTTATAAAAATTATATTAAATCTTTTCTTTCACTTTTCTCTTTTTAATCAAATAATAATAGTTAATTTCTTTTTACAAATTTTCTTTCATTTAATGGTTTATTTATTTTTTAACAGTTATATAGTTTATTAATAAAAATGTTGAATTCTTAATTTTAGTGATTAGGATTTGACTTTTGTCAACTTAATCATAAGGAAAAAAATTATTTGTCAATGGATTTAGTTGAATTGATAAGGATTGAATAATTTGTTTGTAGGGTATAAATTAAATTTTCATTTCTAATAATTTATATTGATAGATGATATGTAAATTTAATATAAGTTATTATTAGGATTTATGATATGCCTTATCTCTTAAATGAAATAGCTTTTAAAAGTATCAATCAAATAAAACTTAATTTGACAAAATAAATTAGTATAAGTCAAATACTTTTAAAAATATCGAACATATTCTAATTTAATAATTTAGTTTTTATTAAAAATTTTAAAAAACAATGTTAAATTAACATTAACAGTAGTCTTTTGAGATAGAGTTTGGAATGATATGATCATTTTAAAAATCATGATAATTAAATTATTATATTTAATAAATATTTGATAATTTTATGTGAGAGTGGTATTGAATCACTGTTTTGAAAGATATTTTATTTTTTATGCAAAAGGTTAAAAAACTTTTATTATTGAAGAAAAATAATATATAAAATTAACAATTTTTAATTTTAACCATTTAATATAATGAATTATAAATTTTGTTGTATCTTAAAATTATAATTATTTTATATTTTTAAATTAATATTCATTAAATAAGTTTAAAAAATAATTTACATATTTTTTAATATTTTCTATATAATATATTTTTTTTTTTTATTATAATTATATATTGGTTTTTTTTCTAATTTAAATATTTTTCACATAATTTATATTATAAAATAAATTTATCTATCAATAAATCTACTTATTAATTTTAATAATTTAATAATATTTTATTATTAAATAAATACATAATACTAATAATTTATAAATTATTATCTTTAAACAATCATAAAATTGTAAATTTATGTAATTATTATAATATACATAATTATTTTTATACTTTTAAATAAAATAATATTTGATTTTTAATAATACTAAATATAATAATCTTTAATTTTAAAAAATTAATCATTATTAATCAAATAAAATGATTTCAAATTATAAGTGTTAAGGTTATTTTAATAATAAAATTATCCAATAATTATATTACTATCTTGTAATAGATACCAAATGTTACTTAAAGAGTGGGATGCTTTAAAGACGCTTATGTATGCTGGATTTGAAAAGGTCCAAGTTTTTATATTACATTATCTGCGCTGGGTGGTTTATAAATCATTCTGTGCACATCTGGCTTCGGCTTTAGGCAATTTCAATGCTAAACAATTAAAAAATATAATTTTTTTATTTAAAAACCTGATTTACAAAACCAAAAAAAAAAAAAAAAAAAATCCTCAAAAGTGTTTTTGCAATAAAAAAAAAAGGTTTGGAATAAAAAATTGTCATATTATTCTATATTTTTTAAAATATTTTAATTATTCACAATATCTTTCTTATCACATTTTTTAAATACACTTTTCAAAATCCGAATTTTTTTAATTGCAATAGTAATGTGAAATTTCTACTAAAATTTTTTTTCATATTCTATAAAATTTAACATTTTCTTTCTTTCCAATTTTCACTAAGCATAAAGTAAAAAAAAAAAAAAGTAAAAACCTAACCACAAATCTTTTGGCTTTTGCAACTTAAAATTTTCTTCCATTATTATAGTCTCTCTTTTTGTTGCTTTCAACAATAAGTTTGATTTTATATTTTTTTAATTTTAATTTTTCTTTTATACAATTTGTTTGTTTGATGTGTGATAATGAATATTAAATAAATATATTATATTATTTTTTTGAACTATTAGTTTTATCAGTTGAAGTAGTAATAATAAATAATAAATAATAAATAATTTGATTGATATTATTTTTTATTTTTACATTATATAAAAAAATTTTAAAAAGATATTAATCTTTTATAATTAATAATTATTATACATTATTTATTGCGTAATTTGATATTTAAAAAATAAGTTTAATTTGATATTATATTTTATAAAAATTATGATAAATCTTTTTTTTTACCATTTTTTTTCATAATAATAGTTAAAATTACTTCTTTTTTTTTTTTTACAAATTTCCCTACCATTTTTTTTTTTTCGTTTTATTACAATCTATCCAAACATATCTAGGTGCGCCCAAGGCGCATCTGGACGTGAACTCTAGCAAAAAACGTTTTTTCTTACATAAGGAAAAATATTTATCTGTTTCTTTCTTTCTCCTCCCCATTCCTCCCGACTATGGAAAAAAACCCTTAACTAATTTCTTTCACATTCGTCTTTAAACTTAAATAACGGCCAAATGGGTTCTTTTGTACCTTTCCAAGACCTCAATTTCTCCCCAGAACCACCCCAAACCACCAGCGTCACCACCTCTTCCACCGTGACAGCCAACAGCACCACCACCACGATCAATTTCTTGATACCCAAAATTGAACCAAAGCAAGAACCTTTTGATGAACCAGCACCAACCCAGACCTCTTACCAACAGGAGAACCTACACTTTTCTCTTTCCAGTTCTACCCTTGACTTCCTTTCTAATCCCGAAACTACCCCTCTGTCTAACGGTTCCTCTTCCACGGATGACCAAAACGCCCTCTATTCTGAATACTTCAGAGTCTCCCAACTCTTCCGCTCCGCTTTCGCCAAAAGATTACAAAAATACGGCAACGTCGAAGTCCTTGACCCGGATTCGCAGGCTATTGTAACCTCCGAGACCACCTCAACCAACACCTCCAACCCTGACCAAGCTCTCTCCGTCGTCGTTTCACGTCGCAGGGCCGGAAGATCCAATGAGCTGGTTCGGGTGACTAATTTGGGAATTGAAGACGAGAGGCATTTTCGGGATGCTGTCCGAAGAACCCGAATGATGTATGATTCTCTCCGCATTTTGGTCATTGTAGAGGAAGAAAAGAGGATGGGACCGGGGAATGGGAGACGGGCACGTGGCGATTTGAGGGCAGCCGCGGTGCTGAGGGATCGAGGGCTGTGGTTGAATCGTGATAAAAGAATTGTGGGTGCAATCCCAGGTATTGAAATTGGTGACTTATTCTTTTTCAGAATGGAGCTTTGTGTGATGGGGTTACATGGACAAGTCCAAGCCGGGATCGATTACTTGCCTGGGAGCCAGAGCTCGAATGGAGAGCCAATTGCCACCAGCATTATTGTTTCTGGTGGATACGAGGATGATCAAGATGCTGGTGACTCGATAATATATACTGGTCATGGTGGACAAGATAAGTTTTCACGGCAATGTATGCATCAGAAGCTTGAAGGAGGGAACTTGGCACTAGAAAGGAGTATGCATTATGGAATTGAGGTAAGAGTGATTAGAGGGATTAAATATGAGAATAGAGTTTCAAGTAAAGTTTATGTTTATGATGGTTTATATAAGATTCATGATTGTTGGTTTGATGTGGGGAAGTCAGGTTTCGGGGTTTATAAGTATAGGTTGTTGAGAATTGATGGGCAACCTGAGATGGGTAGTTCGATAATGAGGTTTGCTGAGAGTCTTAGAACTAGGCCTTTGTCTGCTAGGCCAGTGGGGTATTTGACTCTTGATATTTCCATGAAAAAGGAGAAAGTTCCAGTTTTTCTGTATAATGATCTTGATAGTGATCATGATCCTATGTATTATGATTATCTCGTGAACACTGTGTTTCCCCCATATTCGTTTAGTCAGGGGAGTAATGGTACTGGATGTGAGTGTGTTTCAGGGTGCACGGAAGGGTGCTTTTGTGCTATGAAGAATGGGGGTGATTTTGCCTATGATCATAATGGTTTGCTCTTGAGAGGGAAACCACTGATATTTGAATGTGGGAATTTCTGTCAATGCCCACCTACTTGTCGGAACCGTGTTTCACAACATGGTTTGAGAAATAGATTGGAAATATTTAGGTCAAGGGAAACAGGTTGGGGAGTTAGGTCCTTGGACTTGATACAAGCAGGTGCTTTCATATGTGAATATACAGGGGTAGTTCTCACTAGGGAGCAAGCTCAAGTTTTCACAATGAATGGTGATACTTTAATTTATCCCAGTCGCTTTTCTGAAAGATGGGCAGAATGGGGAGATTTGTCTAAGATATTTGCAGAATATGTGCGGCCATCATATCCCTCAATTCCACCTTTGGATTTTGCAATGGATGTATCAAGGATGAGGAATGTTGCTTGTTATATGAGCCATAGTTCCAGTCCCAATGTCTTGGTGCAGTATGTGTTGTATGATCACAATAACTTGATGTTCCCTCACCTTATGCTTTTTGCATTGGAGAATATCCCTCCTATGAGAGAGCTTAGTATTGACTATGGTGTGGCTGATGAATGGACTGGGAAGCTCTCTATCTGTAGCTAAATAGTTTAGAGGAGATTTTTGGATTTTGATGTGGTGCAGCAGGGCAGTGAGACATGATGCTATGAGGTGAGCTTACTTTTAGCTGCTGCAAGCATTTCCAGTCATACATAAGTTTTAAAATCATATTAGTTTTTGGTATAGCCGTCTTATGTTTAAATATTGCTTTTGATTTATGTCTCTCATAATTTGTTGTAGTATAGTTGTCTGCCCTATTACCTGATTGTATAGGAGAATTATTCCTCATTTCCTTGTGCAGCTTCATGCTGTACACATCAAGTAGTCATCCATATACAGGAGGATGGAACATTTAACATTTCCACAGTGCTCGATGGACCTTATTCCCTTGCAGTTGCTTATCTAAGTACATGCTTTGTTTTCTGCAGTGCAGTGTACTTCTTAATGTAATATATGTATGTAGTCTACTATTCTGAATGGTTAGATGGTAATTGTTTCCCACATCTATTTTGTTATGCCTGTCTAAATCTACTTTTTGTGTCTGGCCGAGTTCTATCAAATGATTGTTTTTAAACCTTCTTGCTCATATTAAGAGTCAAGGGAAGAAAGGCATAAAGTTTTTATCGGTTATTTCATTATTGTATATTTCCTTGATCTAGCTGAATCAATTTAAGATTGACTGATTCTGCTGTTTTTATAGTCTTTTTTTTGTTCAGTTGTTGGATTCTTTTTCTTTGAGGGAGGGATGGAGGAAATAAGTGGTGTTTCATAGGTCCTTCAGTTTTACAAGTAAGAGTTTGTGAGAAATTGGTTAGTCATATAGAAGGAAGGAACTGGATTTTAGCAGAAGGTGGGTGGCCATGTACATTACGCAGTTAAAAACCTTACTCCAGCATGTATTCGTAAAACTTAAATTATAATAAATGTTAAATACCTGGTACTGCTTATTAGATACAGGGTTTTATGCAACTACCTTCTTTGCTTTGAAGAAGACCAATGACAAGGTGCTATTATTAGTTTGTTTTGAATCCTTGTCATATTTAAGGATTCTCAGCAAAGTGATTCATAGATCAGGACAAACCTTTATTATATCTCCATGGGAATAAAAAACCTTAGACTTGTATCTCATATTCATCATAAAATATCAATTTAACACTTTTGATTTGTTTCAATAACTGGATGATATATGAACAACAATTTACTTGATAACAATATGCTTCAAAAGTGATTGATAGGTGGTTTTACCATTACTCTTGCTGTTTTAATGACTTAAAAGGTCATTAAAGCTAGTTAAGCTCTAAGGTTCTCTAAATCTAGTGGAATGTGAAAGATTAATCATATTTTCTGTTGGATGTGGTGTGGCAGTCATTATAATCAAATGCTGTGAGCTTAAAGCTGGCTCTGTTGAATAATGAAAGGCTAAGATAGTTTTATCAGTGAATGCCATGGAACATTTAGTTTTGGATGTGAAGTAGCTTTGGTAATTAAGAGACTGTAAAAGGAGGCTGGGAAAGACTGAGTTGATATGGATGGAATTAGTGATTGGATGATTTGAACACTCAGCCTGTTTGCTGCTTATGTTACTGTATTTTTTTCCATTTTTGTCATATATGCTTTGCATATAACAGAAATAAACACCATGTCAAATGGTTGATGGTTTCTGGCATGGTAATATACCTAAGTTTATTGCTATAAGATATTTGTATGTTTGAGTCGATCAAGATGAAAGCAATGTGGGAATATTGATGGATGTTGAATAAGGTTGACATTGATGGGATCCGTATTGGATGTCATAAATGCTAAATATTTGATCTAAAAAGTTATTGCTATATTATATAATATACATATGCGAAGATAAGGGACAGATCATGTGCTTATATTTGGATCTTTTCACCTGTTCTAAGTTGATGCGATAATTAGTCTCGCACTGACAAAATAATTGTCTTTATCCATAGGATTTTATCCTTCAACAATGGTGAAAATTGACTGTCTTTAGTCTTGGAGGATTTGAAAATGTATAGTAGCTGAGATTTGTGCTGGTGCATATTGTATTTCTATGGGAACTAGGTAAATTCGTTGGATTTATTATGTTGAATGTTGAAAGAAAAGCTACAACCATCTAAAGTAAAAATAGATCAGTTCCATAAAGGTTTTAATTAAATTTGTAGGTATCGTGCTTCTTTCAGAATATGGGTACGTTCATAAAACCATGAAGTCTTATTAGTTCATTATTCAATGGCTTATACTTTCATCGTTTGGAGGAAGGGATAATATTGTGCTTCTTTCTGTGTTATGCTTCTTTGATAGGTTGGAGGATAATGTCTTCATTGGAGGTTTCTTCTCTTCGTTGGAATTGTTAAAAAATTTTATTGTTTTTGATAACTTTTTATTAATATATTGGATGTGTTGGTGCCCTGGTGATTAAGCCTTATGGTACTTGTCTCATGTCTGATAATGTTTTTTCATATTCTATAGTGCGCTGTTCCCGTAGAAATTTTAGACTATTTGAAGATGATTGTTTTGTCTTGGAAGAATTCAACATTTTAATTATATGGGAAGGTGATTGTATTGCACCTTGAACAAATTACACATGTTCTGTTACTTTGGAAGGTGATCGATCATAAAATGTATGATACCTGAGGTCTGGAAGAATGTAATGGGAAATATTCCATATTTGTTTCTTCCCTTTTTTAGTTGAAAAATGATAAAGTTCATACCATATAGCATGGATTACCGTCAGCTAATCCATTATGTGAAGGATTCACATCAAATGGCCTATCTAGGAAAGTATAAGTTGGTTTTTTTTAGTATCCTTTTATGTAGTTCTTTGCTCTTAATCTTTGGCTTGATAATGTGGATATGTTTGTTTATTTGGTTCTGATGCTGCAAGATTGTGGGCTTGAAAATATTTTTTTTACTTAGTTCTTTTATTCATGCCAAGAATACGAACAAAAGAGTGAAAACACTTTTTCAATAGTCTGCTGCCATCATAATACACTGCTAAATTTGTTGTAACCTTGTTATCATATTAAGTTATTATTTATCTCTAGTTGCTCACTTCAATGATTTTCTGCAGGTTTTTACAACTGGTTCTTTGAATTTTTTGGTCCTCATCATTCTCTTTGATTGCTGCAAATATGACAATGGGATCAAATAAGATTTGGCCAATCTGCTGTCATGATTTTACGGATATATTTCTTGCATTAGTTCCCCAGCAGTTAGAAAAGAGGGAAATTGCTGAAAGGAATTTTGGGAGACTATTGTTGCTGCTGCAGCGTTTTACTGAAGCCCTTTCATCCATGGATTTCCCCAGGGAATAGTCACCGTATGCATTTGTAAGCTTGTACTCACGACTCAAAACTCTTATTAACTTGTTCTTTCAAAAGTTTTCCTCTCGACCCATTGTATATATGAGGTCCAAAATGGACATTGTTGTACAGGAATTGTATCACTGTATTTGTAGGTGAATGAAGAAAGTCCATGTAATCTCCAATGTATCTTTTCTTTTTACCCTTCCCATATCGGTTGAATTGGAGACTTAGGGCAAGAAAATTTGTTTTCAGGTTAAGCCATTGGCAAAGTAATGCCAGTCGCTAGCTTGTTGATGTATCTGCTACTCTTATTATTTTTTTATTACAGTTAATTGTAATAGGTTTTTTTTTTTTTTCCTTCAAAAAGGTTCCATCATTTTCAGCACATGGGGCTGTGGGTGCCCTCATTTTTTTTTTACTGTTACATCGGGAGTTCTCTCATCACGCATTCAAATGGATTCATATTTACAACCACGGAACGTGACACACAGATTGATAAATAGATTGGTGAGTGCAGAGAAAAAGCTCAAGAAAATTGGTTGTGTCCATCTCACTAGTTTGATAACATTCTGGTCATGTAAAGAACCCAAAAGGTATGAATAAATGTGGAGCAAGCATTATCATAGTGGATGATAGGGTGCTTCTTTGTATGGTTAGTAAGGTGCATTTTTGTTTGATTACAACAAATGATTTGAATTTAAAATAATTGAAATTTAATTGAATAGTAAATTAACTCTCAATTTTTTAATAACTCGAGCTTAAAATTAAAATACAAATTTGATTGCTAATTTTATAAAAACTCAGAAATTAAACATGAAAATGATAGTATAATTTAAATTCGATTAGATCTAAACTTTGAACAATTAAAAATTATTTTACGTAATCCATTTTGAATTTGTGAATTACTGTTAGGTTTCGTTTGTTTTACAAAAAATGATTTTTAAAAAATTACTTTTGAAAAAGAGTTTCTATTATTTGAATGAATTAATAAAAAATATATTATTTGAATGAATTAATAAAAAATATTTTTCGTTATTTGCTTATTTTTGAAATTTTTTTTTTCAAATAATATTAATATAATTATTAAAATATTAAAAATTATTTATTATTAAAATATATTAAAATTATTTATTATTAAAATTATTAATATTAAAAAATAATTATATTTTAGTAAAAATATTTAATATGAAAATATTATGTTAATATAAAAAATACTTAAAATAAAATGATTTATTATTCTTTATATTATTTATTAATATATGATTTATTAATATAATATTATTCATTTATTAATATATTATTTTTTCAATAATAAAAAATGCGAAAATCAGTTTTTAAAAATTATTTTTTGCAAAATAAACAAAGCCTTAATATTATCAAAATTTGTAGGATAATAATTCAAAAACTTTCCAAAATTATGAACATTAGTAAATGTATCATTCACATTAACAAATTTTTTTGGAAGATTAACAAATTTTTAATATTAAAAAAAAAGGTTAAAAGAAGCTATAAAAAGGCTGGGCGGTTTCATTCCAAAGACAACAAAGCGGAAAATGAAAACGCTGCCGTTTAAGTGAAGTGGTCTGTGGACTCTCTGTTTCTCCAAAGGAACTTCCCCTTACTCTCAGCCTGAGATCCAACCTCGCAAGAATTTTCCATTCCATTTTCCCATCAAACAAGCAGACGAGGAAACTTAAGTCGAATAAAAAAATAAAAAAGAAAATGGACAAGGTGGTGGAAGAAGTGGAGAAGACAAAGAAAGAGTGGGACGAAGCCTATGCTAAGACCCAAGAACATATAAAGGAGATCCAGGAATATGGGAAATCAACAATTGAGGAAACTAAGAACAAAAATTCTTTGCCCAGATTGAATGGGTTGGCTCAGGATGGTTTGGCTCTGCTTAATTCATTGCAGTTTAATCTTGATCTTCTCGCCCCACAGCTTCCTACCGATGAAGAGGTTCAGTCTGCTAAAGCTTTGCTGGAAGCTTGGACAAGTCAACGCCAAAGGTAAATTCAAACCCCCCTCTTTTCTTCTCTGTTGAATTGAAAATTTTGAGTTTTTTCAAGCAAAGATGTAAACCTTTTGGTTATTTGCTTTTGGGTTTTTAATTCTTGTTTTAAAAGATTCAAACTTTTAATTCCAATGTTAGTGGTTTTGTTACCATTTTCAATTGCATTTAAATGTTCTGATAGGAATTAATTGTTATCTCTGTGATTAGTTTGAGATTGAGTCTGAGGAATGCGAATTTGCAAGCAAAGGATAATATGAGGAAAACTGCTCAGAAAGAGGTAGAAGAATTTCTTTTACTAAGATAGAGTTTTTTTTTTTTTTTTTGCTCCAATTTAGCATTTTTTAGTCACTATTATAAACTGATAGAAATAGGCCCTTGGTTTAGAACATCCTTTTTGTTTGTGACAGTATCTGAAAATGGTTACCTTTCCATACAAAGTTTGATAGATGTGTTGCCAATTACATCATGAACTTTCCCTTTTTTTTTCTTTTTTTCTTTTGGTTTTTTTAAGGAGAGATCAAGTTATGGATTTGATTTTATATTTATGCATGTTTTGTAGAGAGAACTTCTTCTGGGTGGAGGAGAAGAATCCACTATTCGACGTCGCAATTTGCAGTATGTATTAGTTTCTTCTTTGACCTTTATTAACATAGTCATTAACTTGGATCGCCATATTTTATGTGGTAACTTTGTTGAACAATGAAAACATTAATCTCATGCTCTTTAGTTTGCTCTGGTTTCTGTTGTTATGTATTATTCATCATTTTCAGGACAAAGGCTGGAATGACATCTGCAGCAGAAAGCATCACAGAGAGCCTTCGCCGTACCCGTCAATTGATGGTTCAGGTGAATAACATGATTTTTTTTACTTCTGTTTCTTCTTGTATTTATCATCAATGATAATATGGTTCTTGTGGTTTTTCTCAATTTGGTTTTGTTGCTCTACATCTACATGTGTATAGGAGGTGGAAAGAAGCACAAGCACACTCATGACTTTCGGTAGGTCTTCCTATCCCCATTCCAAAATGTGTAATTTAATGAAACTTGCTGAAGATAGTGTGGTGTTACAAAATTGAGTACTTTAGCAGGCCATTTGCTAAATGGTTTTATCCAAATGACACCGTCTTGTTTGTCTATGTGGTTTGATTATGGGTTCATGTTCTGCTTAGAAAACCGAGATGAGTATTCCGTATTCGTTTGGCAAATATGGTTCGGATTTCAGAAGAACATGTATTCATTTGACAAATATGGTTTCGATTTGTTGACTTATATGTGTTGCATATGTAGAGGAATCAACGGGAGTATTAAGGAAGGCTGAAAGTGAATACAAGGGGCACCGCTCATTGTTGATGCGAACTCGGAATCTACTGTCCACAATGCAGCATCAGGATGTTATTGACAGGTATTAATAACTTAAGTTTTCCTTTATATTCTTGTAGGAACTATTGATCTGAGGAATGTCACTGCTGATGCTGCGATTTGTATGGACAGGGTGATACTTATTGTGGGACTTGTCTTGTTCTCTTGTGCTGTACTTTATGTTGTTTCAAAGCGTATTGGCATACTTAAGTTGCAAAGGACAGTTACTGCAGTCATAAGGGCTGGTATGGCTGGAAAGGCAGAGGTTGCTCGCAAAGCTGTAGAAGATGGTATTAACCATGCTCAATTTCACGACCATGTGGTTCCCAAGGTGGGAATCCCTTTACAGCATCCCATGCATGATGAACTTTGAGATGTAGTTTTTGTTATAGAAACCAGATCTTTTTTTGCTCAGCAGAAACCAGATTGCTGTCTACAAGATGCGTTGGGTTTGTATTTTTCTTTTTTCTATGAGAAATGAATACAGTTTAAGCAATGTTCCATCCATAAAATATAAGAGAATGAGTGATGGTGCTGTGATAGAGAAGGAGAATCACATATAGGCCTTTAGAGAAACAACTGGAATACAGCTGGAGTTATAATACTTGACTATTGTTTAAGTTGGTTCATTCATTCTAGGCACGAATATTTTCACAACCCCAACACTGTCCTGGAACTCATTTATCATACCATGTTTATGTTTATATAATAGCGTGTCAAGAATGCATCTGGCAGCCTTTTCTCTCTTTTCGCCTTGGATTTGATTATTTTGGTGAAATATGAATGTCCTGAATCACAATTGAAGAAAGAAACTTGAAAATGTAAAAATCAAGAAAAAGGGTGATTGTTTCATCTGTAACTCACTTCTTTGGATATGGGCCTAAAAAGCAGTCATTTCCAAATTCCAAATATTTACAATTTCTATGTAGTTTCAAACTGAAGAAAAAATACAAATGGAACATTCATCACTAAAGAGAAGAAAAAGAAGGGATTGAATTAAAAGTTAACTAAATATGACAACTTTATAAGATTTATCAAGTTCTGGTGATAATCAAATTGACTGTTGGAACTATGACCAATGGAATGGTACTTGATTGAATGCAAAGTGCAAATTATGCCAAGAGCCAGAAATTTTTATGGGTCTTCGAGTTGAGGACATAACCACCATTTTGTCCCTTTTTCTGCACTGCAACGCAGGTGCATGGGCTGTTCTCAATCAAATAATCTGCCGTGTCTATCAGTTTTGATCCTTTCATTGACCCGCTCGGCCGCCTGTATCTGTTAGTACATGCAGAAATAAACATTCATACATATTCGTATGTTCTGGATAAGGGTCCATTTGGATGGAACGTTAATATGGTTAATAGAATACAAGATTATTCATCATGTATGCCATTGATGTATGGCAAAAGAACTAGAAGAGAAGGGTATGAAACTCACCCTAGTATTGCTGAAGAGAGACTCCGCCGCTGTCCTATGATAATAAGATCAATTCCTAGAGCTTTGCTCTTGGAAAGAATTACAGTAGCCTTATCCTTCCCATCCATGTCAGTTTTCTCTATACGAACGGGGATTTTAGGCTGAGCAATCTCACATGCACGTTTCATTTGGTCAAGAAAATCTATGTCAGTTGAAGCTCCTTCAGGGACGGAATTAGGAGCCGTGGTGCCAGAAGGAAAACTTGGTCTCCTTAGAAAAGTAGAGAAAGTGTTTTTCCATGAATTGGGGTTTTCAATATGAAAAAGAATCAGCTCATCTTGCTCTAACATTGCATGGGAAAGAGCATATTGGAGGGCTGCCGCTGAGTGGGGAGTCGGGTCAGCTACCACCATTACTTTTCTTGGAGGTGGAGTCACCATCAATGGCCACAACAGCAGCAAAAAGAAACAAATAAACCACCTCCACTACCACCACCACCACCACCAAGAAAGAGAGGTTTGGAATTGAGGTGAAAACAATGACATGTAATATGAGGTTGTCATTTTGGTCATCAGCTTATCCGGAAGTTAACCATATTAACAAATAGTTTGCTTTAATTTTGTGATTCACAAGGGTGGCTTTGAGCTATTTTGGAGGGTTTTTAATCAGTTCTTCCTGATTGTATGCTAAATTTACTGAATCCATAAGACTTGGTCAATGCCACCAAAACCTTTGCTAATTAAAAACAGAACAGAAGAGAATTGTTTACAGGGCTAGGAATGTTGTTTTTATCAATTCCAAAACAAAATGACCAATGCTGCCTCAGGATAGGGTTAGTATATTTCCTGAAACAGTTTACCAATCCCATTTTAAAAATAATGCATGAACAATCCAGGTTTAGCATAGACTAAGATTCAAATGATCTTGGCCAAATGTACCATATAAAATTTACAGGTTTCGAACCCAAGAATTTTTTTGCCTTCCAAACTTTAATAGAGAAGGAAGATCAATTATCATTGATAATGCTTAGTTCGGTTGGTTCATGCATCTACCTGGCATCTAATAGGTCTTAAATTCAAATCCCAACATTTGCAACCCCTTCCTTTATTGCCAGGTTGTGGCCTCTTTTGTAAAAAAAATATATATATCATTGATAATTGAGTTGGAATTGTCACTAACTAGTATCATCTGTTAAATCTGCATTATATATATAAGTTGTCAGTTGCATAACCATAGCCTAGTGAGTGAAGATCCCAAATTCTAAATGGATAAATCCACAATGGCATTATCGCCAAGAGGAACTAGAAAGAGTTAGGAATGATTTGAATCATTGAGAAAATTTTTTCTTTATTTTCATTTCATTTCTTGGCTTTAAGGAATAAAAAATAAAAATGGTAAGTTGCTGTTAAAAAAAAAAGATTATATTTAGAACTCATTGTCACCCTTTGGTCCATTAACATTATCCTTGCTTGTCTATTAATTTTGTTCATTATTCCAACAAGACCATGGCCACAACAAGAAAAGCAAAGGAAATAAAATAAGCAAAATTGAACGTTCATATTTATAAGCTGTTCTTCACTACAAGGAATCATGTTTCACATACTTCCTCAAAAGTTTTTCATAACATTTAATAAGATACATAATGAATTGAGAAAGTTGAAAAAAGGAAGAGAGGAAATTAGTTGCAGGCTTGCATCAGACTGTTTAGGCTTCTAGCATGGCTTGGGGGATGATCCAACAGGGTGGTGGCTGAATCTTGTCTGAAGAAAATTCATAAATTGGCTTCACACTTTCATCTTTCAAGTTGTATATGCCATAGTCATGACCTCCATACAAGTAATCTTCTTCCATTTTTTCCCAATAATCATCCGTGAAATAAATTGAGTTCCTTTCACAGTTGGAAAAAGATTGAGCTGAGACTGAAACAGACTGATTTCCACCCAAGAACAAAGCTCGATCCCCCAAAGATTCCATCTCCACCCATATTAACTCATTGAAATCCAGCTTATAGACAGGAAATAAACATGTTTATATGGACAAACCTTAGGCTGTGTGCAGTAATCAGTTAACCTATCTTCTTCACGAACCAGTGTCCCATCCCAATCCACAAACTCCCCAATGTACCTCACAACAAGCAGAAGATCCTCACATGATTCAACCAAGTAAGACTTGCTTGTGCAAAGATCTCCGAAGGAGTTTCCTTTGGCTAGTGACTTCTCCTATCAAACTTTTTCCTCGCACAACCACCTTGAACAACCCATACTCCAATACTATGATCCTCGCTCATTGCATAGAGATGGTTTTCATGGAATATGATATCTTGGTAGGGTGGATGGCTAACGTCAAGTACAGTCCAGTAATTGCCTCCACTTTCATAATATGCAATTTCTTTCCCTCTCTTGCACAACAGAATCAGACCATAGTTTTTATTGTTGCAATCAGGTTCTCCTGTCAGGATTGCTTTCCGAATATAGCATTCTCGTAGTTGTTGCTTTAACCTAGCATCCTCATAACCATTGAAATATTGGAGTTCGTATTCGCCATCCATGTTTCTTTCCATCTTCAGTAAACCTAGCAGATGATCAACTGAAGGAAGTTGTATTTTCACTTGCCTGAAAGGGTTGAACAGAAACGGCACAGCCTTTTCCTCCAAGAAAACTAGCCACCCATGTGATGATCCAATGCAGCAACTTTCTCTGAACTCCTTTGGTATCGTTTTCAGGCTATAAACCTGACTTTCTCCAAGATTCAATAACCCACTGTAGCCATTGTTGTTAACATCAAGACCATCTTCTTCTTCAACTTCTTCCTTCGAAGGAAGCATCAGCCAGGGCATCCTGGAAACAAACTCTTCTCCAAGCAAGTTCCAAGAGGAACAAACAGCTTTCGCTTGAACCAGATCAATGAAAGTAAGCCTGTTGAAGATCATAGACCTCAGGACATCACTAGGAACTTGATCAACAAGGCTTGATGTTGATGAATCAAGCACTGTTCTTCTTCTTTTGGTGGACAAACAATCGATGGTATTTGCCTTTCTCTTAGCTTGCACCGCCATTGTGAGAAAACTATGAAAAACATATGCAAAATTCTGAAGTTGAAGTAAATCATAATGAACTAATGGACATATATTTATAAGCAAAGTCACTCAAATCCTCGTAGGAATATGATTTCCTAGTAGAACTAGGATTGTTATAAACTATGAAACTAGTGAAACTTGTGTTCTAAGAAATCTTATAAACCTTATTACAAAGAATTGGGCCACTATTGGCCCCATAAGAAAATAGATATTAACCCAAGTTTTGGTTTCAAGTTTGACTCAAAGCTTCGGCTCCCTTTCTTCTGTTCTGCTTCTAATCAAATCAAACCAACAAAATCATAATTAAAAACGAAGAAAAATAACGCAAAAAAACAAAAAAAAAATCCCTTTCAAGGTTCTTTCCATCTCCTTTTAACACTGCATAAGTTTTTCGCATATATTCTGATTGATTTCATGCTTTCATGGCCACCCACATGTTAGATCAACTTCTTTCTGTTTTGGGGTAACAGTCATAAAGTAATTAGCTTTGTAGATTGTGGAGGATTAAAAATGGCTGCTAAAGTAATTAAGAAGTTGTTTGTTGCAACAATGTTCATGTGGATAGATCCACTTGCAATTAGATATGGTTTTAACCATAATTTGCTTCCTGGTAAGACCCCATTAAACTTTGTTAGTTTAACGTATCAACGATGATTTTTTTTTCTTTTACATTAAAGTACAAGAGAATTGTAGGGTAAAATTAACGAGATTTTGATTTTGGGTAGAGAAGAGGGCCTCCAAGAGTCCAACTAGACCCAACACTCAGCCCTAAGAAACACAAATGGAGAGTATCAGTCCCCGTTACCAACACGTGACTAAAGTGACAACCAAAGCAAATCACTCAAACAATTCTTATAAGGTAAGAGAAAAAATAAAAAAAAATAAAATATGGATTTGAAATTTTAGTGTTTGATTGGATTTACGTTGATTTTTTTATTTGATTTGAATTAAATTTAGATATTAAATATATATTAATTTTAATTTTAAATCAAATATTAAAAATTTAAAAAAAATCAAATCAAATTATATATTTTTAAATTTTTATAAAATAAAATAATTATTTTATATATAAATATATTTAAATTTTTATTAAAATAATATATTAAAAAGATAAATTTTTAAAATTAATAAATTCAATCTAATTGTATTAATAAAATTTGAATCAAATTAATTTCAAAATAAAATTGATTTAAATTTAAGTGGGATTATAAATTTTGAAATATTATGTATTATAAAAAAAACAATCAATCCAAATTAAATCCAATCTCGTCCAAAACTTACCCCTAATTTCATCAACAAAACATGGCACTGTTTATTAAGTTTGGAAGACTTTGTTTTGCCAAAACGGCAAAAACATATTCAAGGTGGACCATATTACTCAACAAACTAATGACAACACGACGTTTACACAGTTTCTCGCTGCCCCGACTCCTACACTGGTGCAGTGCTCGTGTTTTTTCTATCTGCGCTTGCGCCGCCTCTAGTCATTTTTTTTCTCGGGAAACAAACAGAGACTCAACAGCCCTCTCCTCCGTTTCCATCTCTCTGGTAATTAACTAGAAGAGCTGAATCATATGCCTTCCTCGTTGGTTTCTTCTTCCTTAACTTCTTCCTTCATCGGCAACAAGGTCAGTGCTTTCGAATTACCCATGTTCTAGATTTTGATTTTTGTTGATTACTTTGACTAAAAAGCAAAAAATCTTTTTTTTTATTTGACCAGAAAGATTTAGGGTTTTCTGCTTTTCCTTCGACGTCTCAAATTGCCATTCACAAATGCAAGAAACAAGTTTCCAAGAAAATCGTCTCAGTCATGGCACCTCAGCAATCAGAGCGTAAACCAGCCACCACTGGCACTGTTAGTTCCATTTTTAGTCTCATTGATTTCATTTTTATTGATTATTTGATGGATTTTCATTGATGGTTTTTTTTAATTGGGTTCCTTTTCAGGTGAAGACAGGAATGACAATGACAGAGAAGATTCTTGCAAGGGCCTCTGAGAAACCACAGTTGAGCCCTGGTGATAATGTTTGGGTTAATGTTGATATATTGATGACACATGATGTTTGTGGTCCTGGTTCCATTGGTATCTTCAAGAAAGAATTTGGTGAAGATGCAAAGGTATTCAATTCATCTACTATCTTACTTATTTTCTTTTTCTTTTTGCTGGGTTTAATTTTTTTTTTTTTTATCTTAGGTTAGCTTTGTGCATAGTTGAGCTCTTGCTGATGTTTATTAGATTTTAATTAGCTTTTTGTGTTTAGGTAGCATTTCAAAATCGAATTTTGTGATTGATTAAGTAACTATAGCTATGTCACTGCTGAAAGCTTCTTCTCAATTGGATATTTTTCAAGATTGGAAACTGATTTTGGTGGATTTTCTTTCTTGTTTCATTATCTGTTAAAATACGTAAAATTTCCTTTAGCTTGGTAACTTAAGTGTTACATGGTAGAGTAGAGCCTTGTGTGTGTGTTTAGGTGTGTTCAGAGCTGTCTATTTGCAATGGCTGAATTTGTTAACTATGTATTATCATTTTGGTATTGAAGGTTTGGGACCGTGAAAAGATTGTTATTGTACCTGACCATTATATATTCACAAGTGATGAACGTGCAAATCGTAATGTGGATATTTTGAGGGATTTTTGTGCAAAGCAAAATATCAAGTATTTTTACAATATTAAAGATCTTAGTAATTTTAAGGTATGACACTTTTTGTCTTGGACTTCATTTTCTTGTTCACTGTTCGGAGGAACTCGGGGTATATTCTCTGTTTATTGATGTAAAGCTTAATTCTAAATCATAACATTGCAGGCAAACCCTGATTATAAAGGTGTATGCCATGTTGCACTTGCCCAAGAAGGTCACTGCAGGCCTGGAGAGGTATCAATGCTTTACCAGAATTGTTGAATTGTAAAAATTCAATTTATGCGTTATGTTCTCGAACTGTTGTTAAGTTATCTATTGCTGCCTTAGGTTTTGTTAGGGACAGATTCTCACACCTGTACAGCTGGAGCATTTGGTCAATTTGCTACAGGAATTGGAAATACAGATGCAGGCTTTGTTTTAGGCACCGGAAGCTTCTGCTCAAGGTTTGTTAATTATGCTTTACTGTTTCACTTGATTACATGTGTCTCTATCTTGTTTTGTGCATTCTATGATTTTCATTTGGTTTCCTACTAGTATTGTAACTTATTAAATGTTTGCTTTCCTTAATATCATTGTTTATGTATTAGACTAATTAGTCAGACATTGTACTTGGCTACCATATCTGTTCTTAGCATTACACTTCCCCAGGGATTAGGAACCGTTTTTTACCAAATGAGATTAAAGTGATTCAACTCTGTTAACCAAAGTCATTGAAGGGTTTTTGGCAAAGTTTTAGTGGTTTGATGAGTGGTTTTATCCTTCATTCTAGGCATATAGTTTGATCTGATGACCATCTTGGCCTTTTCTTTTGTGTATGGATATTGATGGTTGCTATGAGGTTGAAGACTGGTACTTATAATACATTAGGCAGTATAATTCATATATGCTGTTTTTTTGCATGTCCAATTGCAGGTGCCACCGGCTTTGAGATTTGTGATGGATGGTGAAATGCCTCATTATTTGCTTGCAAAGGATTTGATTTTGCAAGTAAGATCATATATTTTCTGCCTTTTGTTCCATTTTGATAAGTATGAAGTCATAACTCTGTTATCTTGGGGATATTACTCTTGTTCATGTTCTATTGGTAGGTCATAGAAAGAGTACAGCTTTTATTCTGTTTTGTCTTAAAATGGTTGCCATTTTGCAGATCATTGGTGAAATATCTGCAGCTGGTGCAACATAAAATCCATGGAGTTTGTTGGAACAACTGTTGAAAGTTTTAATGTAAGTGAACTTGAAATGTTCCATAACTGATGTAAAATTAGGTCCTTCCAAAATCTTCCTAGTTTATTTTGTCACCGGACGAAATCATGAATTTATTTTTTCTGATTATTTGTATTGGGCAGATGGAAGAACGGATGACATTGTGCAATATGGTTGTCGAAGCTGGTGGAAAGAATGGTGTTGTTCCTGCTGATGGTACTACATTTAAGTACCTTGAGGTGAGTGCAAAAATCATTGAGTGCATTTTGTCCCAATTCATTGCTTGGATCAATGTATACTCTTACACAAAGTTGTTTTCTTTGAATGTCTATTGCTGCGTTCCTGCGAAGCAGCGGCTTATGGGTTATATCTTTTGCTTCGCACAGGATAAAACATCTGTGCCATATGAACCTGTTTACAGTGATGCACAAGCAAGGTAGATTTTTATGATTAAGTGGTTAATCTACAGATCAAGTTCTTACTATTACAGTCTTGTCTGCTGTTGGTTCATTTGGTTTGGTGGGAGGGCGGTCTTCTTCTTCTTTGACTTACTGTTCTCTCATATGAAAATTTAGAGCTGATTGGAATAAAATGATTGTGTAAACAAAATTATTTTGTAAATTCTAGTATGTGTCGCTATGATTTATACCCATATATAATGGTATTGGAGATGGAAATTGTATGTTGGTTTTTTGTTATTTCATGGTTTTTTTTTTTTTTTTCAGGATAAGTGGGTCTGATTTTGAGTTCATTTGAGTTCTTTCACGGTTTTACGTCCTTTCATGGTTCTTTCATGGTTTTATTTGATGTTTGTTGTGTCCTTTCATGCTTGGAAGTGGGAACTGCATTAAGATGAGTACTTATATATTTATATCATCTGGCTTTCAGTTTTCTTTCTGAGTACAGATTTGATATCTCAAAGTTGGAGCCCTTGGTAGCTAAGGTGGGTGTCTCTATTAAGTCCAGTGATGGGCTCTTTTTTCTGATATCCACCTCCACCTCCCCCTTCTCCCTATCCCTTTTTCTCTTTAATAATGATTATCTCATGAAAGTTGCTTTTTAATTCTCTATCTTCTTCTTCTTTCATGTATGTTGTGCATATACCGGAGTAATTTCTTAAATCTCCTTTGCAGCCACATTCTCCTGATAATCGTGCTTTGGCAAGAGAATGCAACGATGTTAAAATTGACAGAGTATATATAGGATCCTGTACTAGTGGAAAAACAGAAGATTTTCTTGCTGCTGCTAAAGTCTTCCTAGCTTCAGTTAAGAGTCAGATATTCTCATTTCTCATCCTTTTTGTTTTACTTGCTGAAATAAGTTGAGAACAAAATTCCTGTGGGTGAGGTAAGAGTTAAGATGAGAGCGAGGGAGAGCCTTCGATATTATTGCATATCTTATTTACAAGTATCAGTCTTAAGTTGTGATTTCTTTTTCTTAAGCTTAAAATTTTTAATTTGCTTAAATGCAGGGAAAGAAGGTCAAAGTTCCCACATTCCTCGTCCCTGCTACACAAAAGGTGCGATTCCATATCATTAATGTTAAAATGTGATTCAATTTTCAATTACAATTAAGTACGAAAGAAGTAACCATAAAAGAATGTGCCTATTAACTTGGTCAAATTGGCAGGTTTGGACGGATGTATATGCTCTCCCTGTACCAGGATCTGGCGGGATGACATGCTCGCAGATATTTGAAGAAGCTGGCTGTGATACACCTGCAAGCCCTAGCTGTGGTGCTTGTTTGGGTGGCCCTAAAGACACATATGCGCGAATGAATGAACCCAAGGTACTTAGCCATCTTTTCCACTGCAGGATACCTTGAAGAGCATGCAATTTTTCCCCATACTTCACCCATTTGGATCTTGAATAGAATTTAGAGATAAATCTCATGAAAATGGCAACCTTTTATATTTCATTTGCTCTTATTAAGGCAATATTTTTTACGGGATCACCCTTGCAGGTCTGTGTCTCAACAACAAACAGGAACTTCTCCGGTCGGATGGGCCACAAGGAAGGCCAGATATATCTTGCTTCCCCATATACAGCTGCTGCATCAGCTTTGACTGGTTATGTCACTGATCCAAGGGAGTTTTTGCAGTAGAAACTTGAGTCACATGTGAAGTTGAATCTATAACCCACATGAATAACTGGAGGCAGAAAAGAAAATGGAGCTCTATTGTTGGTTACTATTGTGCTAATTCTGTAAGATTTTGTTTTGTATCTAAGTTCATTTTCAGTGTATTCATGCAAGAAATACAAAATTGAAACTTCTCTTTCTTAAGCTTCAAGGATGTTTGCACAAGAAATGTTCAGAATAAGAATTTATGGATTATTAGTATGATTGTTAGTTCACTTGGACATCGACAAACCAAAATTAGTCGTGAAAATATATTTGAATGTAATTGTAATGATGACAATTTTTTTTTTTTACATTAATGCCGTAGGGGGCTGTCAGACTGCCCAAGAATGCAGTTCTAGTCACAGATCGAAATATGATTGGGAGCTCTTTAATTTTCATCAATCTAACAAAGTGGGGAAATCATGCAATGGACATCAAGGGGCCCCATAACATGTTCAACTTCACACTTCATTTGGAGGGCACAAATCTGGGGTAATGGGATTATCAGTTGTACAAAATTCATACTGTCCACCATATACTGCCTTTAAATATATATACATGTGAATCGTACGGCAGAATAAGCAGAATGAATTAAAGATAATGATATGACATATAACAGTACTCATTGAAATGTCTCAGCACTCAATTAAACATGATAGTGAAACTATCTTTTGTGTTACAGGCATCAAGAGCTTCCTAGGATTGAAGGTGGAGCCAAAATATTGAATTGATGAGATGATATGGATTGCCATAAAAAACCTTTCCAGCTGTTGGGGTTCCAATGCTATTATATGTGTTTTGCATGAGACTAAACATGAAAAAACAAGCTCCGGAAGAAAAAAAAAAAGAGAAACTGTGTCTTGGATGGTGGGTCTTTATCTTTCCATTGCTGAGGATGAAAAGGCAATGGAAAAGAAGTCATCTTCAAGGTGAATGATCTTTGTAAATACAAGAGGCTTAGCATGAGAGCTATAGTAGAAAACAGTTGTTTCTCAATCAATTAAAAGAAAGCAATTATGCTAATGGGCCAACACATCATTACAGATGGCTAGTAATCTGCACAGTCAAAATCAAAATGATTGCATAATCTCAAGCACCATGTGTGTCCCATTTTTCATAAGCAGTATCTTACAGCTCTCATAGCTCAGATTACATTTGATTGGATCAAGCACCAGAAAACACCTTTTTCCCATGATTCCAAAGTTTTTTTATGGTTGTCTCTGATGTCCACCACAAAATTTCTTTGGTTTTTTTTCTATCAGAAACTAATCCTGATGACATTATGGTTACAAATCACTCATTAGACCCTCAAAAAATTCATTTCTTTTTCCTCTCCAACCTTTGATCAGTCATGAAAAAGAGCTTTCATTCTGGACATGAAGGACCAGACACTTTAATTGTCACACGTTATTTCATTATATTTGTCGAAATGAAAATGGTTTGGAGATCACAGAATTGTGGTTATGGAGTTGTTGCATTGCAGTAAAATAGTTGAGATGGTGATTATTATAGCCACATGACAAATTGTTGTTGGTTGTAACTGCAGCACTTAACTGTAGACAATGATGCTTCTAAAGACAAAAGCCAGCATTATCATGTCCACTCACTAAGTTTTGTTGTTATGCTTCTTCCATAATTTCTTGTGTTCTTACCTACTTTCTCTGTCATACATTTTTTTTTTTTTATCTCTGGTATGAGATGCTACTTCGCTTCAACACTTCATTCTCTTCTGTAAATCGAAACTTCAATTCTCTCCAAATCCACCTTATTGAAGACACTGAAGATATAAACGTGACAATTCGTATATTCAAATTGTGCGAATTATGTGTATTGTATATATTATGTTCACATATCATGTTTATTTTATATCAATAATTCACATATTCGTATTTTTAAATATATTATATCAATCATTCACATATTTGAATTGTACATAGTTCATGTCGATAATTCACATTTTCATATTGTATGTATTATGTTTATTTTATTGATAATTCACATGTGATGTTTCGACTATTTTATATCAAATACATATAAAATATAAAAATTTTCATATTATAATTTGTGTTACGTTACCAAACACGAAATTCACTTTTTTTTTTTATTTACGGGGGAAACTTTTCCTGATTCCTCTATGAAATAACAGCTTCAGGTAAGGAAGCTTAGAATGATCAGAATTTGTAGGCCAAAGCCCGGTAATAACAAAACACTCAGAAACTCGGATTAAAGTATAACATAACGAAAACAGGGCCAACCAACAGAATGAAAACACATTTAACATCAGAATCACACAAACATTTCTTATATCTCAACAGTAAAACTGAGCTGCTTGATGGCAGCAATACTCAAAGCACTCTAGATTTCGAGTACTCCCATATGTACAGTGTAACAAAGCAGCATTCCAGTCAAGGTCGCAGGATCGTATGATGGCAGTATATAAGAGAGAAAGCTAAATTGAATATGACCTAACAAAACAAAAAGCAGCAAGAAACATAAAATGATTCGAGAATAACTCTAACAAGCAGTGAGAAAACAATCTTGGCAATATGCTTCAACTCATCAACTTCTCTAATTTCTTTTAGCTTCTGTGTTCAAACTGTGGGTTTTCTTTTTGTCTTTCTGGAATTCAAATGATGGACGGCTATGATGCTAAATGGGCTTGCTTCTTTGCCTTTCATTGCTTTCATGAAATCTTGGAGCTGCAAAAAATAGGAGTTAGAGACCAAAGAGCAGCAAAAACTGAAAACCCAAATATAAAAATTCTTATACATACCAAGTCCATTAGCCTCCGACGTCCTCATGATCCGGAGCCTTCTGACTGAACTGAGAAACATCCTGAAATACGAAAAGAAACGAAAAGCATTCGATGAGCATCATAATCATGGAAATCATATCAAACGACTTTCAATTCTTTTTTATTTCTTTTTCGGGTTGCTGTTCTTTCATGTCCCCATCCAACGCCCTTTGCACACCTTTCCTCTCTCTCCTTTGCATCATGGACACTTACAATTAGTAAAAGATAGCAACAAACCTCCATGGGACATCTCCTACAAGCATCCAGTCTCCCTCTTTGTCTTCATAGGTCAGAACAAATTCAGATGATTCATCCAAAAGCTTAGAGGGTTTTGTTACTTGTTCCTTCTCTGCACCTACAAAAGGGTAACGTCACTTATACTCACAAACACAAATAACAATTATAAATACCTAAACCACTCTTTGGTTATTAACTAGAAATATAGTCAATCAGAAATGAGTCTTGCTCAACACTAGAACACAATTATAATATATAGAGGACTTTTTATTTCAATGGAACGCGAAACTTTGTTCAAATAGTTCACGTAAGTACTCTTAAGAAGTGGCATCCAAGGGATCTGAGTTTGAGTTCGAATCTTAATACTTGCAACCTTACCTTTTCCTTATCTCAGACTAGGCCCTCCTTTGTACAAAAAACAAAGAAAGGAACTTACCAACTGAGTTAGCAGATCTGAGAAACATATCTTCCAGTGCTTGAGCCAAACTCTCATAGCATGAATGAGCATTCAAATCCACCTTCCTTCCTATTGGAATTCCATCCATATTGACCTTAACAAACCCAAGATGTCCTTTTTCATTAACAGCAGAACTGATTTTGTTGCCATTGTAAAGTTTCTTTTTCGAAGCATCCTTGAGTTTGTCTTTTTCACAAATTTCCTTGTCCTCTTCAGCTCTTGGAGCCTTTGCTTGGTTAACCAAACTGTTCATCCTATAAGCCCTTATGGGTGGCCATCCCACAACGTGACTGCTTCCAAAAGAACAATATGGAACAATAAATAATCTAACTAACTACTTTAAGGGAAAATATTTTCCCAACAAAAAGAAATCAGAGAAAGATGAGTACATTCAGATTGTGTTCATGTAATCTTCTCAAAAACAAGCAAAGATATTGATAAAAGAAAAGAAAGCAAGTCTCAAACAACAAACCCGACGCCAGTAGGAGATCCACCCTCATGGGAGACAGACTCAGCGGCTCTCTTGGTCCCAGAAACAGCAATAGAAGAAGGAACACCGTTATTAGCTTTATGAGAGACCACTGAAGGGAAGTCTTTTGCAGTCAAGATTCTTCCACACTCACCCCATGAAGAACTACAGGCGGGCTTGGTCTTCCCTGTAGCACCACCACTACCACCAAGGCTCAGCCCCAGGCCTAACTCCAGCTCACTCTCCGCTGGATAGGAACTTGCTTCAGAAACAACCTCCACTTTAGAAACTGCTGACTCCTTTGTAGAAACCCCAGAAGAACCACCACCACCGCCACCAAGTAAAATTAAACCACCTTCCATTACAAACAAGCAAGAAAATTAAGAAGGTTCAAGACTTGGCACAGGTGAAGAAATAGGCAGCTTTGAGAGAAAAAAAAAAAAAAGGGTTGTTTCGGTGAGAGAGAGAAAGAGAGACTGTATAGGTCAGGCAAAAGGAGGGAAGGTCGGTTGGGGAAGGTGGTGGAGGAAGTGATGATGATGGGACCCATATGTCTGCTAGTGCGCCTAGCACTGTCACAAGTCACCACCCTCTTTACTCAAAAGAAAAAAAGTTTTTTCCTTGACATGATCATGTCGGTTTAGAATCTGGTTTTTCCCTGCTGGGGTTGAAAAAAAAGAATAAAATATGAAAAATCCCATAAAAGAAAAAAAAAAAAAGAAACTGTAATTCTGTAGACTACAGCCAGGGTATAAATTGTAACTAGGAAGTCAAGGCAATAGCAGTGAATGTCTTGGTCTGATGGTCTCCATGGTTGTGATCTACAGTCAGGGCATAACTTATAACTAGAAAGTCAGCAATAAAAGTGAATGTCTTGGTCTGATGGTCTCCATTGTTGTGAATGTGAACTGTGGTTTTTGCCTTTTTAGCTCCAAGTATGTTCACCATATTATACTTTTATTCATGATGTTTCCATGAGAAATAGTTATTCATCATATTTACTTAAAATTTTACTTTTTTTTTCAATTAAATCCTTATAAACTTTTAAAAGGTTATGTGGTACAACACATCATGTTTATATTAATATGGAAATTTTACCTTTTGAAGAAGTCTTCTATAAAAAAAGGGGTTTGGTTACTTTTGAACTTGTCTTTAGATTAATAAAAGAAGTCTTCTTTTTCTAAAGAAAGCTCTCAAGTTGAATAGTAATTGTTGATCATGCTTTGAGACCTAAACAAAATACATGATGATTAATGTAGGGAAAATGGGGTTAACATAAGAAAAATCTACTAAATGACAAATTAACAGCACAAAAAGAAAAATTACCTAATTAATATTTAATTTTTATAAAAAATCCTACTTTCTTAATGATAATTATGATTTTTTTTGCATAAAAAAAAGTCCTCGCTTAAAATGTTAAGATTTAAAATTTAATTTTATTTAATATTAATTTTTTAAAATATTATATAAATTAATTAATTAAAATTTTGAGTTTAATTATGATAATCAATTAAAGTTTAAGAGAGGCTTTAATTTTGGTTTAGCTGTTTCTTATCTTTAGAATAAAAAGCATAGGGTTAAAGGTATTGAGTCTTTTTACAAGGCAAAAAAAGTATATTCTAATTTTAAATTTCTTTCTTTTCTTCCCTTTTGTGTTGTCTAGTATTTCAAGGACAAACAGCACAAAACCTTGCTTTAGAAAGTTGAGACCTAAAGGGATTATGCAATTCCAAGTGGGTGGATGAGGTGCCCAAAAAAAAGTTGAAAACATAAATGAAATTGATTATACTATACAAAGTGCTAACATATAAAATTCCATTTAAATTCATATATTTATTTTTAATTAAAATTACAAGTATAACAAAACTTATAATCATAATCAAACATTACATTTATATATTTATCATTTCATTAATACGAATTTGTTTCAATAATATTTTTTCCATACCAACATAAATAATTTTGAATATATAATTTTTACGATATATAATATATCTTATTGTAATTTGAGAGATTAAATAATTAATTTATTGTTACCGACATTTTCTTTTATATAATTATCAGTGAAAAAATCTTATAATTGAAGCACAAATATAACTATATAATTTAGCTAGCCAAGGATGATGAATCAATTGTTTAGAAAATAAAATGATGAGAAAGCATGGAAAATAAATAACTTTAAGGAGGCAAAAAAAAAAAGAAAAAAAGTAAAGCTATAATTTTTTTTTATTTTGCTTATTTGCCTAAAAAATATGGAACCATTGACCATTAACCTAATCAATGTTGTTCTTAAAAAAGTCATTAATGGACTGTTCATAGCTAAAAAAAAGTCATTAGACCCTCTCCCAAAGCTTAGATACAAGAATGTGGGATTGGAACTAGAGACCATAATGTTGTGTTGTGTTTTCCAATCCTTGAGTCACCTTTATTTTATTCTTACAAAGGATCTTTTCTTTTCTTTTGTTTCCTTTTTTTAGTAATTAAAGGTCAATATAGGGAAACTAGAGCATATAAATATGTCCCATGGTAATAATTTCAACACACAAAATAGATTTGATAATTTTAGATATAATATGATAAAAAAATAAAAATATATATAATTTAAAATTTTGATAAAAATTATATATATTTAATAAAATTTAAAAATATATTTTATATTAATATATTAATACAAATTATAATAAAATAAAATTTATATTTTATAATATATAATAAAAAAATCGACATATTATGAATATATAAGCATTCTTAGAAAGTTTTTATAACATTTATGTTAACATAAACAAAACCTTAACATTTCTGTTAAAAGCTTTTTAATATTATTTATTTTATTTTCAACAAATGTAAATATAAATTAACTTGTAAATTTTTTATTATAAATTAATTCAAAGTAGTCAATAAAGAAATTACTCAAAATGGATCAAAGTATTTTTTTTAATTTTTTAATAATATTTCTTACAATTTGTTATACTTGTCAAAGTGAAAAAAAAAAAAAAAAAAAGGTGGCGAGGGAAAAAATGAGGAGACAGTTGTCAGGTTTTAGAATTATTAACGTAATGTTAAGGATCCAAAGAAGACGGGAGGGGTTAAGTCAATGTTAAGGGAAAAACCGACAAGGCCACGTGCTTTCTATTCGCTGTTCAAATGCCACGTCAGCCGACAAAGTACGCGGCTCACTGGATTACCCTAACCTTTCTTTTGCATACGCTTTTTTAGTCCGAGGGAGCTTGGTACCTTTTTCTAACTAAAAAATACACAAATTTCCCTAATTTTCCCACGTGCTTTTTTTTTTTTTTTTTTACATATTTTCTCTAATTTTGATAAAATTTGATTGTATTTATCAATTTTTTCAAAAAATTTCAAGAATTTATAAAAAAAAATTTTGAGATTAAACCGATTATTTAAAATACGAATAAAAATAATATGCAAAAATATCAATTTAAAATTCTAATAATAAGTATATATATAAATTTAATAAAATTAAAAAATATATTTTATATTTTTATTTAAAATATGATTTATAATAAATAATTTTTATATAAAATATGATATAAATATAAAAATTTTTATATTTTATACGAAATTAATATATGAATCATCAAATCTATTTAACATTCATACTTAACTATTGTGTTAAATTAAAAATAACGATACCCCTTAAGTTTGATTAATACAAACTCTTTATGTCATAAAAAAGGAACTAATAAAAATTAAAATAATTACTTTTTAAATAAACTAATATCAAATTTGATTGATATCTTTAAATGTTAATTTGAATTTAAGCTTGATTTATTTCAATATTATTTATATTAAAATATTATTAAAATAATTAAAATTTATATTATATTAATATTTTTAAATATGTTATAAATTAAAACTAAATAAAATATATGTTATTAATAATGTAAATTCCTAATAAATTCAATAGCATTATAATTGAGTTTATTTTTCTCTTTGAAAATTTGTTCTTTTTTTATTACTTAAAAATATAAAATATTTATTTGCTCTAATTCTTTTTCTTTAAAAAAAATGTTTTTTCAAGGCAGTGAGAGTCAAACAAGTGAAGAAGCGCGTGGAATGCAACATTTATTACTCCTACTTCCTTGAGCATACATTAAAGAGACATTGGTACGGAAGCGTGGGTTTCTAAAACTTCAATTTTACATTTCTTTTTAATGATTTTATGGTTGGTAGGTCGCCTTGCTTTTGTTTGGTTCGTTTTAACTTTTAAATTTGATTTTTTTTTTTGAAAAAAAATTTAGGAATAAATAAATTTTTAATTTTTTATATCAGAATAAGATATATCATATCTAATAATTTATAATAAATAAATATAAATCGTACATTCGAGATGATTTCAATAAATTTATGATTTTTTCATAAAAAATGATGAAATTTAAATATTAAATTCTATTGATTACGTGTGTGTACAATATTTATTTGATTAATTTGATTACAATGAAAATCAAAATTTATTAATCGAATTATCTTTTTAATTGAATTAAAATATTTTAATTAATTTAATCAAGTTTAATTTTAAATTTTAACATCTATACAAAATAAAATTTCATCTTAAAAACATAAATCTCCCAAGAAATACTCAAATACCCATAATAAGTCAAAAACTCCAACAATATAAAACTTGAAAGATGTAATAAAGATTTAAAAATAATTCTTGGTTAATTCAGTTAAGAACTAACTAATGAAAATATCTAAAAACTTCTTCCAGTAATCAACCAAAAATATCATTGATCGAATTAACAAAATTTATTCGATTCAATCAGTTAATTCAATTTTAGCACGATCATGTACATCCCTACGCATACTTTACATTTCTTTATGTTTGAGAAGTTAAATTTGATGATTTCTTTAGGAACTTTATATATCATTTTGCAATGGGTGCAACCAAAGGTTTGAACCAAAGTCTTTATCAGGAAAAGAATAAACTAAAGCAAAAGTTGAGATGCAATATGTTTTGTCTCAGATTAAAAAGAAAAAAAAAACAAAACTCAAATTTATTCAAAGTCATTTGGTTCGAGTTCAAATCGAGTTCATACTTATATTAATAACTTATATATTTGTTCAAGTCTGTTCTATTTACATTTAAATATTTTTTCAAGACCTACTCAAATTAAAAAAATAAATTTTAAATTCACCTATTAAATTTAATTTATATAATAAAAAAAAGTGATTAAATTAAATTTAATGAAATTATATTTAATTTAAATATATAAAAATTAAAAATAATAATTATATATATAACTTAAAAATAATAATTAAGCTTAATAAAATATATATAAATTTTATTTTTTAATTTGTATATATATGTGAATTAATTTATATATAATTCACATATATATAAAATAATATATATATGAATTCAAGTTGAGTCACATTAGGTTCGAGTTTTAAATTTTTTCTTTAAGATCCAGCTTGAAATTTAAATGAATCAAAAAATTATGCTTAAAACTGTTAAATGAAATTTAATTTTTTGCTCATGCCCTCATAAAATTTGGATAAGCCTTCAAACTTAAACGGATAATCCAACTCTTAAATAGGTCTAAACCAAATTATGTGTGTGCTTAAGGGTTAAACACAGCAAATGGCAAATTGTCCGAAATAAGAAAATAAGAAGATAAAACATTTGCCGGAGAATAAAGGCAATGAAGATGTTGTTGATTGTTGACATTTAGCAAGTTTTTTAAGGATGCAAATGGAATTATTTGGAAAGAAATAGAATGATATAATGCACTCTAGTAATTGATTTAATGATTTGTATATATAAGTTTTTGCTAAAAAACGAGGTTCAAATCCCATTTTTCATCCAATAGATTTATTGAAATAATAATATACTTGATGAATTATTCTTATTTATTCAATTGACAACTTTTGAAATTAAATTAAGGATCTTAATTGTCTCAATTGATTTTCTTGATTAAAATCTATTATTTAATGTATAATAAAAATATAAAATATTTTTTAAATGATAAATATTTTCGTTCATTATAAAATATATTTATTAAACAACTTGAATTAATTCGACTTACACTTAATTCGACTTGTCCAATTCATAGGTCTATTTGTAAGAATAAAATAGACAAAAACATGAAAAATTAAAGTTGAGAGGCACTCAGAATCATTTTAGGCATAAGATGCATTTGGGAATTTAAGGGTAAAGGAGATAAGATTCACAACATGGATCAATGACCGCATATCTGATAAACTTATCTTCAAATTATTCCCCTTTTAGTATGTTGAAGTGATATCAATGAAAAAGTCATGGAGACAGGAATCAAAATGGACTCCTCTCATATAATATTAGCAACAAGATTGATTTATTTACATTATCTATGTCTCAAGGCTGAAGGTGGTGGCTGGTGGGGTCTTGACACTGAAAGCCAATTTAGCAATGAAAGGTCCTATTTGGATTAGATTAGATACACAATTAAAGAGCATACAAGGAAAATAATTGTAGAAGAGCTTTGTTTTCTTTTCAACCAAAGATAGATGCACAAACAAAGAGCAAATCAATTTCTATGGGATTATTCTCAAGTAGTAAAGACAGTATTTTCTTTTTATTGTTTAGATTCAATTTTTTTTCATAAATTTATTAGATCCAACGTAAATAAATTTATTTAGATCAACCTGGAAAAGATATGTACATGAGCATGAGTTCTAACTTGGTAACTCTTCATTCCCTTGTAAGTAAATTAAACATGCCCTAGGTGAAAAAAAGAAAAATAGCAAATCAGGAAATATTAGTATGGAAATGTGAATTTTTTTTTATATATATATTTTCAGGATAGCTTGTCATCAATGAGCATCATAGAAAAAAGACCCAGTGTTGGGGTAAGCCATGAACACTGATCTTGACTCTTATAACAAGTCAGAGAAAGTTTCAAAAGCTGAATAGAGAGATGAATTTGTTTATGGAGATTAATAAGATTAGTCAAACCTGCAATTGTAAGATCATCATTTTATTTCAGAACTCACATTATTTGGTGTCATAGCTGTTATGGAGCTTTGCATTGTAAAAGGAGAAATGTTAAGGCAAATAGGCAACCAATCCTTAATTATATCCTGAAAGCACAGCAGATAATAGTACTTGGGAACAATGCATCAACTGTAAATCGTGCTGTTTCAGTATGCCTTGCAGTTTAACTTGTCTGAAATATGTATTTGTGATCAGCAAAACTGGGTTACTATTATCAGGGAAGTTCCATTGTTCAGAGGTCAGAACTTCTAATCCAACAATAATGTAGTATTTAATATTAAGAGCATTTATAATTTGATTTTAATCGAATTAATTAAATTGATTTAATTGATTAATTGATTGATTACTAAATTAATTTCTATCTATTAATAAAAATGATTTTAGAGAAATTTTAATTTTTGATTGATTCAATTTTCAAATCAAATTAATTGAAATTTTAATCAAAATATAATATAATTTAAATATAAAATTAAAAATACAAGAAATGATTATTTTATTTCATAAATTATTAAAATTTTTAACGTAATATTTTGGTATTTAAATATTTTATTAAATAATTTTACTTAATTTATTTAAAATATAAAAAATTAAGAGTTTAAAATATAATTTAATTTAAATATATTTATTATTTGATTAATAAAAAATTAATCAAATCGATCAAATTAAATTTGATCAATTAATTTTTAAAATTAATAAATTCAATTTAATTAATTTAATTCAAAATTAACTAAATCTATCAAAATAAAACACTTGTCTAATATAGGTATAGTCCGTCATGATATAAAAAGAACAATAATGAAGTAAATATTCAGTATTCATCTCATTACAAGAAGAGAAATGTACCCAAAAAAAAAAAAAAATTTCTAGTAGCCCCCCAAAAACTAACGTTAATCTTTCAACTATGACAAAAAAAGGTTCATGAACTTTGAGCAAGAGCCCTCAAGGCCTCACAAAAAACTACTGTTTCAATTAAGTCCCTGATTCTCAATTTCAAAGGAAACTCAAGTCATCCACCGAAAGGTTTCGATGCAAATTCCCCTTTTTTCTAGCGGCAACACCACCACCACCAGGTCCACAACTAATGGAAATTTCACACCCACAAATGTTACCAAAACATGAAAACACTCCCCCTGTTTCTGTATGTCTTCTAACATGTCTTGGTTTTTTGGTCGTTGTAGTATTCCCACTGGACACGTGACTAGAAATTTCACTACCTCTGTCATACACTGGTGGCAGTTCGGTTCTCCATCTTTCTAGTTTTGATCGAAGCCCTTCATTGCTTTCGTCTAAACTCCACCCTCCGACCAATGAACTCTCTGTCTCTTCTATCCTGTTAAGGTACATGTTTTTGACCACCGCAGCCGACACTTCTGATGGTGATGGACTCATTTCTGAATCGTTCCAAATTGTCGACCCACCCTTTTTTTTCGGAGCCCCGTAATCCGACCCCTTACATCTTAACCCAGCCGGTGACTTGCCAGGTGGTGTTTTCAACCTAGTTTTTGGACCATTGTTGCCTTTTTCCGCTGACACCTCCACGATTTCAGGACCTTTTCTTGCTGGATCATCCGATCCGTTGATAATCGAACTTGGTTTTCCCTTTTTATTACTTTTTTCAAACTTGTAATTTGCCATAGAACTCCCCGTTGAATTAGATCCATAGTTGTTTTTACCAATTTCTGACCCGTTAACCGCTGACCCGCCATTGATAATGGATGACCCTTTGATGGGTCTCCTGGGCCATAGATCTGACCCGAAAATCGAACTGGAATCACTCTTGGTACGTCGAAGCTCGGGTTTGATTAACCCATTAAGCAAAAGCTGATGGTCATTTTTATTAGTTTTGGTAGAGCTCGGAGGATTGTTTTTGGAGCTTTGAAACGGGTCTTCCTCGCCCATTAAATATTGATACCCGACCGCCGACGACCCCATTTGCAAATACAAAGGCATGCTCCTCTTGGAACTATCAAGCAACGCCACCCCAATGTTCAAAATCCCTTGTGGCCGACCCGACGGTCTCCGAACCTGAAGCACCTCGAATCTCATCCCTAGTTGGACTTCATGACGATGGCGCGGCCGGGATATTGAGGGGAAAAGGTTTCCGATAATGGCTCGGACGGTTCCCAATTGGATGTCACGGAACCAATGTACGGCGTAGAGTTCGATCATGACAGCTGACGTTTCACCGTAGAGAAACTCGTCGTCGATACGGAAAATGAACTTGTCGTTCCATGTTGGGTTGGTGTGACCTTGGGTGTCGATTCGGGTCGAAAGCTTGCGTTCCCGATGGACCCAAGCCACCGCGTAGGTTCGCATTTTGCGACGACATACGGGCTCCAAGTCTTGGGCGGAGATCAAGTTGAGTTCCAATATCTGGTATGGTGCCAAAATGCTCATAATTTTGGCTAAGAAGAAGGAAGAAAAAAAACTGCTAATATTAACGTTAAATGATTCGGGGTTTTAACGTCGGTTTTTCTTTTCGTCGTCGTTAAAGCTGTTGTTTCTATCTATTAACGACGAAAGGTGGGGGCCACTATCGTCGTCGAAGAAATATTGAAGAGAATAACGGAGGAAGAGAATAAAATCGAGGGCATATAGAAATAGTGTGGGATTTGTGTAACAGATGAAACCGTTGTTTCAAATGTTTGTGGTAATAAATTTGTGCTTTTTTGGGTAAAAAAAAAAAATTGTGTCTTGTCGAGAGCTAGAAAGTTGAGATCGTTTTGTTTTTAAATGTCAATTAAAATTTTTTTTTACTTTGATTAAATCATATAAGATTTTTTATATACTTAAGATCACGAATATTTGAATATTGATTATTAAAATTAATAATTTAATACTTTATCTATAATTCATGTGATTATTTATATATTTAAGATTTTTTTTTACATGAAGCCAAACTTGAAAAATAAAAACTCATTTATTGATTACTTAGTGCAAGAGTTAGCAAACATAGATGGATAAAACTTATATGAAATTTTATAAGAGAAATTCGTAAAATTTTAAATTAAAAATAAGTAAATAAAAATTTTAATAAAAAATCTGAATTAATAAATTGATAGAGTTTATTGTGAAGATCAATAACATGTAAAAAAAATTAAAAAAATTATTTATAATTTAAATTTGATCGATACTTATTTAACAGTAAAACTTTTGTTAATATTTTTATTAAAAATATTTAATTAACAAATATATCATAATTAATTAAATTTTTTTTGAAATTTTGCATATGTGATTTATGTGATTAGATTTTTTAATCTATCTGTTTTGATTTTTTATTTTAATTTTTATTTATTCATCTAATAAAAACTTTCACGAATTTCACCTATAAAATTTTAGGTAAATTTTTCTTAACATAGGTTAGTGTTTAGAATTTTGGGCCTGCAAATTCAGAAAGCTTTCTATTTTGTATTGATTCATGAAAATTTAGAAGAACCAATGTTCAAATTTCAAATTATTATGAAAACAAATGAAATTATTAGAATGATAGATTTCTAATCTTAAACTCATCAACTCTTCAATTCAATCCCTTGATTTTGTCAGATAAACTCACACTCTTCTAAGGCACATCTAACCCACCAGAAATTGGCATCGCTCACCTTACCTTACCAGCATTTTTTAAGCAATTGATAAAGCAATTTTCATGTGGTTTCCTTTTTTACTGTTAAGATTGCTGACATAACTATAATGGAATTACCTTCATTTTATTAATGGTGGAAGTCAAATTGAGTTTAGTTTATTCATTTTTTTGTTGTTCACTAGCTCATAGGGAATTTTATATAAATTTTGATGAATCTCGTATAATTTTTTTAATTGTGATTGATTAATTGTACTATAATGATTATAAGTGACATACTTCGAAGCCGCCTTTTTGAGTGCAGATCTCTCATGTTGAGTTTACTCTAATGCTTTGAGTGAAATAAGTGTTCCTAGGTTTAAACTTATATGAACAATGGAAACATACATGCAATAATTCAATGGAACTTTTTAACTCTATCAGAGATTCAATAAATTGGGGCTCCTTTGCTGTGAAATGTCAGCATGCATTTCTGCAACTAATACAACTTGGCATATAACTAGTAAAATTTGCAATTTCCATGAATCAAGACTTAGATTTTTTCTATTTTTTTTTTTTTTGAGTGAGGGGAATGATTAAAGGTGATGTTCCTTTGCCATCAGGCTATCAAGATTGCGAACTATGATGTTCAAGACAGTGCCTGTTCTTGCACCCTTACAAGTAACAACAGCAGTTGTTAGTTGTCAATTATGAACCACAAAGAACAATTCATGTCTTAGTCCAATGAACAATCAAAGGTGAAAATGAGATTTGTTATGAGTTCCACTCAAAAGATGCTGAAGGGGAAAATGAAGTATATATCACAAGGAGAAATGAAAAGGAATTTCAGGTCACTCAGGGTGATTGATTATATTATCTGAATGACTCCCTCCTTCTATCTCCTCTAAGAGATTGATAGTTACTGCCAATGCTTCTGGAATTCACATTTTCAATCGTGATCTTATGATCGTCTTCCTTGAGCCCGGCTCACCCGGATTGCCCTTCCTTCTAGTTCCTGAAAAGTGAACTATAGACCTTGGTAAATGGATGTCTGATGCATTAAGAATAAGCACACAGAAAGAACAAAAGTAGGAATTGATACCACTCCATTAAGATATTGAAGAGCAGATTCCATCTCTGATTTTGTCGAGTAGCTGACAAAGCCATAACCCTGCGACCTTCCTGTCTCCCCATCGTATAAAACCCTTGCTCCAACGACATTTCCATATTCTTGGAAGGCTTGTGTCAAACTTTCAGATGTGACAGACCATGATAGATTCCCAATAAAAAGCTTGTATTCGGTTTCTGGATATAAAGGTTCTCTAGGTCTTGGTTTGTCCGAAAAGTTCACCCTCAAATTTCGACCAAGATATTCCTGAAACAGACATTCAAGAGTGAAACATTTTGAATTAACTAACATTTGGTTTAGAATTATCGGGTTATTCAGCCAATTCAAATATGAGAACTAGTCTCCTGTTGTGTGCTCAAGTATGCACTAGCACGCATACAACAAGAAATACATAAATGAAATGGAGAAATTCTTACACTTCCATCCAGATTTTCAATAACTGCGTTACAATCTTCAATGGTGCTCATTGTCACGAATGCAAAGCCCCTGCTTTTCCCAGTGTTTCTATTGTAAAGCACCTAAAACCATTCACAAAATCTATTAGAAAACAGAAAAATGATATATTACACAGAATGCCATGAAAGTGATTTGTGTGAGCTATGTCCTTTCCCTTAATTCAACAGAATATAAATTAACTAGAAATCTAGATACCACTATATCAGTAATGAGGAAAGAAAAACCTGGAGTGCTTGATTAATTTGCTCGGCATTTCTCTTTTCTCAGCTCTCAAATCTTAAACTTGTAAGTCAGGAAATAATCCATCTTTACTCTTTCATCCACTATAGTAATGTAATATTATGTAATTATGTAGTCAAACGTAATTCTAGATATTATTCCAAGGATCAAAGTGTGATGTTAAACAGCATTTTTAGATGTTCAAGACTCAAGCTCAACATGATTGAAGTTAATGAAGCCTGAGCTTCTTTATCCAAAGCTCAATCAACATCAAGTATCCCATTTGAGAATTGTTCATTCAGTATTTAGCAGGCCTGAACTTATTCAAAATTTTACTGTGTAGAACCAAGCTGAATCTGAAGCTGTGTCCTTTCATCTCCACAATCTCAAAAATTCTGTTGAGTTGTATTTACAAATTTAACTTCATATACTACTACCCAGTTTCATCATATAAATAATTGAAATTGGTGTGTAAATTAGCTTGGTGTTGAATTTATCAAGCCTCAAGAGTTCGACTTTCTGCAGCAAATAGGTCTCATACTCTCAAAGCATATAATCCTTGTATAATTCTGTCAGATCAACTACAAGATCCCCCAATTGCATGCCGGCTGAGGAAGTGGCATGAGAATTAATCTGCCTATCTCAATTGTCAACTAATAACTTTCTTTTTTACAAATGAGGCCTGTATAGGAAGAGTTGCAGGTGTTAGGATTTGAATCCAATCCTGTAAATGTGACCCTATCGTTGTGGCTGTGTGATCCACCTGAACTAAACTCATGGATTCTTCAACTAATAAACTTTATTTCATGATCCTGGCATCTTTAACAACTCTCCTAGTAATCAAGAAGTCTATATTTGATCAGTCAAATTAATCACATATCACATACCTCAATAAGCTCTGGACTGCCATATTCTTGTATTATCCCAGCAAGTTGGGCACTGTCAACATTGTAAGGCAAGTTCCCAAAGTAAAGCTTAGTGTTCACAGGAGACTCAGCTTCACTCTCAGCCTCAGCTTCAGCTTCTCCTTCCTTCTCCTCTTCCTCCACCAAACTTTCTTCCACTTGGGCAGTTGCCGCAGCTTCTTGTTGGGTAACAGCAGCAGATACCTTAAGCACACGCCACTTTTGAACTGTGCCGTTTGTGGGGAAAAGCTCATGAGTGAAGTAAGAGTGAGATATCGATGATATCATGCGAGTAGATGGAATTTTGAGGACAGAATGATCAGCTTCAGCTGTCAATTTCTTAAAACGCATGCATTTGAGGGTCTGGATGGATTGAGAGAAAGATGAGCCCACTGCTGCTGCAGCTGTTGCAGCCATGGTTATGTGGATGTACTGCACTAGTGGCAGAAATGGAGTCAGTGGTGGTGGTGGTGTTGTTAGTGGTGGTTTTTCAGTTAAGAGGGATATGGAAATGGGAGCTGAAAAAGGTTCTACAATGCATGCAACCGGAGGGAGTGTAAAGTTATCCAAGCTGATGTGGGCAGATTCTGTCCAAAGATTGGGATAAGGTGAGTTCAGTTCACGTCAGCATGGATCAGCTTTTCTAGACTGTTTAAAGTGGTCTTTTTCCTTATGGGACTAGATCTTGGTTTATTTATAGTTTGTCCCCCTAGATCTTTTGGTGGGTTTTGGTCTTAATTAAGCATAAGGAGTTGCCTTTAAAAAAAAAAAAAGTTCATAGGCTAAATAAATAAAAGAATCGCAGATTTTAAATTTTAAATTTAAATATATTAAATTTTATTTTATAAAAATAATTATATAAATTAACTGAAATTGTTTACTTTGTCAAATGATTTTTCATGTCTCATAAAATTATAGTAATTAGATCTACCAATTTTGAGCAAAGATGTAAAATTACAGGCCATTGGCTACAATCAACACTCACATAACGACAACCTGAGATCTGGTTAAAACTTTGGAAGTCATTTCCAGCCCATAATTCTGTCCTCAAATATCTGCTATTTATACTGTCTTGTCCAAGAGTGATTTTTCCTGGAAATTTCGTGACCTTTACATTACCATGTACAGATTTCCAGGCAATTGCACAAGTGTTCTATTACATGAATCTGCCCTCGAAATGTGAGGCTTCCGAGTTTAACAATTCCTCTGATTAATTTTGTTGAACATCTAAACCAGATAGGGCCTTTTTGATGTCATATGATAAGAGAAAAAAGGAAAATATTGGTCTGAGAACTTTGTTCAAAAGAAAGAACTAATGTTCATCTGTTAAACAAGTGATTGTGCAAACTTAAATTTACTAACTCATAACTTCTGCAAATGGAGCAATGAACATGTAAATTCACATATGTAGAAAAATGATTGATTCATATTATTTGTTTGTGAGATATAATTATAGAAATTGTCTAGAGACATTATTACATAGTCACACATTTTTCATATGTTAGGGATATTTTATGGTCCAAGATGTAAAGTAGACGTTTTGTTTCAAAACATAAGTCATCAATATGGGTTAATTTGGTTTTTTAAGCCCGAGCTAATGTGCTGAGCCAACCTAAAATCTCGATACCAACATTAGTTTAATCAATTCAATTAATCATCTGATGATACATGAGAATGTTGACTTATCATCTCTTAATTAGATTGTTGACTGTTAGTTTATATTATGCGAGTAATTCAATTTTCATAGATATCAACCAAAAAATTTTCTCTTCTTTATTCTCTTATTAACTTTGACTTAAATGTCGAAACACAAACATTAAAAAAACTGTCGATCTTTACTATTAACCAACCTCTTATCTCATCTCGTGATTATAGCTTTTTGCCGTTATCAAGACAGCTTGGCACCAACGCCATATTTGTTTGATAACTCGAAAGTGTATAAATGAATCTCCATCGCCTATCAATCACCAAAGGGCCATAGACACTCCAAAAGCCGATAACAAATCCTAGTGCCATGCCTAAATTGAACAAAACTATTTTCAAATCTGTTGCTGGTTTCTCCACCGGACAATTTGTTCACAGAGAAATCAACAGCTTCTAGTGATCTCATCTCACCAATTTTTGTTCCAGTCAAAAGATTAAGTGACAAATTCAATGACTGCAGTTCGAATAAGATTGTCACTTCCATGGGGATCTCTCCTGATAAATTATTGTTGTTGAAATATATGCTGCTGACCAAGTTAAGATTTGTTCTATACTCAAGCATTTGACCTTTCATCATAATTAATGCAAAAAATGTACAGGAAAAAACTACAAAAGATGTATCAGTTACCTTAGCAAAAGGAATATGCTGTTTTCATACTAGAAAAGAAATTTCTAAAAAGAAGGTTTGGGTAAAAAAGGTGATACTCTAATTGTAGACTATCAGCTTCAAGTAGGTGCACAGGTCCAGTTGAAAATACTAATACACCTAAATTTCTATGGATCTTGCCAGCTTGGTCTTTCAGTTTAACCTGTCTTCTCTGACTCGAAACTGTTGTTCCCGACCCTTTCTTTCCTCTAATTTTGAAATTACAGACAGCATCATCCTTGGACCTTCCTTGTCTTTACAGGACTTGCAGCAAAGATATGGCTTCCGGTTGTGTGTCTATTTTGAACCATATTATCGTTTTTCAAGGCTGTGCAACGTTTGCCTTTGATCCTGTTTATCTAAACAAAATATTGCAGAAAGCTCTGAGTTAAAAGAGTACTTAATGGTTGTACACAGAAATGTAAACACATCAAGTAAATGTTGCAGCAATTTGAGTAATGAATTAGAGATTTTAATTATTTGTTGTTTCTGTTGCCTTTCTCTCACCCAAATAAACATCATTACTTTCAAGAAAACAATACAATGTAACTCCTACGTTTAAAAGAAACATCCTATAGATTGTTTCAGGATATAGCATGTAGCCCAGGGCTCCACCTGCAATTATGCTTCTATTTAAGTTTTCTAATGATAGTGCAAAGCCTTTTTTATACACCAATTAGTTCCTTTTTAAAGAAATAGAATAAACAACACTAACACCAAAGATAGCAAATCATAGTTTGGATTGTATCCTGATACTATTCTGAAGTTTTAGTATGATTTGTTCATTTAAGTAATAGCATCAAAATCATAATCAGTTGTCAATCAATACGAAAAATTGAAGATTAAGAAATTGAATATGAATAAATTTTATTATATTTATAATCTGTTTGATTAATTAATAAATTTTAAAATATTGTTTGTGATAACAGTTTATCTTGTAATCAAGCCTGGCAGATTGATCATCTAGGTCTCAGTTCCTTCACCTTCTTCCTCGGATACACTACAAAATTTCCAAAGAATAAAAACAACCCCATCTCTGACAAAATCGAAACTTTCAATAATCAAATCTCAAATAGAGGTTAGAAATTAAAAAAAAAAAAAAAAAAAACCTCTTGTTTTTATCAGGTTTGACTTGTGAGAGCTTATTCAGCTGTTGACAGCAACAAAACTGTTGAATCTCGCTGGAGGGTGTTTCACTTTAAAGCTGATCAAACAAAGAAGAATGTTGTTTGTTTCACGAAGTGAAAAGGATTTAAAATAATTAAAATTTTAAAAAATATAATTAAAATTAAATGTATTTTATTATTCAAATCCATCATTTTAATTATAATACACGGCAAAAGTTGAAAAAAAAAGAAAAAAGTTGCATAGGTTCTGTCTAAAGACAATGCTTGAGACATAAGGCTAAACATTTTGTTGTTGTTTTCGAGAAAAAAAAAACCAAAATTGATCAGTGAACAAGACACTGACTGAAGGCTATGGTTCTGACAACCTAACTCTACCATGAAAGTTTCTTTAGCTCAAATTCCAAAAAGAAAACAAGAGAGACATAATCATCGTACTCCTTGATAAATACTGTAAAAAGAAATAACTTTGAGTTTATGAAAGTGGACATCACAACATAAGCAGCTTGAATTTGACTAAAATATTAAAAAATTTTCTGTCTTTTATTACTTAAATAAATTTTTATATTTTTATTATATTTAAATATTTTTTTATTTTTTATTTATATGACTTATGATAAAAGTTTGTAAGTATAAATTAAATATTAAAGAATTATTTAAATATAAATGAACATTTATGAGTTTATTTAAATCCAAAGTAAATGTAAAATGCATATTTGAATGTAACAAAAATTATTTAAATAAAATGATAAAATTCATAAATTTTTTTATTATTTTAATCTTTGAATTTCTTATCAATTTTAGATATTTTTTTGAGATAAAGGGCATGTGTTGTGATTAAATGTCTTAGATTTCGTATAGATACGTGATGAGAAAAAATTTCATCTTTTTTATGTATATTTTTAAAAGTGCATGTCTCAATTATAAAAAAAAAAAGCTTAGGTGGTGGAAATCTCTCCCAACAACCAATGGAAAAAAGACCTATACTTTTTGCATTGGAAGAAGAAAATTTACCAAATACAGAATCAACCCTTAATTTTGGTCATTTGAGACAAAAAGAAGTTAGTAATAGAAATGGCAATCTAACATGAAATCGATGAATTTTTATCTGATTCGATTTTATAAGATAAATATTTTTTTAAAATTAAGTTTTCGATTGAGTAGTTGTGTAATTATTAAAAAAAAATTAGATCAAATTTTGATAAATTCGTCTCTATCCGATATATATATTTAATTAATTATTTAATATTATATTCATATATTTTATTAAAAAATAATATTTTATTAATTTTGAGTCAGATATAATTTTATATAATATCAAATCAAATCATATTTAAATATTTAAAAAATAAAAAAATCAAATCAAATCATATCAAATATAAATATTAAATTATATTAAATTCGATATGAATAAAAATCCACCTTAACCCTATCCGATATCATCTTTACTCAATAACAAGTAACAACTCAGCCAACCCTACAAAAGGCAACTCATGTGATTATGAATGTGCTCTCACTTCCCACTTGACTTTTTTTTATTTTTTTGTTACGATTTCCTTTGAGATTTTAGGGTTACATTTAAGCTTTGATTGCTTCCAAAGTTTTCAATTTCCCATTTTCTTCTTCTAAAAGAAGTTGTAAGGAATGATTATCACTGTTCATTGGTTATGATTTAAACACTAATATATGATGAAAATGAAGAGTATAAATGACATTTCTTCCCTTCTAAAATCTGGGTCACGAAAGCAACTTGCCAGGCCCTTCCCTGTACAAGACAAGCACTCAGCATGCAGCCAAACTGTGGTAGTTACAGCTAGCTGTTCATTCTTTGGCAGTTTATACACAGAAGTTGGAATGGAGAAAGGAAATTAAGCTAACATTAAAAATGGGAAAACCAAACTCATTTCCTTATGATTTCTTTTGACAAGCCAACAGTGGTTAATACAAGTAAATGACATATTTACAACACACATATAATCATGGTTAAGTATTTTTATTATATTATTATTTTAATTTAATGTTGAGTTGTTGATTAGATATGTTACTGTTAATCGTATTTAATTATGTTAATCATATATAATCATATTAATTGTATTATGTCGTGTTACTTATTTTTAAAATAAATTAAAATATATATATTAATCATATCATGTCGTGTCGTGTATAATACGTATAATAAATATATCATATTCATGTTTTGATTATTCATGTCATATTTATATTAAAATTATTCGTGTCATGTTTAAAATCATTTATAATACAGAATACGACATAATAATATAAATTGTCAAATTTACTTAAGGCTAACTTAAAGGAAATACAGGAGAAAGAAAAAGAAAAGATTAATAATACTAGCTTGAAAGAAAAGAAAACTGCTAAATCCAATATATCACTATCAGCAGCCCCAACTATGCCATGGGAGGGAACTTTAACATGGACAAGCACTAATACATATTACTTGCAATAAAAAATTAGTAATAATGATTCAGTTCAATCTAGGGCAACATTTTTTAGAAACTCATGGAAAAACATTGTATTATCAAAATCAAAAGCAGAAGAAAGAGAGATAATAAATAAATAAATAAAGGAGCATCATGGTTTACTAATACAAAAGATTTAAAAAGGTTGAAGAGAGAGAGTGATTGTGGGGCATAGGGAACTGCTTTATGAAAAGCATATAAATATATGAAGAAAATGAAGAAACATTAACATGGAGAAGGGAGAAAAGAAAGGACAAACACCCACATGGCCAGGAAAAAAGGAAAACATCCACATTGTTCAAAATCTCCTTCTCTATCATCTGTTCAAGATGACAGAACATTAATTCTTTTATAGTTCCTTGCAATATCCTCTTTTTCACCTTTGTGAAAAATTCATGTTTACATTTTTCATGCCTCCCTAATGGCTAATGTTTTTCTGAAGTTTGACCCTCAAATTCTTACCCAACTGTAACAGCAAAATCCCACTTACTTTTTTTTTATCTGCCTATCTTTCCTCAGCAATTACATTCACCAGAAAAAGCCATATCAAATTTCAAAAGAAGGAAAGAAATTTTCTACCAGAAAGAATCCACCTCTAAATGAACTCTGACCCCATCAAGGATCTGAACAAAAAAGATAAATAAATGCATATCAGCAATCACAGAAACCCAAAGGAAAGAAAGTTACTATTACCAATTGCTATTCAACAATAGAATGCAGGAATGGAGAAAACAGATTAGTTTTTGTATGTCAGAAATACATACCATCATGTTTCTTCATCACACCCTTGGCAAACATCAACAATATGACAAGGAATCCTACTCCTGCTGCCCCTCCTAATATTATGGCCACTTTTTTTCCTGTATTTTGTTCTGTCCCTAAATCAATCAAAAACATCCCAATAAATTTTTTTTAAAGTTCAACCATTTTGAAGTCGCGAATCTGAATTAGGAAAAAACTATTAGAACCAAAGGGTAGAAACTAATCAATCAAACAAAGATTCAAAGAATCAAATTTAATGAGAAGGAAAGGCAACCCATTTCCGGTTACCTGATGAAGATGAAGAAGCATGTGAATATGAAGAAGATGAGGATCTTCCAGGAACCCCATTAGGATAATAACCATAACTAAAAAAGCACTTATGCAGATAGATTTGACCTGAGGTAGAACTCCCACATTCAACCTGAGCTCTTTGAACTGCACTTTTTATGCAATCTCCACAATCTGAATCTCCCACATCTCCTTCACATTGCCCCAATACATAAACAGATTGGTAATTTGTGGTATAAAAACCATGGCTACTAACCACCCCATTTTCCAAAATTGAAAAGGCAGTATCCCTTCTCTCTTGAAATCCAACTCCAGCAACATTTGTAGCACCACATGTCTTGAACAATATTTCCATGCCAGAAGTTTCAGAAAAACCGGCAACTTCATACAACATATAGCAGCCATAAAGTTGGATTCTTGAAGCTATAGTTTGGCCACAAAGTTTGTTAACTAACGTTGGGAGCTGGCTGACACAGTTATAACAGTCACTGTTACTGAGGTCTCCCCTACATTGGAAAAGACCAGTAATGGTATTTTGACCGGTGCCTGTTGTTGTCTTGAAATACTTGACCTTCATGGACTGTGAAAGCAATGTTTGAAACAAGGCAGATAGGGCCTGTGAGTATACCCCAGCTGGATCTGTGAAAGCCTGATTTGCACAACCTTTGTAGACCAGGGTTGTGTAATCATTAGCAGATTCAACTAGTGGAGAAAGTTGAAGATTGGTAAACAAGACAAGAAATGAGAGGAAAAGGAAGAAGGGTTTTGAAGAAAAGCCAAAGCCCATTTGTTAGGGTAGTTTTCTTGGATTAAATCATGACAACTTCCTTGCAACTTTGGTAGGTATCTGTAGCAGCTTAGTGGGTTTTAACTAAACTGGTCATAGATTAAAAGGTTGAGTTTTCGAAGTGTTATGCACAACAAAATTGATAATAAAGAAATATATTTATTTAAGATGAAATAAATTTGAAGAGTAGAAGCAAGATTCCCTTTAAAAGATGGCAAGGAGGTATGAATGTACTGATTTTGTGGGGGAAAGTGCCATGGAGTTTAACTCAAGTACATCTCACTAGAGAATTGCTTTGCTAGTGTTTAAATTAAATAATTGGCTAAAGAATCAGCAGTAGTAGAAGTGTTCTATTGGGGGAGGCATTGTTTAAATTTTAGGGTACATAAGGCATGGATGTGCATATGAAAGAAATGATGCATTAATTGAAATTGTTCTTCTGTGCCTTATTTTCACAAGAAAATGACAGCCTGGGGAAGAATTTATAACCATGAGGAAAATCTCATGACAAAACCATGAATCATTCATAACTGCCATCTTAGCATTGGTTGATTAAGATTTTTTATTTAATTTTTATGATTAATAAACTATAATTATATTCGTATTAGCAATTTATATATTAAAGCATACAAAAAAATGTATTCATAAATTAACATTTTTTTGTTATAAGGATTAATATGCTGGTTTTTCATTGAGTGAGAGATTAGTTTCTTTTAATCTGACAAAGTTTTAAATACTTTGCTTGAGCTGATGCTGAACAATTTCCATGCTATTATAGGCTCTGATCGTGCGTCATATTTGTGTAACCACTCATCAATCGTTATTATTATAAATGTGTGAATGACTTATTAGCACAGTGTGGTGGTAGCGACTTTGCTTTGTGCTTGGATGGAAACCTGTAAGTTGCAATTTACAGTTTTCTCTTTTAAAGTTCTGTCAAAGGATTTGCTTTAAATCTCATAATCTCACATCAAAAGTTAATGAGATTTAAATTTGTTAAGTATCTCATATAGAGAGTTTAGTAAAAGTATAAGAGATTTCACCCTTGTTAATAAGATGTTTTAGTTTTAATTTGATAATCTCAGAAAGTTAGACACCAAGAAAATAGCTAAGTGAGTAGGCTATTAAAAGGGTGTAATTAAATTTTTGGTTAAGTTTTGAATAAAGAGTTTTAAAATACTTTTCTCATTTTAAAAGTCTCACAATTGTAAAAGTTTATTTGATAGTGAATTAGATTTGAAATAGACCATTTTGAGTTGGACCGAACCAAATATATTTGTGTGTTCTTATTCTTGATTTGAGCTTACTATTTTATTTTTCCCAATAAGTGATACCAGAGCAACCAAATAAATTTATGTGTTCTTATTTTTTATTTGAGCTTACTGTTTTATTTTTCCCAACAAGTGGTATCAAAGCGAGGTTCGAGGTTTTAGTACTATTAGACGCTAATTGGAATAAGATTCAAAAGAAAGGTTTTAGTACTATTAGACGCTAATTGGAATAGGATTCAAAAGAAAGCTGCTAGTACTATTAGATTGGCGCTAGCTCCAGAGGTACTCTAAAGGTAAAATACAGTATGTTGACTGAGAGTACTCCAAATAGTTTTTGTGGGATAAGCTTGAAGGTATTTATGCTTCGAAGTCGTTGACTAATAGATTATGTTTGAAGATGGATCTGTATTCTCTGAAGGTGAAAGAAGGTATAAGTGAATGAGTTTAATAGATTGGTTTCTCAATTGCTAGCGATTTCTGTTGATGAGTTAAAATATGAAGAGAAAACTTTAATTTTGTTGTCATCTTTGCCCAAGTCTTATAGGTCTTTGTTCAAACTATGTTGGTGGGTAAGTCTACTTTGAAGTTGAATGATGTGACTGTCTTGTTGCATGAGAACGAAAGGTTGTAGAGGGTTTTGATCGAGAAAAGACTCAAAAAAGGATTGATGGATCAAGAGGAGATCCAAGTCAAGAGACAGAGATTACAGTGATATAAAATGGTATTATTGTGGTGAAAAAAGACATATTCAAGTGGGCTGCAAGAAGTTGAAAAGGAATATGGTTGCTTTCAAAAGGACGAATGATGAAAAGAAATCAGATGAAGAAAAGAGTGATATAGTTGCTATCATGTCTGATGAAATTGATGTTGTTTTGACAACTTATGTGGATGAGACTTAGACTTTGAAAGGTGATAAAGGTTGGGTTTTAGATTCAGCTGCTACAGTTGATGTTTGCAATGATAGGAGTTGCTTTGTAGAGTTGGATGAGAATGAGAAGTATGGAGATATTATGGTTGCTAATAAAAAAAATATACAGATTTAAAGCATTGGGAGTGTTCGTCTTAGATCTCACAATGGTGTTATTAGGACATTTCATCATGTAAGATATGTATCAAGTTGTCACTATAATTTGATCACTTTGGGTGAGTTAGCTTCTCGGAGATACACATATTATGGTAGTAATGATTGGTTGAAAGTGTACAAGAATGGTAATGTGATTCTACAAAGGAATAGGGTCAAAAATCACTTATACATGCTTGATGAAAGCTTAATTGCTGAGATCCTTATGATGAAAGAAAAGAAGAAAGCTAAGCGTGTTAGCTTTGTAGATACTATTGAAGTGTTTAGAGATTTAAGTCAAGGGAAGATTTGTTGGGATTTGTCTTGAATCTCATAATCCCAAATCGAAAAAGTTTTGAATTTATCCAGTATCCCACATCGAAAATTTAGTAAAAGTATAAGGGGTTTAACCCTTATAAATACCACATCGAAAATTTAGTAAAAGTATAAAGGGTTTAACCCTTATAAATAAGATGTTTTGGTTTTAGTTTGTAATTGGGTTTTGGGTTAAGTTTTTAGTAAAGAGTTTTAGGAGATTTTTCTCATTCTAAAAATCTCACAATTATAAAGATTTATAAGATTTATTTGATAGTGGATTAGGTTTAGAGTAGTTCATTTTAAGTTGAATCGAACCAAATATTTTTGTGTGTTTTTATTCTTGATTTGAGTTTACTGTTTTGTATATGATTACTGCATAAAAGTGTTGTTTTTCCCAAAATTTTGTTAGAGATATTTCTTATTCTTTTTTTCATGTGAAACATTTGGGAACTTGTGTTTAGCTCATAATGATGACTTTGACCTAAAGAATGTCGAGGTAATTTTAGTTTCTTTGGACCATTTTCTGTTATAATCATTTTTAGTTATCTTTTTTCTCAGCATAAAGCTTAACACAAAAAGTTGAGCGATCATCTGATAGGCTGCCGATTGAATCTCAAATATGGGGCAGTTCTCAAGTGAAAAAGTGAGAAAAAAGGCTGATGTGTCTTCAACTTAATAGCTTTAAACGAAAGATAGAAGGTTAATATTTAGTAAACATATAATTTTTTGTAATACCAAAAATTTACCATACCATTGAGCCCTGAAATGCCTACTATTAGTAAATGTACATGGAAAAACTCTGCTTGCCTGTTCTATTTGATGCATACAACTTGCCAACAAGGAAATTTCTCTCTTCTTTGGCTATGTAATGCCAGCCTTTGTAACTCCTCTCAACCGTAGACGATGAAACAATTGCTTCGGTTGGCTGAGATGCTCTTACTTGTGATCTGAATAGTGATGAACATACTATTGAACTGAACTCTCAAAAAATTCTGTGTTGCTCTTTCTAAAACTAGGGTCAGGAATTTAACACTAAGTTTGAGCTTCACTTTCAAGGAATTCCAGTGCGTTTCTCGTGGATACCCTGTTTACATCTTTTTAGCAATCATGTGCCTTTGACATTTATTTGTGTTCGAGACTTTTACAGTTTTTCTCCATTTTTAACTCGTCTGATTGTATTTCGTATTCAACGTGATTTTAACTGCGAGCTATGGGGATTCATGCATGCATCACAAATACTTCAAGTGAAAGCAAGGCTGAGAAATCTGTATCATTTAGGAAGTATTTAAGTTGCCATTCTTTATTCTTTGACTTGGTACTATTCCTGCTTTGCCCCCATTTTTGGGCTGATAGATTGAATGTGATGGCAAATTGTTTGTAGGTTAAATTATGGGTCTTTGAATGGTAATTGTCATTGTGCTAATTGGAAGTCCCACGATTCATTTCCTTTTCACTAATGCTTCATTTGGATGTCATTTCTTTTTCACTGATACTTAATTTGGATGAGTGGTGAGAGAAACTCTTTGTGAGAGGAATTCCTAGTGGCAAAACGACAGTTTTTGTAGGCCGAAAATTTTTTCCATCCATCAAATGAAGCTTGAGAATATTGAACAATCAAGAAACATTTCCAAGCTTTGAACAAAGCCCTAAAAGCAACAATTGACAATACCTTTTCTTCCTTATCCGTAAGCTATATATGAAGAAGTTGTCCTTTACAAACCTTTAGTTGTTGGCCAATCAACCAAGAATGTCTCACTATGCTAGTGAAGCAACCGTTTGAATTACGGAGAAAATGATGCAATGAGAATTGAGGAATCCTCATTCCCCTTCAATGGTGGGCATTACATCTCCCATAAGTAGATTACGACAGGGTAAGAGAAAGAGAAAAAGAGAGAAATATTGTCTGATTAGCCAGTATAAATAATGGTACATGAAACCGCATATTCCATCCACAAATAAAATACTAGTCAAGGCTACACAATTGAAGAAAAAAAAAGGTAAAAATAAAAATTCAATTAAGTGTTGGCTAGTAGGGGAAAATCCCATTAGTAGGAGTTCAAATTGCCTCTAGGTTCTCTTCGATAAAATGACAGATAATTGACTGGCTTTCATTTCTTCACATCTTAGATGATACAACCGGCACATGCATTACTGGAGGAATGGCCAAAACTGCTTTAGCATTTTGGGAACAGAAGCACAAAACTAAGATTTAAATGGACCTCAGAATCTGGTGTTTTACTTCAACCACGAAACACAACAGTCACAACTAGCAATTGCAGGAGTGTTCAGAGCCAACTTCCCATATATGCCAAACAGAAAGGGTCGCTTTTATGACTCTGTTGAAGCATCATCTTCAGGAAGGCCAAATATGCGGAGGTTGCGATCCATTGATCCCACTCCCAAGTACTTTGCATCTGGACCAAATTTGACACAAGTTGCTCTACCTGCAAATAGAGGAGAATAATGGACTTCAACTTCAGCTGGCAATCAGAAATAACAATAGACTGAATGAATAGAAGACAAACCAGTGCCAGACAAATCAGGTAAAGTTTTGATGCAATTCCATTCTGCTTTGACACTGCCAACTTGGTAAACTCTGGAAGCACAAAATTAAATCAGTGTCACAAGAAAGTAAATATTTGAAATAATATTTGGGAGAGGATGAGCTTGAGTGACTAGAGAGAAGTGCACTAAACATGTTATTTGAAATTTTAGTTAAGAGGAATCCAACATATAAGCATTCTATTGAAATATCATGTGCAAGCAACACACTCTACATCCAATTTTCAGTCCAGAGAACTATCCTATACCAAGATTTGGAGACCTTAAGACCACCTACCTTACGTCTGAGCCTGCAATAGCAAGGTAACTCCCACTATGGTCGAAATCCACTGAAAAAAAAAAAAAAAAACAGAATTAAAGCTGCTGCTAAATATAGCTTTTCTAGATCACCAGCTCTGATCACAAGACAGTGAATTTTTACTTGTTCACTTTCTTTTTTTTGCCCTTTAGCTCAAAGTTGCCAATGCGAAAAGCATGGAGCATATGGAAAAACTAGTTTACATAGACAAAACAGTAAATGAAAGCATTATACCAAAAACATCATCAGATATGTTGTTCGCTCCTAAGAGAGAGCCAATAGAAGACATGCTAATATATAGCCAGACAGGGTATGCTATCCAGATATTACATACCAGAGTTAGTTGGTGTGTTTTGATCATATAATTCAAATGATCGGAAATTCTTTAATTTGCGCAGATCCCACAACTTAACACCATCATGTGCAGCAGTCTGGAGTTAAAACATAAATCAGATAGAGGAATTCATGGCCATCAATCTAATGTGCATATTTGGCTAAGTGCTTACTGCAAGGAAGTAACCATTTTCCGAGAAAGATATGGCTGTTACTGCCCCAGTATGTCCATCAAAGTTGGCAACATTTCCCTGCAGGGTAATAAAATAACGATTATTCATAAAGAAAGGAAGACAAAATATCTGAAAACATAAGTTCAGGTCTCATAACATAGTTTCTATATACCCGACTCTTCACATCCCAAATTCTAACGGTAGCTCCTGTGGTGCCTGTTCCAAGGATGAGACCATCAGGATGAAAAGCAGCAGATGTATAGCCCATGGAATTTGAAGGGTCTTCGACCTGTAGAAATAAAAATCTGAGTCACATTATAGGATTTCCTAGTTAAAAAAAGAAATGAAATGAAAATTTGGTTCAAGGAAAAAGAAATCATTTTACCATCACCCCTACCAGTAAAGAAAACAGTGACTACATATTTCCATTGAAAGTAGTAAAGAAATTTAGGGGAAACTTGAATACATGCTAGAAATTCACAAGAAACTACTAATAGCCCACATAACACTCTATTGACTATGGGAAACAATTAAAACTTCACAGTTTAACTTTTAGCACTTCACGAATCAATTAAACAGAAGTTATATTTACTGTCCGAACCCAGCATTCAAGCTTAATTAAAGAGATTCAAATACTAATATAAGTTACTTTTAATTAATAAGAGATCAATTAATCAATTCACTTCACGGGCAATAAATAAGATGTTCACTATAATGGAAAACTTTAAAGATCAGAGAGAGAGAAGGAATAGGACCTGTGTCAAGCATAAGCCAGAGGAAAGATCATAAAAGCACCATGTTGTGTCAAGGGAAGCAGTTACAAAGTAGTTATTTGTGGCATGGACTGTGACAGCTTGCACCTAAAAGAGTGAAAGTTAGATTTATTCTCACGTCCACAAGACAGCAAATAAACCGGAATCAGAATTTGATAATCATAGCAGATGGTGTTTCAGAATATCTAGATTTGAGCATTTATTTACCTCAGCTGTATGATCCTTCAAAATATGCCTGCAATCATAGTTTCCATCTTCAGAACCTTGCCAAATGCGAACAGTCTGCAACATTCAAAGACCAATCAAACTGTGACGCAAGCTAAAACCTAAATAAAATATGGAGTAGTTTAGTTATGGTTAAATGATTAAAATGTCAACACTAGATTCTATTAAAAAACATATCCTATGGAGCATAAACCTTACATAAGGATCACAAGAATAGAACAAAAACTGGAACTTGAGACTTGAAAATTTAGCTTACCTTATCTGCTGATCCACTTAGACATACATCATTCGGAGCTACAAATTTTACACTTGTAACCTACCAAAGAAGAATGCAGTTGGAGAATAAATTTCAAAAGAAAATTGTAAACAGCAGCCCATGAACAAACTAAAAGAAACTGACAAAAACCTTCTTAGAGTGACCACTTAGTGTTGATAAGATCTCTCCAGATGTTCGATCAAAGAGTACAGCATTTGAATCAATTCCTCCTGTGGCAACAATGTCCTAACAAACAGATGTAAAAGGAAGTAAATGGACAAACTTTGAAGAATAGTAGAAACATAAAAGTAGAGGCTATTCCAATTACATTTAACATTGTAATCTGCAAAACAAATTCCCTTAGTATACACTAGTCCAGTGATTATAGCATTAAGCAATTTATACTCCTAGAAAAGCAAAACAATACGGTCAGTAGACTGGCACCTGGCACAGGATTTTTGGTTCCCCAGGCTAGATCAATACGGCCTTAAAAAAATAATGGAAAGATTGGAAATTGCTAGTCTAACATGACATGAGTCCATAAAAACAAAAATTAAATTGCCTATCATCTTGATAATCTCTTTAACATAATTTCCAAAATTAAAATTCTAACCATGTTTCTAAGAGATCTATTTCACATTTTCCTTAATTTTGGCAGCTAAATATCAAGTCCACAACATGCAATATCCGAAACATAACCATCTTCTGCCTTGAGAGGTGCAGGCATAAATAAGTATAGTTTGAGTTAATAGCACCTAAAGTCCCTAAACTTTGAACCAATTTCAATTTCCTTAATCTTTAAAAAGTTCTAATTAGATCCCAATTGCCCAAAGTTACATATTTTGGTCCATCCATCTATGAAACGTTTAAATTAAATAATGATAATATTTTCAAATTTCTTATATATTAGATATATTTTTAGATATATTAAATTTAAAATTATATTTTTATTGTAATATAATTTATTAGTTAAATATTTTTTAATAGAAATAAATTTTCAAAAATTAAAATTAAATTAAACATTTCAAAATCCTTTTTAACAAAAAATTCATATTAATTTAAAAACAAAAAATCTATTTCTATTATATTAATCTACTTTTTACAAATAATCTATTTTCTATTAAACTTTTATATTTATAAAAAATAAAATATATTGTTTTCAATAACAAGATTTCTTCCCCTTACTAGATTCACAAAGGTAAGGCCCATTATGATTCTTTATTTTTTATTTTTTATAAATATAAAATTTTAATAAAGAATAAAATTAAATCAAAATTTTCCAATAGAAAATTTATTTTTTTAAGTGATATGAAAATTTCTACTTAGCATTTTAAAACGATATTGAGTTTTTTATTTAATTTTTAAGCCAATATAAAATTTTTTATTTAATTTTTTAAAATGATATGAAACTATTTTAAAAGGATTTAAAAATGTTTAACTTATTTTTCATTTTTGAAAATCTATTTTCAATTAAAAAAATATTTTACTAATAAATTATATTACAATAAAAATATAAAAATATTATTTAAATTTAATATTTTATAATCCAAAATATAAAATATTGAGATAACAACATCTTTGGACCCTTACATAAGGCCAATTGACACTTATCGTCAATTTAGACGGTTCCATAATCGAAATGATAAAAATAGGATAACTTTAGGTAATTTAAGATCAAATTAAAACTTTTTAAAGATCAAGGACAAAATAGAATTTCGCGTAAAGTTTGCAGACCACAAGTGTTATTAACTCTTATAGTTTCATGAGAGGGATTATCTAAAGGCAGAACCACACCTTTGAAAGATTGATATCAATTGAAGTGATTCCTGGTTTGTTTGTCTTGTGGAGGGGATGACTAGAAAGTTGGGTATATCGCTCCAAAGCATCAATGGGAGCCAATGTTGGAGGTATCTGAAAAGAAAACACAAGGAAAAGATTGGATGGAGGGCTATTACAAGGACAATATGAGGATGTTATCTACAAAGAGATAGTTGGAATCAACCAAACTAAAATGGATGAAGGGTACCTGGCGCTTTTTACGCTGTTGTGACAGAGCTGCATTACATTCTGTTAACTCAGCAATAATGCTCTCAGAAACCCCAGGACACACTCGCTTTGCACCAGGGCCCAAATCTTCATCCTCGGCAGCTATGATCACAAAAAATAAATCTAAAATAAGATACTGGATTAGTTAAAGGTAAATAAACATTAAAGAAAAGCATACTGAGAAAGAACCTCGCTTTCCATTGCTAAGAGTAGAAACATTGGCAACAACTGCCGATGTTGGCAAGGGTGCCTGCCTCTCAGCCAGCGCAAGTAATGACCTGGCTTCATCCCTTTCCTTCTTAAGTCTTGCAATCACCCGGCAGGCAGCATCATGCTGTATAAAAAGTAATAAATTGAACTACATTATAATTTGATAAAAAATAAAGTATCAGAAGGCAAAAGACACAAAATTCACCAGGTGGGCTAAAACTCAATATCCTTCAATTACCAGATTTCACAACCATACGGACCTTAAAATAGATCTTTTTAATCATTTTACTTTACAGTTGAAAGTAAACATTTTTGAAGCAAAGCATCCCCAATGAAGAAACTGCAACACACACTATACATTAAAAGTCAAGGCTAAAAACAAAAGCCTTTATACAACCATTGAGCTAAATTACTCAGCTTCTTCGGGAATGTTAAAAGGAATTAAACCACTAGCAAGATTGTAAAATAGATTTTGACAAAAAGATATAATACCAGATAATTAAAAAGATTTTTTTGTTTCAATCTAGACTAAAGTAAATGTCATGCTCTTTCTCATGCAGTGACATAACATAATAAACAAAACCAATAAATTAAAAGGGTTATAGGAATGTCAAAAGATAATTAGACAACTATAACCTTATTTTAATTACCTGGTAGAGTGCATGACTTAGCTCTTGCCTAGCTGTATGTAGCTGCTGCTCCAACGCAAAATTGGATAGCATTAAAGCATCCCATTCCTGCAATGATCAGAAGCAAAACACTTAAGCAAATCAATGTAAACACAATGAAATTTATTGGTAAGTGGAAATTTGCTTTGGTAACAATTCCTTAGAAAAGATAAAAGGAATTAAATGAAGAGAAATCATATCTAGCTAAAAAAAAAAAGCTGCAAAGTTAGACCCCCACAGTAAAACCGGCCACAAAATTGTAACAAAATTACACAGAACAAGTGAAATCCCCCCCACCCACCCACCATGCACTCACAAGGATACATGCATAACAAAAAGGAATGCATGGTCTCAAAACATGAAGTGTGCAATGATTTACACTAATTCATACATAAAAAACCACATAATAAAGGTATAAATGTATCAGGAAAACATACATTCTGAAACATTCCAAGCATCCCAGGAATGCTAGCCGCTGTTAACGATCTGGGCTTCACAATCTGCATCAAACACCGTAAAAACAAACAAATCAGCTCAGAAAGAAGAAATGGAAACAAGTGCTTGCAAGGAAAATACCAATAATAAAATCACCTTTCCGGTTTGGACTGGGACAATGTCGTCCATTGTAAGTGGATCTCCTGTGACCGGACACTTCCCATAATCCTAATCAAAACAGCAAAACAACTATTCTATCAAACATGCAGCTAATTCATCTAAATATTAAGTAAGTAATGTCGAAATTCCAATATAAAAGTAAAAAAAAAAAATCAAATTTCCGAGAAAAAAAGAGAACTTTAAAAGGAAACCTTTTTCTTTTTTGCAATTTTACAGTTTTCTAAGAACTAAAACTTAAAAAAAAATGAACTTTGAGAGTAAATTTTTAAGAAACCAAACATAAACCCTAGAAATGCTCTTTTAAAGGGGTAAAAAAAGAGAAGACGAACTGCAATGTGTCTCTCGATTAAGCGTTTCTCGTAAAGCAAACCGGATTTCTTGGAGACGACGGGCTCTTCCGGCACCTCGCCGGAGACTGCACAGACAACCAAAAAATCTCAGATCAAAGAAACCGACAGCATTTAACAAAAAGAAATTTAAGAGAGAGAGAGAGAGAGCTACTTGAGCAGTTCATGGTGAAAGAGGAATTAGGGTTTTGATTTCCCTTTCTTTTGGGGGGCGAACAGTGCTGAAGTAAATACTCGAAACGATTCGATAGGCAAAACGAAGCAGCAGCAGCCACCAGCCAGCAGCGAAAAGAGGAGCCCGAGAAAAAAGAAGAGAGCGAGGGAGAGGTGAAGAAAATTAAATAAAAAACAAATCAAGATGGGTCAAAAAAGGTCAACAGATTAGGGAAATTTCATCAGCCTTTTGGGCCGAATTTGGGAGCAAATCTAAACGAGTTGAGGACAAATTTGCGCCCAAACCAATCTTAGACATGATTTTTTAAATACGGTCCAATTGATGTAAGATATTATTTTCTTAATTAAGTATTATTTAATTTTAATTTTATAGTTTAAAATTATTATTATAAAAATAACTTTTTAATATTTTAATAATATTTTTGTATAATTAAGCCCGAATGAGCGGGCTTTGATGAGTTGCTTAGAACTATGGACACTCACACCACTAATAAAAGGGATAAAATTTTGTTCACTGGTTGGATCTCATTGAATTTGATTCAATTTTTTGAATAATATATAATATTTTAAAATTTTAAATTAAATCTAAATTCAAATAGATTTTTTTAAAAATTGATTTAATTTAAACTGAATTTTATTAGTTTGATTTAATTTATCGATTTTTAAATTTTTAAATTTTGTTTTTATATATTATTTTAATAAAATTTTAATATATTTAAATAATTTTATATATAAAATAATTATTTTATGTAATAAAAATTTAAATTATATATATATATATTTTTTTTTTTAATTTACTTTTCATTTGAAGAACTAAAGTACTAATGTCACAATCAAATCTGCAGTATGCCTGCCGCAAGACACTAGCGGATAGTCGACCTCGAGTTAGAGGAAGATTTGTGAAGAATGATGATTATGGAGAGACCTCTAGGCAAGCATGTAGCAGTCATGAAGAAGATGATCGATGATGAAGTAAAGATCTTTTTTCTTTTATTTTCTTTATAATTCTTTCTGATATATCTATTTATACTTTTATTGTCACTTCCCCAACAGGTTGTTGTGAAAGAAGACGAAGAAATGGTTGATTCCTCATATATTTTTTTCTCACATTAGTGGTGTCAACTCCTTCAAATGCAATTACCAAATCCAGTCCTGGATTTGAAATAGTTTAATTAAACAACAAGTCTGCTACAATTTTGCAAGACCCCTATTTCAGACAGGATTTCTCCATCTGAGTTTGATCTTGAAAAAAACAACAAAATGGGGGGGGGAAAAGAAATAATTGTGTCCTATGGTATGCAAATAAATGATGCCCTTTACATCGGTTCATATTTTACATTTATGTAGTCAAATCCACATTTTTTTTTGTGCTGGTTTTCTTGGATAGCCAATTTCCCACTGCAAAATTGCTATAAACTTTACTATGATTAGGGGATTTATCAAGCTAGCTTAGGCCTACAACTGGTTACGCTTCAACTAAACCCATTTCTTGCTCACTAATACTTAGCATCTCAAAGTAGATCTAGTAATTTGAAACAAGACATAGTGATACGATACGGATAAAGGACACAAAAATAATACAATTTAAAATTTTAAAAAAATCATAAGTAGGTTTAATAAAATAAAAAATTATATTTTATGTTTTTGTATCGACACGAACTGTAACATATAATTTTCATATAAAATATGATACGAATACAATATTTTATATGATACGATGACACAAATTACTATATCTATCTCAAAGCAATTTATGCTTAAGCCCAAGCCTTAGCAAGAATGTTTCTTTCCTTGAAGATAGATGCTATTGCATCCATATATTTGGACATAATAATTTTATGTTCAAAGAACACAGTTGAAATCTCCATTTTCCCTAAATCAAAAATATCTAAAATTAGATTATATTTGCATTGCATGTTCCTATTTTTGTTGTGTTCATAACTTCAAGCTAAAATGAAAAAGCATGTTACCAATTAAATTAAGGTCAAATAGCCTATGAACTTAAGGGTATAACAGAATTATTTGACTTTATTTTTGCTTCCACCCTTTCTACCTTCAATTAATAAGAGATTAGACCTTATCCCCATGGTTCACTGTGCCTTAACAACTCATTCTGATGTCAGTAAAGACTTCCAATCACCCCCTCTTGCTATATATAGGCTATTGAGATTAAAGTAAAGTTGGTATTATGGTATATATCCCATAAAACAACCATTCTCCATCATGATTATTAGGGTTTGAAAAAATGAACCTTACGAAGTTAGGTATATTTTGGAATACAGACAACAAAAAAGGTGTTTTTTTTTTTTCTTTGGTTCAATGAGGTTGTTGGTTAGCCGGTTCCTAAGAAATCAAAAGGTTCCTCGTTTTCAAAGATTCATTTGATTGAGTCGATAAATTGTTTATTTTATGATCTTGCTGGATCTACCTTTTATCAAAATGCCAGGAATTTGGGAGAATATACTAAACACCAGTCGAAAGTATGCCAACGTTTTTTTTTTTTTTTCAAATTTTGCAATTCATATATTGATATCGTAATTTATACGAAAATTACATGTCATAATTTGTGTCGATAAAAAAATATAAAATATATTTTTTGAATTTATTAAACCCATATATAATTTTTACTAAACTTCTAAATCATGTCTCATTTGTTTTTTTTACTACACTTCATATCATTTACATGTTATGTTATTGTATTGTATTTTAAATTATTAGGTTTATGTATACGATAAATTAAGAGAAAAAAATTACATTCAAATGTAATTTATTAAAATTAAAATAATGTGAATTTAAGGCTTAACGTAATTGACTTATTATTTATTTAAAAAAATGATATTTGATAGATATAAAATTTAAATCTTATCACCTATAATTTTTTTCTATTACCATATTACGATTTCTTTTATAAAAAAATGTCATAAAAATTTGTAATTCTCATTTCACATCAAAACAAAATGGATTTCATTTATTTCATATAGAATGAGTTGATGTAAGAGAGCCATGAAAATTCCATTTCAAATTACATTAATTAATTTAGACTAGAATGAATGAAGGGCTAGAAGAATAGTTGTAAGGTGGTTGTCTGGTTTGGTAGTTAAAAAATCCAATCATGCTGCAATTTTCTTTAGCCTTTGTCTATCCCATTTGATGCAAATAAAGACCAAAATACCATGCATATAAAAATGGTCAACTAGTGTTGGACCTAATGAAGTAATGGGACTTTGAAATATGATTCTTTGAACATGAGAAAAATTTTTGGATGTGCCAATAGGATGATTTTAGTTGCTCATGTCATATGGCACCTAATTTCTAATTTGTGGAGGAACCATTTTACAAAATTCATGTTTCAATGGCCCATAATTGCAGTCACCAGAATCTTGGCATAGAGACCATCAATCACTTTCTTATAGCACCACATTAATGGACTCATTCAAACACATGAGTAGGGAAAAAAAAAAAAAACTCAAAATGTTGATTGTGTTTTTAAATTTGTGTCTTGAGAAATTCCCGAAGTTGATTGATCTTTTAAAAAACAAAGAAGGAAACAAAAGAAACCCATGAAATTTGGTTAAAAAATTAGATTTTTTTTATAAATTTATATTTGATGTAATGTTGGTATATAGATTTTTATACTATCAATGACTTAGACGATACCATCTCATTAATGAAATAAATCAGATGATATTACTTTATTAATAAGTAAGTTCTTAAAAAAATATTAATTTTTATATATTTATTTTAAAAATTGATATTTACTCATTAACAAGATGATATTGTATTTAAAGATATGGAATATAAACTCTTTTTTTTTACATAGATCGCAATATCGAAATAAAAAGATATTATAAATGTTAAAATTTAAATTCAGATATGTTAAATATCATATTTAAATAATGATTATATAAATCAATTAAATTAAATTTCATATTCAAAATTGAATTGTTTTGAGTTCAATTAATTCAATCCCTATTGCTTGTAATTCCCCTTTCCCTACCATCCCTATATTTGAAACTCCCCTTGTAATTAACAAAAAATAATAATTAACAAAAAAATAATAATTTAATTAATTTTTGATGAAATGATTTACTAACAATTTTGTAAATTATTATGCTTGAATTGTACAAAATAAGTTTGAGTGATCTAATTGTGAATTGTATTACCTTAAAAGATCTTTATGTAATCATGTTCCTAAATCACAATTAAAAGTACAAAATTATGTTCCATAAAAAAAAAAAAAAAAGAAGAAGAATAGTTAGGATTTGGTATTGGAAGAATAATTGACTACATTGATGTCATGTAATGCACACATGTTTGATTCATTTTCCTTTTGCTTTCAATTCCCTTTTTGATTTACTTTCCTTACTTTGTTCAGAAAAGTTGATTTATTTTCCTTTTACTTGCAGAAACTAATAAATTAAAGCATGTGGAATATTCTGTTACAAATAATTTGAGATAAGTAAAAAATGAATTAAATAAGGATTCATCAATGAGATGATATTTAAAAAGATATGTATTGATATTTTAAAAATATTTTATTTTTTTTTATAAATTTACAAATGTTCTATTTTAACTTTCAACAAACTTTTTTATCTATTATATGTAAATTTAATATAAATTAGCTATGTACATCAACATTATCAGGTCTAACAATTAAATTTAGCTGTTGTTTTTGGTTTGAACTTAGTCAAACCGAAATAGAAGTGTTTATTTGATCGATTCAATTAATTTCGAATCAAATTATCTAAAATTAAATTAATTAAATTATTTTATTTTATTTTTGTTATTCTAAATTGAATTTATTAATTAAAAATTTAACCGATCAAATTTAATTTAGTCAATTCGATTAATTTTTTAGATTAGTGAAATAATAAATATATTTAAGTTAAATTATATTTTAAACTCTTAATTTTTTATATTTTAAATAAATTAATTAAAATTATTCAATAAAATATTCAAATAGTAAATATTATTATATTAAAAACTCTAATAATTTATAAAATAAAATGATTCATTTTATGAATTTTTTATTTTATATTTAGATTTTATATATATATTTTTCATTCAAGGGTGTCAAAACCTTACATTAAGGGGACGAGAAAAGGTTGAGATTCGAACCTCAATTTTAATGTCTTCTTTAAGAGATTATCTTGATCACTAAATCAAACAGTTAAAAATTATATTTCAACTAAAATTTATGTACATTTAATTTTTAAATCGAATTAATTAAAAATTAAAATTATTTTTATTAATTATTCGAAATTAATTTTATAATCAATCGATTAATCAAATTAAATCAATTTAATCGATTAATTTAATTAAAATCGAAACATCCCCGAATAAAAAGCATTAATGATGAATTGGAACTTACTTTATTAAATTGGTACAAGAAGTAAAAGAGGAATATGAATATTTAAAAAGAGCAACATGCAAAGCAAAAGATGCAGCAGATCCAGATAGTTGTAATAAATAAAATCATAGTAAAACAGAACAACAAACAATGGATCTCATGTTGTTGTTCCTGCTGTTTTTTGTTTTTCAAGCTTTGAACAAAAACATATGGCATTACCAACTTGGCAGCACTTTGACCATTCCCCCAGACTAGTCAACAAGATCTTCTTCCCTGGTCTCTCTCTCCTTCACATGTATTTGGAAAAGAATCCTTCTGTTTGAACAAAAAAATGAAATAAGAAAGTCCATTTCTTCAGTTGATGTGCCCCCTCCCTATGTAGCAAGTGGCCCTCTCTCTATCTTTCGGCCTCAGTGGATTTCTGTTCACATCCTGCGTTCCAGCTCACTTCTTCCTCTTGGAGAATTTTTCAATTGTTTCTTTGTGAAGATATCCCTTCTGCTTTTCATTTTTTATTTATTTGCATAAAAGAAAAAAATAATTGGAAAATAAAAGTGGGTCCTTGTTGAAACAATGGAAGAACGTGGAACCAAAATTCCACGACTAAATGTGGTTTACAACACCGTTTTTCCATTTCATGCCGCCCACTACTTTCGCTTCAGTTTTGGGGTGCTTTGCTTTGTTATATCTTTCTTTAAGCCAAAAAAAGCAACCTTGATTAGTGTCTTAAACAGTTAACAACAAACCAACCTTTTCTCATAACAAAAAAAAAAAAAAACAAAAACAGTACTTGGAACAAAGTTTAGTTTGGTTCTCTTCATTTTCTCTTTCTCACAAACACAAAAAGCTGTCTTTTGTTATCTTGGTTGGGTGGTTATGCTTTCTTTGAGTTTCTAAGCTCTGGGTTAATGAGTGATTAAGTTTTTACTTTATTGGGAATCAGCTGCTGCTTCTTATCTTTGCTTGTTTTGCTTTTCTATTGGATTGGGGTGGTTGATCTTTGTTTCTTGGATCCATTTCTTTGAGGTAAGAGAAAAAAGTTTCTCTTTTTACTTATTCTATTCATAAAAGTTTGTAACTTTCTTCTTCATTTTGTTTTTCTTTTACATTGATTTTGACAGTCTTTGTTTATTTCTGTTTTTTGGTATTACTTAATAGCAAGTACTTCCCAGTTTTGTTCTTAGGATTGAATTTTCTGGTTAACTGTTTCCACTTTCTTTTGATTCAAAAATTTTATGTAGCTGAGTTTCTTGGATTGATGGAAGCTGGTTTATTGTTATAGAGTAATATGTTTGACAGTGTTCAAAAGCCCCATCAGTTTCCCTTAATATGTTTGTAATTTGAGTGATCTCTCTTTCCTCTATACTATTTGGATGGTAGATTTGGTTGAGTTTAATTTCTGGGTATGATTTTTTTTCTGCCGTATTTTTCCATCAATGCTTCATTATTCCTTCCTTTACCTGCTTTGTACCTTAATGTTGGTGTAATCAAGCTCTTTAAATTTGGTTATATGTCATAATTATGTCCACTAGATACCATGAAAACAAGTGAAAAAAGACAAGGATATATGTTCTTGTCTTTCTTCTGCATAACTGCACATAGTTACATATATAAAAATTAAAGCTCCATTGTTCAAATCCTAGCAGCCTTGAATGTAAAAAAACATAGTTTTTATTCGAGTCCAACATGTTCTGTTTTGTTTCTCATCATTGAAAGTACCCTCTCCATCTAGATTTGTCTTAACCTTATTCTTTCTAGCTGAGGCATGGATTGGTAATGCTAGAGTCATAGCATCCTTTCCATTTGTATTTACTTCCTTTTTTGTACCATCTTGATGTAATTCTTCATCCTATTCTTCAGATTTCTTGTGAAGTACAAATTGGATAGTTGGAGGCTTATATATGGATTTTGTCTGCTGTCAAACTGACATCAACCACTTCCAGGCAGAGAACGGGAAAGAGGTGTGCCCATCATTAAGCACTATATTTGATCAGAGACAGAAGATGGACAACACATTTGTCAGTGGTCAGAAACAAGGCAAAGATGATTCACTGCAAAACTTGGAGGATGGAAGGGATATTTCAGGAGACAATGGAATGAGAAAGCTGGCAAGAAGGGCAAATCCACAGCATGCTCTGATATTAAATGTTAAGAGATTACAAGCCGGAAAAAGTCTTATAAAGGATCCATTCCTTCGGAGTATTTTTGGAATAGGCAATAAGATTATGAGGCATGTTGTCACTTTAGATGAGAAATATCTTCGTCATTGCCTGGAATTGATTCATATCAATGCAGCAAAAGCAGCTCAATGCAACATCTCTGTGAACTTAAGTTCCATAAAAATGGGCATTTTATCTCATGGACTGAATTCAGCTAAAATCAGGGATGAAAATACATATGATTTGGGCAAGTTTGTTTTTGAATGTCCACTGGCAGTTGGGACTGGTAGTGTAGTTATCGGTCCTGCAGAACAGTGGGTTTTAGGTTCAATAATGGGCAGCAAGAGAATGGCAAATATATTGAAGAGCCCATTGTTACGGAAATTGGGTGCATTGGATGTTGATCCAAGTTTGAATGATGTTAAAGGATCGATAAGTTATGACTTCATGAGCTCTCCTGGAGGTTTCAGTAACTATTCCTCACATAAGCTAGGAAATGAAACACCCATATCAAAGAATCATAAATATGGATCTGAGACTCTGCATAAAAGGCTTGTTTCTGTGTCAAGTACAAACTCAGCATGCTCTTATCAGTCCTTTTCTTCTACTTCGACAGCAATTTCTCAGGGAATGCTTCAGTGCACATGGAAGGGTGGGATTCCGTATTTTGTTTTCTCCCTGGATAATCAGAGGGAGTTATATGTTGCCAATTTGTCAAAGGAACGATCAGCTTGCAATAAGGGTCTGGACTATATGTACTTGTTCCATTCAAGCAGGGGAGGCCATAAGGAACATGGGATGAGTGATAACGAGTCACACCTTGTTGGTAAGATGAAGGTATCTACTTCTTTCTCAATCTGCCCGCAAGATTCTAAAATCATGGAGACGGAGTTTGTTTTGTTCAGTGGTAATGAAACTTTTATTCGAGAGATGCAAACTTCAAGCCATAACCACAGGAAAAATAAGAGTCTATCAAAAAAGGTGGTGGAAGTATTCAAGAGCAGTCACTCTTCCAAGCAGAGAACGACATCTAGATTTCGTCGATCAAGTTCCATAATGGAAGATTCTTCTTGGGATCCATGCAACAATTCTGATGCACTAGATGGGGCAAACCTTTTAGAGGAACAACTTCTGCCTAATTTTGAATTGACTGCCATTGTTGCGAGGGACCATTTCCCTGAGAATCCTTGCCCAGAAGTTGGAGGCTGGGGCTTAAAGCTTCTCAGGAAAGCGGGGTTTAAGCAAATGGTTGACACTTTGGAAGCCCCAGTTCCTTCTGCTTGTTCTTGTGATACCAGTGATTACTCGACAAGTATGGATGCTCTAGTTCCAGCAGGTATTCATGGTGGTCCAAGAACTAGAAATGTTGGCCCTTCTAGTCTAATTGAAAGATGGAGATCTGGTGGACATTGTGACTGTGGTGGCTGGGACTTGGGCTGTCCGCTGACAGTACTTAAAGCCAGATCAAGTAAAGAAGCTGGTTTACCTCCAACAGATATGTCCGAGGCATGCAAGTTATTTGATTTTTTCATTCAGGTATGTCAGTCTCTGTGTTTTCCCCGTCTGTTACATTCTAAGATGGTTAATACTGTTAGGATTTAGGCTCGCTGTCAATGTTAGAAGCACAAGATCTATGATATTTATGTTTGCACCATTTCTCCTCAGTGGAACAGATTTTCTTTTTCATGGTTAACAATCAAATAACTTTATTACGACCTGAATAAGCATTGTGATGACCATTGCCCAACTTCAAATTTTCAGGGTTCAGAGCATGGTTCTCCAGCCTTGAGGATAGTAAATGTTCATGATGGCCTGTATTTTATTCATTTTCAATCAACACTCTCAGCTCTGCAGTCTTTTGCAATTGCTATTGCTTACATCCATACTCAAAGTCCCACTCTCCGACCAAAAAATGTACAGCAGTAAAGGTGGCGACATCTAGATTTGAAGTTTCTTTAGTTGTAATCCTCTTACCGTACCAAAGCAGTGTGTAAGTTGAAATTTAGGTATTTATACACAAACTGAGATAATTATTTTTATATTTTCTTGTAGCTAGTTTGACTTGTTTCAGATTGCTATCTTATATAGGTTGTCTACCATTGATTGGGAATTTTATCCTTGAATCCTTAGAACAAAAGATCTTGTATTTTGCTCCTTTTTTATTGAATGTACAAGTTTAAGCCAGTGTGAATTTTATACCAAATGCATTTTACAGAATCTATACTCTGTAGCCTTTAGCATTCAGTAAATTTTGAAATTCTATTTGAACAAACTAGAAGTGAAATTCAAGCATAAAAGAACTAGCATGTAGCTCTCAGAAATTGCAAACTAAAGGATGAGTTTGCACTTTGAGTGTGATGACTTAATTTTTCGAGTAATTGCCTTGAAATTATCTTCATGTTATGGTACTTTTGCTCATAGACTTTGTAATCACTATATCGTACTCATGCTTTAAGCAAAGGTGGAAGGAGGTTGGTCCTTCTGCCTAACTATTAACTTTTTTTGGTATTAGAGCATTCTCTTCAGGTAACATTACTCTTTTTCGCTCTTAAATGCATTATGCTAGTTCAATCAGATTTCCAGTTTTTTCTCATCACTTCAGGTACATTCATGCAACTGTCTTATCGTTTTGCTTTCATGCAAAAGTAAGAATTATTTTTGCTCCTCCCTCTTGAAAACAAGCTCTCTCTTGAGAGTTGAAAGGGATAAACTGTTATAATAGGCTTACGCTTGGTCATAATGAGCTTGTTTCCTCTACTATGTGTAAAATACACAAAAATGTTTCTTACCATAATATCATGAATGTGCATTGTGCAAATTGATCACAGCTCAGGACTATGTCATTGGTCCTCCATGGGGAATGATGCGGACACACACAACTGCTGGAAATACACCATTCTGCAAAAAATAAGAAAGACTTTAACTTGCTGCTGTGGTTTGGAGCCATTGCCCGGGATCTGTTTGTATTATTCTTCATGACATGTGGCCAGGTATCTCTCTTCCTTGAATAAATCTAGGAAGTTTCCACTTGCCTTTTATGTTTCATTTGGAAGGGACAAAGTTTTTGGCAAATTCAGCAGTCTTCTTGTAGTTGGGTCTCGAAGAAGCTTGTTGACTTAAGGAAGTCTTGTAGCTCCTCTCATTTCCTGTACCTAGAATCAGGCAGGATGGACAGTGTCCAAGTCAGGAATTTTTAATGATGCAGGCACCTTTAATTCCATTCGATCTAAGTAGCCAAAGGTGCATTGGGATCGGCTCTTATGATTCTGCTATAGCATCCCCAAGCGTGTCTTGATTGCTTGGATTGCTGTTCTGGACAAATCACTTCTTCAGAAATGCTACAATTGCGGTATTGTCAGACACTTTCTGTGTTCTTTGTGGACAGGCTATTGAAGACAGAGATCATTTGTTCTTTGGCTGCCCTTTCTCCAAGCAAGTTTGGAGTAAAGTTCCATGGTGCTCTGGTATTATAAGATCAGTGGGTGATTGAAATAGTGACTTTGCTTGGATAAATCTCCTTAAGGGTAAATCACTTGGTGTGCTTATATCTACTTTGTGAGAATGCAATACCAGAAAGCATGGTAAGCAGGAGCAAGGAGCAGATGTGATGCTCAATAGCATCAGTGATTCAGTGTGGTTCAGGCTGAATCAGTTTACGCAAGTTGCTGCTGATATAAAATACTTCTCTCCGTAGAAATTGGAGATTATGAGATTCTTTATCCGTACATAATACAAAGTTTTACTTATGTAAATATACAGTTTTGTACCGATGGCACCGGTACATTTCCATGCTCGTTTCGATAAATAAAATAAAAACGTTGTAAAACATCTAGTGATTACTGCTTTCTGAGTGATCATTCCTGACATATGGAGGAATCCCATGTTGTATCTCCTTTTCTGCCGCGCAATGCAAACAGATCAATCAGGAAGCACAGAACATGCTTCATTATGTTTTTCCGAAACCATTCTATCATGAAGGTGATTCATGCAAATACAAATGCAGATGCATTCTTTCTTTCTCTGTCGCTTCGCTACTAGATTCAATTAAGCATTGGTGAACTTAGAAGCCTATGATTTTGCACTTCAAAATTAAATTGATGTTACCAATTGTAATTTCCTGCTGAAACATGGTATCCAGCCCCTTTCCATGACTAAGTGACTATTAACATCTTTTTCTGTTAATGAAGAATTCCATATGCACAAATACAAAATTGTAATTTTTTTAAACTTATTATTAAAATTTGAACTTAAAATTTTTAGTTTCGAGGCGATTATGATAATAATCTGTATTTTTATTTTTTTTGTATTAGTATTATTTATGTTAGAATAAAATTTAATTCTTAGCTCTCAGTTCCTCAAATTTTGTTTCCAGTTCTAATAAAAATATTATTATAAAAGTAAAATAGAATTTATTAACCAAATATAATTAATTTTTCAAAAGTAAAAGAGGCATCATGTGCCCACGCCCAATTTCTGAGTGGAGGAGAGACTTAGAGCTTGAGGCCCATCAGCACCTTCGACTGCCAACACTCAAAGCAGAAACCCAAATAAGTTTTCGTCTTTATAAAGCTCAAAAACCCTAAAGTTTACTTACTGTTTCTCTTCAGCCGTCGAAAATGTCGAAGCGAGGTCAGTTTTCTTCTCTCTCTTTCTATGAGCCCAATATTTGTTTCATTTTCTTTTTCCGTTTGTTTTCCCAGAAAAAAGAGCAAAATAAAGGATAAAAATCCATCCTTTTCTCATTGCTTGCATGATTCTAACCCCATAAACCAAAACCCGGATCAGGAAAACCTTAACATTGAATTTAGCTATTTTGTTTTGATTTATTAAATTTAACAAAAAAATGAAAGCGTCGATAGCTGTTGGCCTATTTTTTTGCGGGTATTTGTTCATTTTTCATCAGCTGTTTCATAGCTGAGAAAGGTGTGATTTTTTTGTTTTGCTTAGGACGTGGAGGGTCAGCTGGTAACAAGTTTAGGATGTCACTTGGTCTGCCAGTGGCAGCTACAGTGAACTGTGCTGATAACACTGGTGCTAAGAACCTCTATATCATTTCGGTGAAGGGAATCAAGGGCCGCCTTAACCGCTTGCCATCTGCTTGTGTTGGAGATATGGTTATGGCTACTGTCAAGAAAGGGAAGCCTGATCTCCGGAAGAAGGTCTTGCCTGCTGTCATTGTGAGGCAGCGCAAGCCTTGGCGCAGAAAGGATGGTGTTTACATGTACTTTGAAGGTAAAATCTTTCTTGCTTCCCTTGTGTTTTTAATGTTATGTAAATTTGTTAATCATGTGTGTAGTTTCATTACATGGTAAAGGGACTTGAAATTAGTGATCTGTTGATGGTTATTTACTCTTTTCTGTAGTTTAGGGTAAGTAAAAAATGGTAGATGCTGATGATATGCGACTGATAGCTGGTGTTTAGACTGTTTGCTGAAGATAGAGGTTTGCTGGTTAAGCAGTGTCCTGATGTATGCATTAACCTGTGCGTAGTATGATCTGATGCTTTCTGAGACCAGCAAAATTTATCTTTGTGGTCAAAATTTTCATCGAGTGAGATTTATCTCATTTGGGATCTCCCTTTTCGCAATTCGACACATTTTTTTTCTCATTCTGGGAATTTTCCTTGTGGTTTCTAAACTGTTGTAACATTTTTCTGCCGTTTTTCTCGCCTTTTTGGTTGTCTGTGCGCTGGTGATGTGGTGTGGGGAATTTTTTGTTCAGGGTTTCTCTACACCTCCCATACCCAGCTAAATTGATTAGCCGACCTTACCCCAATACCAGGTGGTAACTATGGTTATCATCCCTGTCCAGGTTGGGACACATGTTTGTTATTTTGATTGTCTTGCTAACTTCTTCTGGTGGGAGGATGACTGGTTAATGAGGTATCATGATGTTTAACAGGAAATTCTGCATGTCTTGAAACCATTGTAGTTTGATAATTAGTTAAAATAATGTCATATCTCCAGACATAAGTCAGGTATCTACTTTAATATTCAATGGTTGATACAGTTACTAGTCTGGAAAACTGAGTGTGTCCATCGTTGCAGATGCATTAAGTTTTTGAAGCTTGCATGTGCTCCATTTGGGCCCTACATACTTCCAAATGTGCACCTTAAACTTTGACTTCCATTTGCTCATTTTGTTTCTATCATTTGATAATAGCAGTAGATTGGCAGTTTTCAGTCTTTTTCATAAACATGCCAGATGTCTGCTTGGAGACCCTGCAGTTGTTTAAAATTTTTTAGTTTTCTTTCAATTTAGCTTGTTCTGAAAACTAGCAGATTCATTAAGTCACAACTTGCAAATATCTGTTCAAAAGATGCTGATTTCTGATGTTTTACTTTAAATTTCTGATTCAAATCTTGTTCTGATTGTAGATAATGCTGGTGTCATTGTGAATCCAAAGGGAGAAATGAAAGGTACACAGCCAATACAAAAGCGTTTCAATTATTCAGGACAACATCCAATCTTGTAATGTCTGCATTAAATGGTATTACAATTGACATTTTCTTCTTGATGCTTTGTTCTAGGTTCTGCCATAACTGGTCCAATTGGGAAGGAGTGTGCTGATCTGTGGCCAAGGATTGCTAGTGCGGCCAATGCCATTGTTTAGGAGTTCAAATTTTTAGAGATTTTGTTGCTCTACCTCGGACTAATTATAGTTTGCTGGATCAAGATTTGTTATATTTAGTTTTTGTTTGATCAGAATATCATTTGGATGCTTTTGATTTGATTTTGGATTTGAAGATGGAATAAAAAAATAAAACACTCATGCATGCATTCAATCATTGTATATCCTCATGGACAGTTTTATTTTTTTAAATTTTTATTTCATGTGAAAATAATATTTTTGTTTCAATAAGAGTTTAATAATAAAAATATTTAATTAAATTTTATAAAAAAAATTTACTGAGTATTTTATATGCACAAAATCAGCTTAAGAAATGAATTCTCCTCACTTTGAGAATATAATATTATAATATTATTAGTTGAAGCCCAAAGCCAAAACTACAAAGAAAAACCCAAAACTGTAAAATCAGTCTTTTGTGCTTTTCCACTCCTCTTGGAAGAGCCCAAAGGAAAGGAAAAAACAAAAAAAAAAAAAAACATGTATGGCAAGTGAGGCGGCGATGGAAGTTAACGACCCAGTAGTGGTGGCGGCAGAAGCGGCCTCAACAGGGACAGAGAAGCAGCCGCATAAGCTTGAAGGAAAGTGGACTTTTTGGCTTGATAATCAGTCAAAGCCTAAACAAGGCGCCGCTTGGGTCACCTCTCTACGCAAAGTCTATACCTTGGACACCCTAGAAGAATTTTGGTAGTACTTTTATTGAAAACCCATTTCTCTTTTTTATATTTACTTTTAAGATCTGTTGATTTTTTGCTGGTTTTTATATTTGATGGTGTTTTTTTTTTTTTGGACTTACCAATTGGGGTTTTTTATTTATCCATTTTTCTTATGGTTCAGTTATTGATCTCTCCTTTTTAGCTTCAAAGGGAACTTGAGTTGGTTTCTGTTATTTTGTTGTTATTTTTTATTGTATGTTTTGAAATGTGAGACTTAAAAATACTTTTGTTATGTTTCAGTTTGTATGATAAAATATTCAAGCCTAGCTAGTTGCCTGCAAATGCTGATTTCCACTTGTTTAAGGCTGGAATTGAGCCCAAACGGGAAGATCCTGAGTGTGCTAATGGAGGAAGGTGGTCTGTCACTAGCAACAGAAAGGCTAATCTTGATAACATGTGGCTTGAAACTGTAGGCGTCTTGAGTCATTACTGCTATGCTTGCCTATATATTAATATATATTGGGATTTGGGCTGACTGATGGTCTTTTGTTGGGCAGTTGATGGCATTGATTGGGGAACAATTTGATGAGGCAGATGAGATCTGTGGCGTAGTTGCTAGTGTACGCCAAAGGCAGGACAAACTTGCATTGTGGACCTAAACAGCAACAAATGAGGCTGCTTAGGTCTATATTTAGTAACTATTGATGCATTGAATCAGAACCTATTTGTTTGTTGAGTTAGGAATCCTCTGCTGTGATCATTCTGCAAGAAATTGCTTCAAATGGGAAGATCCTGTACTGATAATGATGTTTCTATTTTTCAAATAAGTCAATAACATGTTTAAATCTGTCTGATCACTCATGCGTTGCTGAAAATTTCTTATTCACATTTGACGGATTAAAACTTTTGTTGCAAACATGGGTTCGTGTTTTCAATTAGAATGCAAAAGAAATGAAATTATTTGCCTTGATGTAACAATTAGGAACCCCTTTCAGCTCATCTTTCATCAATTTATTAAGAATTTGACAATTTTAGCATGTGGCAATTTAACAGATTGTTGAAGTTGTAGATAGGGTCATCTTCCACTGATGATGTTTACTCTCACGTTTATAATTTAGTTTTCTGATCTCTCGAAAGGTCGTATTTTTGCAAGTAAACTATCTCATTGACATTTATACAGTTTCCTCTCACATGTCCAGATCACATTGCCATGTAGCTGCAATGCATAATTTGCTTCTTCACTGAAGATGTGGTTACTTCTTGTCGTTTACCCTATGCTTTTGATAATTGATTGTGTCCGTTTGGAATTCTGTGAATGGCATGTGTTGATGATGCTAATTGGAACCCTGTGATCTAGATGGGCATTGGGAGGAAGTGGAAGGAGATCATTGACGTTAATGATAAAATTACTTATAGCTTCCATGTAAGTGTAATTTTGGATGGTACTTGTGATTTTTAGTGCATATTCTCTTGCTGCAACTGACTGCTTTATATGTTGCAGGACGACTCTTGAAGGGAAAGATCAGCGAAAGGCCGATACAATGTGTGAATGCTTTGCTGATTCTTTTTTTGTGGCGGCTCGCACTCTCTATTGCCAAATTGTGGCAGGAAGTATCGTAATTTGTTACCTATTTTTTTGTTCTCTGTGAGCTGAGAACACTCGGTAATTGAAATACTTTGCATGCTGAGTTTTTTTTTTTTTTAATGTAATACCATGATACCATCAACAATCAAGTTCTATATTCGGATACTTCTGATGTTCAACATATTGAGAATTTCGCTCTATTTCTTGAATCTTCATTTCCTGTCTCATGTTCTGAATCTCATATGCATCTTGATTCCACTTTGCCGACAGCCTTAAGAATCCATTATTGGAAGAAATATGCTGTTTTTACAAGGTTTTCTTATTCCATTGCTACTTGTGCATCCCAAAAACAGATTAGGGGAAGATTATCATGCTTAAGTTGAAGGTATTCTGTTGGCCACCCTTTAGTCTGATATTTGTCACTATGGTAGGTGGGTCTCAGCTTCAAGCAGCTTTCAATTTTCTGAAACATCAGGTGATTGATTCTAGGGTTTTTTTCTTTTTTAACTTATGTTCATTGATGTTTATTTCATGGTCTGAAAATTATATAGTTCAACTAAACTGAAGGTTTACAAGTACATATGAAGGAAAGAAATGTGGTTTAGAATCTGATTCTCCAAGGAAAAACCCAGATGAAGAATGTGTTTTACATCTGGATGTCCTTGGAATGAACTATATAATCTCCAATAGTCAAAAGACAAAATACACGTGTGGTCATCATCATGCGAGGAATCCAAGCCTTTCCGCATTCTTCTTGGCCAGACGAATCAACCCTTGCCTTTGTTTAGGATCAGCCCCTATTGATTTGCAGAATTCAGTAATTACCTAAAAAAAAAAAAAAACCATTTTGAAAGAAATAGATGAATTCATAACACTGTAACAATTATTGGGAACCTGCTTCATTCCTAGCTCTGAAAACTGTTTGGATTAAGCAAAATTATGTTTCATCAGACGATAAAAAGACAAATGGATATGATTTTGGAAACATGAGGCACAGAAGCACATAACGTTTCTACATGTTCTACGGTGGTAGGAATAGGAAATAGTACATGATAGTAGGGCTGTAAACGAATTAAACATAAACAAACAAATATATGTTTATGTTTGTTTGTTTATTTTTAAAAGTGTTTGTTAAGAAAATTATTCTGTTTGTTTATGTTCGTTCATTTAAATGGTAGATTATTTGTGTTTGGTTTCGTGTTCGTTCAATTAAGTTAAACGAATTTGTTTATGAATATATTTACAAATATGTTCACGATAATATATAAATGAACATATTCATGAACAATAAATATAAACAAACCCAAACAAATATAAACGAATCTTAAAATAAGATTAAGATAAATAATAAAGAATAAAAATATAATTTTATTAATATTATTATAAACGAATAGTAAATGATCAATAAACAAACGAGTTTTGAACGAATTTTAAATAAATTTATTCACGAATATAAACAAACTAAACAGATATCTATTCATGTTTAATTAGTTTAATAAACGAATATAAAAATATTATTTAAAATAATTTATTAAATTTAATAAATAAATATAAACGAATAAAAATCAAATATGTTTATGAATAATTCGTCGAAAATTATGTTTGTTTACACCTTTGCTGCAAAGCAATTGCTTTTCCTCCGAGCTGATTGAACCTTTTCCAGCCAATAATTTGGCGTGTAACAACCACAATAGGAGCAAACAGGCCTTTCCCTTCATTGACATTCTTCATAATAGGCTGTAATCTAACTGGCTGTCCGACTCGAACACGGTTGAGAACTCACTTAGCCAGCATAGCATAGTCTTCACCAATTACTGAAGTACCCCAACCTCCCTTAAACCCAGTTGCCGAAATTGAAGTAGAGATTAAACACCTATTCAGAACTTTTCTCTATCTAGCTGCAATGAAACTATATAAGATGGTTTTCTCTATGTTGTTTAGAACTTGTGCTTGATGGGGTTTTTCTCCATGTGAAGAGGATTTATTTTTGGTGTATATACGAGAGCCTGGTGAGTGGAGAAGTTCATTAAGGCATTAGGAGCCACATAATCTGGAAATCTTCTGGCTCTTCCTTGGAAAATGGGGATCCGTATCCATTAGATTATTCATAGGATGATCCTGACCGTCGAATTTAGAATCTTTTTCATATTTATATCTAATGGTGGAAATAAAATCCCATGTCTTTGAATGGTTTTTAGAAGGCAAGAACTACTTGGAATGAAATAGTTGATTCAGGATGTTGAAGCTGTCATTCCAATTCCCAACTTCTTGGATGCTACCTCCTGTTGAATGTGAACAACATGTCTTCTTGGAAGACTAACAAGTGGAATAGTAGGCAACCAATGCGCATATGAGGAAAAAAAAAAAAGGAACTTTCCGCGTCTGATTTCTGAAGTTATTAGAATGTTCTGATGCAGTTTTCTGTTCAAACAATGAATGGACCAATAGGGAGCTCCTGATAGAATGGCATACATCAAATTCAGGGCAAAATGACTCAAGTTCATAATTAATTTCACTTACAAATGTGTTCATGCTGAGCAAACTGGATTCCATAGCAGAATATAGGAATGATTTCAAGATCACCAAGACTTGCAAATTCATCCAACAAAAAGCTGATCTTCAGCAGCAGAGATTGGCGTCAATTGTTCATGGTTGGGTCATTTCCTTTCTGGTTTTTAACCTTTTTTTATGTCACTGGTTCATTCCAAAAGTTGTTCTAGTTTAGTATACTCCCATTGAACAAAAGAACTTTTGGCATTGTCAACCATCGGCCATGAAAGCCCCCCAAAACCATTGATTCGGATATTTAAATGAATAATATTTATTTAAATAGATTCGAATTTAGATAATAATATTAAATTTAAATCGATATTTATATAAACTCAAATATTATGAATATTAAACGAATTTGAATATAAGTACTTCAAAAAAATAATATTCGCTTTGTTATCATCTTTAAAAATAATAATCTTTACATTGCATTGAACTTTTTATTGGACTAAACCAAATACTTTTTAAAATAATAAAAAAATATTCTTAACCTCGTATTTTCATCTAAACTATTTGAAAATTGAACAATTAATAATAAATTGTTAAAATATTGAGAATATCTTCTAATAGTAATAATTCATGGAATCGTTACCTAAAAAAAATTATGGAATCATCACATTATTAACGTTAAAGGAGCAATGAAAGCCAAGTGATGATATATCAATTCTGGCCACAAAAACCATCTGATCAACATGAGGAAAATATCTACTATTGTGACAAATTTATTATTGCTTTGAAAATGCATTTTATCTTACTTGTATATGACCAACCCATCATCTACCATCCACGTTTCCAATCAAATGCACTTTTTAACTTTAAAAAAAAAAAAAAAAGCAATTTTTATAAAAATTTGCCATTGAAAAAATTTATATGAATAATACATTTATTTTACAAAAAAAAATGTTTCAATATGAGAATAAAATAAAAAATTATAGATATATTATATATATATAATTATAATAAGATAAAATAATATTATGAATAAGATAAGATAATATTATAATAAGATAAGATAAAATAAAATAATATTTTACATAGAATTGTATTAAAAATGTCATATTATCTTGTGTTTTATATATCTAAAGATTAGAACAAGATAATTTCTTTCTTGATTAAAATTTTTTTTTTCAAAATTTATATAATTTAAATTATTGATATAATTTTAATAGTATAATAAGACATGTAAATTAAATTTTAATGATTAAAAATAATCTATTCTACTTTGAAATAATTGAATCATCTCGAAATAATTAATCCATCGTCGTTATATATAAATAAAACATAATACGAAATAATTATTATTTTATTATATCTATTATCTTATATATCAAACTTGACTTACATGTGTTAAGATTTAAGCTTCAAAATTTATTAAATTTTATTTTTAAAATTTAAACTCAAAATTTATTAAATATCATATTTTAAAATAATTATAAAAAACTAAAATAAATTCTAAATTCAATTATGTATAATTTAACATTGATGCTTAAACTAAACTATAGTATGCATTGAATTAAAGATTTTAATTTTGAGGGAAAAAAAAAAAGAATTAACCAAATAGAAAGAATCATACAACGTATTATATGACGTAAAATAAGGACAAATTGTCCCACCAAAGTTTTGACTCTCTGTCATAAATGGTAAGACTTTCCATCACACTCTTCTTGAACATTGACACCTCACCCAACAAAAATATTATTTAATTAATTTTAACCCTTTTGTCCTTGAGGTGTTGAAATGAAGATAAACTCGAAATTTTATTTAAAATTATTTAAATTCCAATCAGTTTAAATTTAAATTGATTAAAAAAATCAAAGATTCAAATTCAAAGAAATTAAAATCTAAATAGATTTAATAATTAGTGTAATCATATGTATAAAATATTATATTTATATAATATTATATAAAAATTAAGTGATATAATTTATATCGATATAAAAATATAAAATATAAATTTTTTTATTAAATTTATTTATAATTTTTAAAAAATTTAAATTATGTTATTTTTATATTTTTTATTCGTATCATATTATCAGATCCAAAATAATTTATATTTAAAATACTCCATTTAACTCAAACCCATTAAAATTACTTAAAAAAAAATTCAAAACCAAATGATACACTAAAATGACACAACGAAATGCCACTCTTTGAAGAATTAATATGTAGAATGACCTATATATTATTTATTTTTTATTATTTTAATATTTTAAAAAATAAAATTTTATTTTATCAAATATTTTGATATTTTATATTATTACCGTTAATTAAATAAGTAATATGACATAAATATATAATAAAATTATATTATTTATCATAAATATTCAATTATTTTCAAATCATTAAATTAAAAAAAAATAAAATCTAATTTTTTAAATAAAAAATACAAAAATACAAAAAGGTCATTTGATTGTACTTGAATATTTATATTATATTTTATAATTTTATTAAATATTAATATCACGTAAATAATTTAAGTAATGATATTTATATAAAATATAAAAATATTTGATAAAATAAAATATTTATTTTTTTAAATATTAAATTAAAAATATATATTATAAAAATTATTTTTATTTTTAATCGTGAAGAAAACTCACATGTTTTTTATTTTACCGAACCCAAAGAAAATAACGATATTAATGACCGTACATCTGCAGCCTTAATATGGACCCCAATCCTCAAACATTTCAAATCCTGGCCGTTGATCATAAAAATATTGCATCATAAAAATCAAGAGCTTAAATAAAATAAAACCCTAAATTTTTTTCTCTTTTAAATTGTTTGAGTTTCATATTTTAAAAAAAAAATTTCTCATTTTTTTTATTTTCTATATTTATATATAAAATTTATCCACTGTTTTGAGTTTTGTTTCCTCTCTCTCTATATTTCATTTCGGGTGAAAAGCTTTTTTTTTAAATAGTAATTTAACTGAATTTCCATCACTGTCCCGGGAAATAAAATATTGGTCCTTTGTCTCTTAACCCTGATATGAATTCTCAAGTTTCATGGTTTTCTATTTTTCTTTTTGAAAATTGAATTGGATTTTCATTGGCTTTTTTTCTGGTGTCAAAATACAAAGGCGTTGACTATCTTGCTTGGATTTAGCTTGAAAGATTCCACTTTCTACCCATTCAAAGTTCAAACCCAGATAAAAATTTTGAATTTGGGGATTAGGTTTTGTTAATTCACTAGTTTTTTCTTTCTGGGTCTCTGGGATTTTTGGAAAATCACAATCTAATACAGGGATCTCCTTATTTGTTTCAATGTTTTTCTTTGAACTTTGAGAGTTAAAAGGTTTATGAAAGTCTTGTTCTTTTCACCTAGTTGCCTTAATGGGGTTTATGATTTATGATAAAAAGATCCTCTTTTTTATCCCAATTATCAAATTTTAAGGCTGTTTTGTTGTAAGTTTATTGAGTTATAGATTTGAGTGGAATTGTGTTGTGTGGGGAGGTGTAATTGTCAATGGATGCGGTCCATAATGATGTTAAGGATGTTAATGGACATAAAAACAAGACTCTAGGTACCATAGATTCTCCAAAAGTTGAAGATCATGCTGATGGAGAAGATTACTGTGAGTCAAATTCTTTGTTGCCACCTAAGAAAGGTGGGATGTCAAGAAAACCTGAGAAGACACGGCGAAAAGTCCAATGGAATGATAAAAATGGGAATAAACTCGCAGAGATACTGGAATTTGAACCAAGGTGATTGGTTTTGTGGAGTTTATCTGCCAATGTATGCAGTAATTTGTTTGATGTTTGAGACTTTTGATTCTTTGGGCTTGGTTTTGTTGATATGTCATTTAGATGATTCTGTCACTAGTGAACTTTTTGTTTGAATTTATTGCCAATGCTACATTGATGAATTGTTATGAGCATAGCTACTTTATCATTTTAAGTATGCAACAAATTTGTGTACACCAGAAATTTCAACCTTGGCTGAAACTAAAAGTAGTTTGTCATCACAGACTTGTTTGTATCTTCAAATCCCATGTTCTGTTATTTTCTTTTGAGTTTGTCTTTAAACATGTTATAATGCCGTGCATCGGTGAGTTGTATATCAATCTAGCTGAATGATAATTCCAAGAATAGAACAAATGGGTACAGAGCTGAAAATTTTATGTACCATACAAGCTTCACTCAGAAGGCAATGTACTGTCATTGTCTTTTCCTGTTCTATCTATGATTGCAGAGAGGGATTGGCATAAAGCAACATTTCTTTTGTATGCAAATTACTTTGTGGGTTTGCTTTAGGGGATATTTGCTGTATTGATTATTGATTATGTCAAAATTTCAATGGTTGTTCCATATTCCAACAATGAATCTGAATTGAGGACTGCTGTAATTGATACTTGTAATATTGACATCACCAAAATCTTACAAAAATGTTTTCAACTTTATCTCATTGTGCCAAATGGCTTTTACTACAGCATGTCTTTCAGGTACTTTCTTGAAGCATTAGGATGTCTTTTGCACATATCTTCAAAAGTTTTGTTGGTGTAAGATATAGACAATATCTGACACTATAACATGGTGAATTATCCAGGGGTTTTGTGTGTTTATGTTCTATTTCTCTTAGCTCCTGATCTAGGCCTTGTAATGTCTTGGCATCCAACAATCCAAGTATATAGTAACCCTACCATCCATAGATTGAAGAATGCAGATTGAAGGGCCCACTTATAGCTTAGTTTTCTGTTATTGATGTTTTCGTTTAAAACATCAAGAACTTTACTTTAAGTACAAAGGACCATCTTATTTTGTAACACGATTTGAATTTGAACTGGTTCTTGGTGTATTAACTAGGAATTACTTGAGCTGAATTGTTCTATACTGTTTGTGTCCACATGGTATATTCCATTTAGTTTTTTTTTTTTTTTTTGGTTTCTTTAATAAAATAATGGCATATTTTGGATCTTCTCAGGAATGAGCACTTTAGTTTTTTACTTTTTTGGCATGAAAAAAATGTCACTGATATTCTTGATTGAATACGAACAATTGAGCAGAATTCTTTGATGTATTCTGTTGTCTTTGCAAGAATTAATTGAAAGGAGATACATTGGATTTATGCATTGGTGATACAAGGTCAATTTGCAAAAGAAAAGGATTACTCGTGTGAATCACACTTGACCTTGCAATATGATTAACTTGGACTTGAATAGTTGCTAATGTAGTTTTCATTGATTAACCATTGTATCTGTCACATCCTAATATCCTATCTATGCCTGCAGTGATGTTAGCGATTCTGATGATGAGGATTCAGATTCCTGCATATGTATCATAATGTAGGTACAATACAGGAAACCATCAGGAATTAACCGCTGGAAAATTAAATTTGGGTTTCAATTTCAACCTTGATTTTTTGACAAGATAGCCCTGGATTGAACTTGCTGTTGGAAGGATAGATTAAAGTTCCAGGTGCTGAGTGATGCAGTCTCTCATATATTTGCAGTTTATCAAACTGGAGTTCTTTACCATTTACAAGGTGGTTTGTCATGTGTTTCACCATGAACATGTAAGAATTGCATGGACCTTATCTCAGAGATGAAAGCAGATAGATAATGATGATGGTTGTCTTTCTTGCATGATGTCTCTTTATTAACCATCCTTTTTTTTTTTTTTTGCTTTTCCCTGTATGTGATATTTACAAGTTGATCACGTAAAATGGAATAGTCAATATGTAAATCTTATTTGCATCTTTTTTTTTCCCTGCATTACTTTCTTCTGAATCTTAATAATCTCTATCACAAAATTCTTGTTGCTAGTTGCTAGAGGCAGAAGAAAATTATTTCCACAATAACCATCTGCTAATAAGTTATGAGTCAGATTCATGATGAGAAATGCGATTTTGGTATACAGAGTATGGTATTGGCCTTTGTAATTGTGTTACTGTTTGATTGGTTAGAACTGCAAATGAGTCCAAGATATGGTGTAATTAAGTTACATAAATTTGAGCACCTAAAACTTCTGAACTGATCCCACCATATCTTTTACTTGTGAGACAATCATTCAGTACTGCAGAATGTGTAATCTATGCATATTCTGGTTGTCTTTGTTTAGAACATATGCTTCCATTGATCCCATTATTAGGCAAACTTTATCACAATATGCTGCATGATTGGTGATAGGAACATATACTGTGACATGCTATACCACTTGATGCCAGGTTGCCAGTGCTACTCAATTGCATTTGTATATGTGTAATGGTGGGCTCCAAACTGATCTATATGAAATTAATACTTGGGAAGTAAGTTGTACTTAAAAAAATTGTTAAATTTTGCTGGTGTAATTGCTCTTTCTTCTAGCAACCTCTACCTTCCTGTTCACCTTTCTGAGCAGTTTTAATCATCTGCTGCTTTTGTTAGGAACTCTCTGTATATATTTTCAGGTAAACTTTTGACAGCTATTAACTTGCAACACAATGTTGGAATGTGAGTAGTTTTCTTCCTTTTTTAAGTTAGAATAATGTTTTGAGAAGCCTGAAAATTGAAATTAAATGGTTCAACTTCAACACATTGTTCAATCCTTGTACATATAGTACAGCATGAAGAAATGAAACCAAGGGCTACCAAAATTACCAAATCTTATTAAACAATCTGAAATGAACCAAAGAATCATAAACTGACATACAAACAGACAGCAACCCAAAATTTTGCTCACCCTTTTATCATAAACAGACAACAACCAAATCAGTGGTTGGTGAAATTAACCAGTTTGTGAGGCTAGCATCAACTGCCTTGTCTTGCAGTAGGGTCTTTGACTGATTATAATATGGTGAGCAGTTGGATCTCAGCTTTGAACTGAAGGGTATTAGTGGTTCTTCCTTTAGTTCAATGTTCTTCTTCCTTTTGTGCTTAGGTGGTGGTGCTGCTCTTGCTTTAATTTCTTTCCACTGAGTAGTATTTTCAACTGGATTCAATACAGACCATAGATATTGGCTTCTGATCCTTGTATTTCCAATCCCAAGTGACTTTAAGTTCTCCATTTGTTGAAGCACAAAGTGGCATTTGATTCTTGGCCTTGTCCTCATCCATGTGAACCAATGAAGCTCCCTTTGCTGATTCCATGTTTACAGAGTCAAAGTGATCCAAGAGCTCTTATCCTTTGTCTTTGATCATAATCATAAAAATAATCATCATAATCATAAAAAAAATCATCATCTTCTAGATCACTCTCCTCGTTTGTCATTCCATCATCTTCATCTCTACAGTTTTGGTAGCTATAGTTGGCAGGATAAGAACCCTTCTGCAATGAATTTGAATCCCCCTCAAGAGAGATAGGGCACTCTCCCTTTTCCTGTTTCTGCTCCATTCTTTTCACTTTCCTCCTCTTCAACACTCTGTGAAAACTGATATGCAATTGTTTTTTCAGCTGGAATCGGCTCATGGGTCTGAGCATTGATATTGAAGCTCACTTTTCTTCCTGATCTTGATACTCGGTATCTCTTTAGGCTTTTTACGCGTATTAGATATGAAATAAATATACACACATATGTACTTGTCAGTCCCTTTTACAAAAATACAAACTGTGGCACTATAAACCTGCAACTGACCTCAGCTGAGAATTTGAGGTAACGGGGTTTTGTAGGATGTCAAGATTTGTAGAAACAGATGAATCCAAGGATTCTTAGCTAATAATGTTGTAGACGAATTAAACATGAACAAACGAACGTATGTTTGTGTTTATTTGTTTATTTTTAAAAGTGTTTGTGTTTAATTCATATTCATTAAAAAAAATTTACTTTGTCATATTTAGCTCATGTTCGTTCAATTAAGTTAAACGAGCTTATTCATAAACATTAAATGAATATATTTACGAATATATATAAATAAACACATTTTTAAACAATAAATAAATTATAACCAAATAAATTTAAACAAACAAATTATAAACAAATATAAATAAATTCAAACAAATATAAATGAATCTTAAAATAAAATTAAGATAAAAAATAAAAAAATAATTTTATTAATATTATTACAAACAAACAGCAAGTGAATAATAAATGAATTATAAATAAATTTATTTATGAACATAAATAAATAAACAAACATTTATTCGTGTTCAGTATGTTTAATAAGCAAACATACAAATGATGTTTAAAATCATTTGTTAAGTTTAATAATTGAATATAAATAAATTAAAATCGAACATATTCACGAATAATTAATCAAAAATTTTGTTTGCTAATACCCCTTATAGCTAACAAGTTTATGCAAGAAAACCATTCAACAGCAAAATCAAAACCATAAACAAATGAATTTGTCCAGTTGAAACTTTCCAAGAAATTTTCTAAACGAAAAAAAAAGTAGGTTACCAAATCTCCAGGGAGAATCCGATTGGGAGGTTTTCCAGGCTTCCTTTTAGTATAAATCCCGAAACAGCCAAGGCAACACCCCATTGGAAAATCCCTGGTGAAGTTTTCAAAGAGAACAAAGGAATGTTGGGGTAGGGTCAGGAGCGATCCATGCTGGGAAAAAATGGACTCTCAGATTTGGGTGATTTTAAAATCGATTTGGCTCTAACGGTTTTCGAAAAAATATGAACGTTGGACCTTTAATGATGATGGGAGGAACCGAAGTGGAGGTACTTAGAAAAAAAATAATAATCAAAGGACAAACATGACTTTTTCGTTCTTTAAATCTGAAAATGCGGCTGTCACTTGACTCACTGATTGTTTTCCATTTCGGACATGACAAGATTGGATCAAATTTTTGTTTTGATCTCAAAAAAAATTTATTCTACTTCCAATTTGACGTTAGCTTTGTCTGGTTGGATTTTAAGTTGTACTTAAGAGTGAGGGAAGATGGGTGTTCTTGAGGAATTTCTTTTTTTACCTTTTTTACCCTTGGCTGCTTGGGAAATTTTGCTTGTTTGGCTTTTTTTTTTTTTTTTTTAATCTATATTTGAATTGCTTAGCTTAAGGCTTCCTTCCTCGAATAAGATATTACATATATAAATTCTGTAAATTCTCAAAATTGAGTTCAAATATTATTTTTTTATATAAAAATAATAATTATGTAGTATGTTGATAAAATATTAAATTTTAATTTTAATAATTTTAAATATAAAAAATATTAAAAAATATATAATTCATATAGTTGAATATGAATAATTATAGTCCCTTTCACATTTATATCAAATTATGAAAATTGAAATAAAAAAATATTTATCGTGCAAAAAAATAATATTTTTAATTTTAATCATTTTAATTCAAGAGTAAAAAAAAATTATTAAATTTACGTTGATGCAAATGGACCATCTTTATATATATATATATATATATATATATATATATACACACGTATTCATTTTTTGTCGTATTTGTAATTGTATTTTTTGAAAATAAAAAATATTAAGTTTGAATTTTTTTTATGATATAAAATTTTAATAAATCTAAAATAAAATTTTTAATAATTTTAAATTAAAAAATTCAAATAATTAAATATGAATAATTATATTCCCTTTCCTCAACCTACCAAATTATGATAATTGAAAAAAGGAATATTTATCATGAACAAAAATATCAAATGTTTCATCACGTGCACCACACATGAGAATTCCAAAACAAGCCAAATTCACTACAGACGACCTAAGCTTCCACCCCAAAAATCAAATCACAATCGTCCATTCCAAAACATACCACAATCTACACCGTCCAAATGGCATGCTCCCACCTCCCTCACACTTCCTTCCCTTCTTTATTTCCTAAGCCCGCAATTTCTATCTCAAGCCCCAAAATAGCCAACAAACCTTTCTCTTCTTTTTCTTCTCCAAAACCCAAAAACCTAGCGAAAGGAAGATTAAAATCAAAAGTTTTTTGTTAGATTTTGAGGAATAAAAGAGAGGAACGAAGAAGAAGAAGAAGAGATAAAAGGGGTTGGGAAATGGATTCAGATCAGGGAAAGCTGTTCATTGGTGGGATACCATGGGAAACAAGCGAGGATAAGCTTAGGGAACACTTTAGCCAATACGGCGACGTTTTGCAGACAGTTATTATGAGAGATAAGGTTACCGGAAGACCTCGAGGGTTTGGATTCGTCGTCTTCTCAGATCCTGCCATTCTCGATACCGTTCTTCAAGAAAAACACAGCATCGATGGGAGAATGGTGAGATTTGTATTGTGCTTTAATTGGTTTTTCTAGGGTTATTGTCATCTGGGTTTTTCTTTTTAATGCTAATTTTAGGTGGAAAATTTTGGATTTTCCTTTTCTTTTTTGATGTCAGTTTGATGGGTATTGAGGGATAAATGATTTTTTTGATAATTTTCTCTTGATTTACTGTTTGATGATTGTGTGGGTCCATATTGGGTATCTTTTTTTTTTTTTTTATTTTGTTGTATTTTATTGCTAATTATGAACTTTATAAGTTTTATATTATTGTTTTTTCCTGAGCCTGGGAAGATACTTGGATTTTCATAATGTATGCTACATTTTTTGTTGCCAATTTTGTAGTCAAGGTATTGTTTGGTTAACTTAGGAACTGTTATTGCTTTTAAAATTGCGGCTGAGTTTGCTTGAATGCTAGAGTTCATCCGAGTTTGTAAATTTATCTGTATTGTTATTGTCTTTGTCTGGTGTTTGAGAATAGTTCCCTATTGTAAGATATGATAACTGTTCCCCAGGTCGAGGCAAAGAGGGCTTTATCAAGAGAGGAGCAGCAAACTTCTGCTAGGTCTGGAAATTTTAATCAGGGTAGAAATTCTGGAAGTGGTGGAAATATCAGGACCAAGAAGATTTTTGTTGGAGGGTTGCCTCCTACCTTAACTGAAGATGGATTTCGCCAATACTTTGAGGCATATGGTCATGTAACTGATGTAGTAATAATGTATGACCAGAATACTCAGCGGCCTCGTGGATTTGGTTTTATCTCATTTGACGCTGAAGATGCTGTTGATAGGGTTTTGCACAAGAATTTTCATGATTTGAATGGCAAGCAAGTTGAAGTGAAGCGGGCCCTTCCTAAAGATGCCAATCCTGGTGGGGTTAGCCGAACTATCAGTGGTGGTGCTGGTGGTGGTGGAGGTTACCAGGGCTATGGTTCTTCTGGTGGGAATGCGAGTTCTTATGATGGTCGTATGGACTCCAATAGGTACATGCAGGCCCAGAGTACTGGAGCTGGCTTTCCACCTTATGGCTCATCAGGATACACAGCTGGTTATGGTTATGGTCCCGCTAATAATGGTGTCGGTTATGGTAGTTATGGCAATTATGGTGGTGCAGGTGCTGGTTATGGTGCCCCTGCAGGTGCTGCTTATGGGAATCCTACTGCTGGTTATCCAAGTGGCCCTCCTGGTGCACCTAGAAGCTCATGGGGCGCTCAAACTCCTTCTGGTTATGGTACTATGGGTTATGGAAATGCTGCTTCTTGGGGTGCCCCAGGTGCTGGTGCTGGTAGTGGTGGTCCAGGGTCAGCAGCTACCGGCCAATCTCCCACTGGAGTTACTGGTTACGGGAGTCAAGGTTATGGATATGGTGGGTATGGCGGAAATGATGGATCTTATGGGAATGCTGGGTATGGGGCTGTTGGAGGTCGTTCTGGTGTTACTCCAAATATTAATCCTGGTTCGGGCGGGGGAGATCTACAAGGAAGTGGTGGTGGCTACATAGGAAGTGGATATAGTGATGCAAATGGAAATTCAGGGTATGGAAATGCATCATGGAGGTCTGATTCATCACAAGGTTCTGGAAATTATGGGGGCACTCAGTCAAATGGTCCTCATGGTGGACAAGGTGGTTATGGTGGTGGGTACGGTGGTGCTCAGGGCCGACAAGCTCAACAACAGTGATTCAATCACTTGAAAGACAACTTGATTTCAACCTCTTCTGTGGATAGCCTTCTCTTTGCTCTTGTGGTGATGGTTTCTTATTCCCAGCAGCAACGGGAGAGGCTCAATTTGGATGTCTAATCACCTTGGGACCGGTTGGATTGCTTGAATCCCAGTAGCTTGCAGTATCTATTTTGCTAGCCATAATAAGTAGTTTTGAGGCATAATAGTTGCCTTTCTTTAGTTTTGCTATTGAGTGTAGTTTAAATTTGGCTTGCTTTATATTTGTTTACTTACTGCTCCGGTACGTTTCTTATTTATGGTAGTGTTTAAGCTATACTAGTTTATATAACTTTTATTTCTGTTGTCTTGACTGTTTTGAGTGTTTTGATGTTATTTATATCATCTAGGAAATTTGATGATAGATGATTATGCTTGATTTGAAATGATGAGTAGGGTACGAAGATGTACCAAGGATTTTTACTGATAGCAGTGGAGCTATGGACCACTTGGGTTGATCACTTCATAATGGTAGCGATAAACATAGTGGTAGGTGACACTTGAGGATGGCATAATCATTTTCCCCCTGTATTTGCCCTTGTGTTGTACAGGAGGAGAGATGCTTGAGAGTTCAAAGGTGGAGTCAAGTGTCTACTCAGGGCTGAACCCGAGCTTCGTGGTGGGGGTTTTTCAATGTGGGGTTTGTTCATCCGAGGACTTGCTCAGTTGAAATTTTGAGTTAACATGGGAGAGGCCCTTCCCCATCCAGTTGCTGCCAACTCTTCCAACTCTTGGCTTTTGAATTTGTGAAGCAAACGGTCTGGGGTATGTTGACTCAAAGCTGTTAGCTGTCTGGCAGATTAAGATACATTATTCTCTTATTACTTGGGGTGCCTTTTGATTCTTTAGAGTAGATCTTACAGTGTGATTTCTGATCAATAGAGCCTTAGAAAAGCATGTCCTTTAAGAGTTCCTGTTAGTTTTGGAATGAATTATTGAGTTTTCCCTAACATTTAATGCTGGGGCCATTCTTTCCTTCCACAGGCAATAGGTTAAATTCTTCTGATTGGTATTGGTAACGTCGTATGATTCATAATTGCTCATTATTCTCGGTCACATCATGAGTCAAGACCCCAATTTTGTTTTCCTGTCTGTACATTTTAGGTAACAAACCAATAATTCAGTGGAAGAGGGGCTTTTAGTAGTTTTGAATGTCAACCTAGGCAGTCGAATTGAGTTTTGGTTGATGGAAGGATTCAAGACTGATGCTGAAAGCTTTCATTTTCAGGATTTTAATTGGACGATGAGACGTATGGTTCAAATGTTGTTAATCACTAGTAATGACTTGGTGACTGAATGGCAGCATCTATGTATATGTATATAGATAGAAACTCAGCTTCTCTCTTATCATTGGAATCGGGCAGTTTAAGAAGATATGTAAGGTCGGAGTTTGAATCCCATCATCTCCATTTCCTTAATAATACAGGGAAAAAAAAAAAAAAACCCAGCCTGTCTCTTACCAATGGAGGCAGGCAGTGTTTAAACTCAGATGAGTACTGCTCTCACTTGCTGGAAAGTGAAAAGCTCAGGTATTATAGGTAATTATTATTTGTTTAAGCTTGTATCAGCTAATATGACATTCAAAATTGATTTGGTTATTGCAATGAGAACTGAAAAAGCTGATGGTACGTAAACAATTGGCCATGGTCGACGCAGCAACTCGCTTGAATTAGTACGCTGAAGGAAAGCCTTGGCATGGATAGCCAATAGCAGCGAAATTGCAAGGCCTATAGTCAATGAAATATCCGCAAATAAATCAAAGATTCTAATGAAGCAGTTAGCAATACTTGTATCAAGGGTAAAATCTCGCCATGGATAAATACATCTGTTAAGGCCTAAATGATCACCCTACCATGAACCGGCGAAAACATATAAAAAAACTTGTCGTCAATAGCGGCAAAGTTTATAGAATTTTGATGATAACTACTGTCGTGTCAACCTAAGGCTAACCATCGGTAGACCTGTTACGGAGTCATCGTTACTTTTTTTTATGTACAATTGATAATAAAAAATATATTTTTGAGTAGATCATAAAATTTATTAAAATTTATTAAAATTTTTTTGATTTACTAATTAAAATTACATATGAAAAAGATTAAAAGATCCTTATAACGTTCGTCGCAAAAAAATACTAATTAATTTTATACTATCCATTAAATTTAGTAAAATTTTTTAAAAATATTTTAAAAATAATTTAATTAATTATTCTTAAATTATTTTAATATTTTAATAAAAATTTAAAAATATTTTTTCATTTTAAAAATATTCAAAATGTCTATTATTATTTTTGAAAAGGTTTTTTCGTCGAATTCAAAACGTTTTTTATCCTAGAATATTTGATATTAAAATTTTTTTAAAATATTATAATATTTTATCAGCATTTAAATAATAATACCTCACCTCAAAATTTATATAAAAATTACTATTATAATTTTTTAATAATTCCAGCACTGAAAATATTAAAATTGAATTTATAATTTTAATAAAAATTAATATTTCAATTTTTTTAATAATTTTCAAAGCAATAAATGTTTTAATTTTTTTTATTTTTTAAAAAAATTAGACTTCAACTTCTTTCTAAATATTTTTAGAGTTTTTTTAAATTGTTTTATTTTTAAAAAAATTAATATTTCAAATTTTTATCATTTTCAAATTTATTTCAAATAAACTTCAAACATTTTATATTTTCACAAAAATTTAAAAATATTTTTAATGCAACAATTAAATCCACATAAAATAAATAATTAAAAAACGAAAAACACCAAAAATAAGCTTGGTCAAAGACTCGATCACTGGCTGGTCAACACTTCAGGGGCTCGGTCAATGGCTCAGTCACCAGACAGTGGTTACGCGACTTGGTCAACAGTCAACCGCTCAACCGGTTTAGATCGATTTTCTGGCGTTTCCCAGCCCTGTCGAAAAACCCAAAGCTGCACACGGTGGTAGATTCCGACGCCGGCCACCGTGCTGTCGCCGTCCCTCGTAGCTGCCAACACCTTTCAGCTTCCAATTTTCTCCACACACTCTTCTCCACCTCTTCGTTTCGAATCCGTCCTTGGATTTTCCTAGATTTCCCTCCAAAACCTAGATCTACTCTTAAAACCGCGGCACAAACACCCCAAAAGACCAGCCTTCGCCGTACCAAATCTTCTGATTTTGTAGTATGTTGTTCCTTACCCTTCGGCCTCTCCCTTTACAGCGTTTCAAGCCCCAAAACTCCCTGAAACCAGCCAAACTCAAAACCTTAATAAAACCTTATTTTCTTCCTCTTTTGTTTTTTTTTTAATTTCTTTTGGGTTCTTTTTGCACTGTGTTGCTTTCTTCTTGTTCTTTTATTGGGTTCCTCACTTCGATGAGGACTATAGATTTTTTTTTGTTATTTAAAAATAAAAAGGAAACACGTGATTCGATTCGTGATTTTTGGTTATGGTGGGTTGAGAGTAGGTTTAAGGTGATTGATGGTGACTGTTTGGTGGCTTGTGCAAGGCCGTCTAGCTGATTCAAAGAGGGGGCCGACTTGGCTATTATAATGTTAGTTCTAGGTAACTTTCAGTGACAATAGTCGTAGGCTAAGAAAAAAAAACTGAAATTGATAATAGGAATTTTGGTAATTAATTTATCGCCGTGTTCTTTATTCTTGCTCTTTTGCCTATTTTGAATTTTCTCTGTAGTGCGTTTGAGTTAAAGATGTGGATTTTATCCATATTTAATAAAAATTTTAATTTTTTATTTAACTAAAAATAAAAATAAAAATTATATTATGAGTATAAAAATAAATATATATAATTTTAATTTTTATTAAAAATAAAGATGAAAAAAATAATATAGCACCTGTAAAAAAAATATTTTGATTCGTATCCAACAAATTTCGATCTAATTTAATCTTTTAAGATCAACTTTTTTAAAAATCAAATATCGAATTAAGTCAGATCAGATGATAAAAAGAAAGAGTCGAGTTCTAAACAAATTCGATCCTATTCAACTATATATATTATTTTTTAATTAATTAATTTTATGTATTTATTTATTTTATATTTATACTTAAATAAAATTTTATTAATTTGAATCGGATTGAATTGGATACGATTTTATATAATATCTAATCAAATTGAATTTGAATATAAAAAAATAAAAAAAATCAAATTAAATCAAGTTCAAATGAGTAAAAATCCACTTAACCAGACTTATTACCATTTAAAAGTATACGTTTTATACCTGTATTTTATATATATTTATATATATTTAGTAAATAAAATTTTTTATTAAATAATAAAAATTATTAATTTAAATTAATTAAAATTAATATATTTTATTGAAAAAATATATGCTAATAAAAAATTATCTAAATATATAAATAATTTTTTATTTTTATTTTTTAAAAAATTACATATATAAAAATTATTCATATTCATTAAATATCTATTAAAAATAAATTTAAATTTAAAATATTTATCAAAATAATTACGAAAATAAATATAATATAAAAATTTAATAATAAAAATAAAGAATACTCTGCTTTACTTATATTCTACGACATCCTTACCATGAATCTCAATTTATTAAATGAATTAAGGACTCAAATCTCAAATTCTATGGGATTACATAAAACTTTTGCAGGTGCCGCCGATAGTGCTGAAAATGGTAGTGGTGATAGGATAGCTGGTAGCTTAGACTTTGTTCTTTCCAATTTTGCCATCCCCATACTCTTTCGGCCTTTTCTGACTTTTTTTTTTTTAATTTTTATTAAAAAGAAAAATAATAAATAATAACAATAAAAAAAAAGCCAATCTATTTCTAATAGACCTTAACAATTGGACTGCACTTTAGGGCTTGGGCTCCTAAGTCCAAAAGACGAAATTAGATTGAATTTGACTTAAAACATAAAAACAATTAATAACCTACAAAATTTTTTTTAAAAATAAACAATCGATCGAGACAAAATTAGATGTTTATATATCTCAAAAGATAAAATATAAACATATTAACAAGAGAATACTTAAATAGAATCCTGAAATAATAATTAGTGGGTATATATTAAACAAGAAAATATATATAAGAAATTAAAGAAAATAAATATTAATTCAGTTGATTTATATAATCGCATTTAAAATATAACATCTAATAAATTTATGATTTAAATATAATACATAATTTTTTATTTTATATCCATATTGTGACAAAAAAAAAAGAAGAAATTGATGTATAATAAAAAAGATGAATGAGGTATTATTTTTAATTAAAAATTCACATTATGCCACGATATAAATTGTTTTAAGAATAAAAGATATGTTTGATATATAAAATTATGATAAGATATGATAAGATAATATTATGAATAAAATTAGATTAAATAATATTATTTTATCTTAAATTTTATATGTGCAAGAATTAAAATAAAATAATTTATTTATTGGTCAAAATTATTCTTTGACAAAATCTAGACAATTTAAATTATTGATATATTTTTTTAAGATATAATATGATATATAAGTTAAATCCAATAAATTAAAAAAAATTTCTCTACATTAGGAGAATTGAATCATCCTATATCAAAAAGATAATTAGTCTTCTTTAGAGGTGATAACAGTTTGATCTAAATCAGATTCAATTCAATTCTTTTAAATATTACATAATATTATAAAAATTTAAAATTCGATCCAAATCCGAACAGAATTTTCATTTGATTTAAACCGAATTTAATTTTATTAATTCAGTTCAGTTTATTGATTTTTAATTTTTATTTTTTTAAATTTGTATATATTATTTTAAAATAAAATTTTAATATATTTAAGTAAATTTTGATATAAGGTTTTTTTTTTATAAAAATTTAAAATATAGATAAAAATTAAGAAAAATATATAATTTAATTTAGTTTGATTTTTTTTTATTTTTCATCTTCCGATTTGAAATTCAATCTAAATCTAATATATATATATATATATATATATAATATCTGAATTTGATCTTAACCGAATAAAAAAAAAATCGATCCAAACTGAATTAACACTTTAGTTTTGAATCAGTTTTCGGTTATTTTGATTTTTTTTCTCATCCTTAATCTTCCTTATAATCCAATATTTATTTTAAGATACAAACAAAACATAATATAAGATAATTATTATTTTATCTTATCATCTTATTCATAGAATATTGCTTTAATATGATAATCCCGTGCCATAGTCTCCATGAAAGAAGGTGCCATTTGCCTTCCTTCTTTCACTAACAAATTTCAAATTACAAGCACCATTTCACTTCAAAGTCTCCAACATATTACAAATAGGCTTGAACTATATATATCTAGGAAAACAGTAAGACGATCCACTCCATTACATTTTTTTTTTATTCAATTCCTACAGGACACATTTTTCTTTGAAAAAAAAAAACACAAATCCAATATAAAAATCTACTCCATCATTTTACCTTTTGATCGTATCCATTCTTTCTACTATATCAAAGTGCAGACAAAAGCTCTACATTGGTGCCGCCATATCTGTTTGAATTTGCAGATGATATGGTTTATTATTGGGGAAATGAATGATAATTGAAAGAACCCAACTCCCCGATGGCGGCGTCTTTATCGTATTTTGATGTAGGTGATAGCTGCCTCTAATTTGCAGGTAAAAAATTCACACAGCATTGCTGTCGTTGAAGGAAAAACTTATGTGGGAATTGGCTAATTGGGTGAATGGGAAAATTTTGGGACCAAGTTGGGGGTACAGGGATAGTTTTGGGATCAGGGCCATTAGGAAGCTATGCCCATAGTTTTTTTTTCCCTTTTTTTTTTCATTTTAAAATTTTTTAAACGATTTTAAGTATTATTATAGTATAAATGATATATATAAATACTCTTAAACTATTTAAATTTAATTCTAATAAAATTTAAATTTATTTTAATTATTATCGAGTTGAATTTTAATTTGAACAACTCAACTTTTTAAATAAGTGAAATTTGAACATCTTATTTAATTTAAATAATTTTTGAATTTAATCAAATTTTTATATTTTAATTAAAAAATTATTTTTATATATATCAATTTAAACTCAATTTTAAATTTAAATACAAATAATCGATCTTAAAATCAAAAATAAAAATCAAATTTACTTTTTATTTAATAAATAAATTTAAACGAATAAATTTAAATAATTTAATTTTCTCAAATCAAATTTTAAATAATAAATTTTATGTTGATCATTGTCTACTCAATTACACCTTATACGTTCTGGCCCATATCAACTTGATCTATTTAATATTTTAGTTTCAAAGTACTTTTGATTTCGACTTAATAAAAAATATTCTTCTCTTATCAATGAATCATGAGCTATATTACGTTGCTTAAGCAATAATAATTTGTATTGAAACATCAGTATTACTATGCCTGCAAAATTTAGTTTTTTAAATTATTTAACTTAGTATACTATTTATAATTAATAAATTTAATTCAATTAATTCGGTATAAAATTAATCGAATAAATACTTTTATGTGAGAAAATCAACTTAATTTCAAGCTGATTCTTCTCTGCCACTTTGGATGAAAAATTTTGTCAAACAGGCAAGCAGGATATGGGGCTATTGGATGGTATAAAAAGACATGACACCCAAATCTTGAGACACATTCAGCATGCATTTTACCTCAAATTGTCAAGTTTCCAACAAGACTTGAGAGATTTCATACATAATATCCATTTGAGTGTACCAAGTACAACCAAACATTATTTGCTTCTGTTCCTTGCCTTACAACAAAAGCATATATAAACTAAGTAGGGAGAGAGGATCTTAAACATAGGCCAGCAGTTTGATGCTGGTTGTATCGATATGCTTCTTTGGATGAATGAAAACCATTTCAATTATCCAAAAAAGAATATGCTGAAGGGAAACCAATGTATGGATCACCAAGTGCAGTGAAATTGCCAGCCCTTGAAAATACAACCTACAATAGAATATACAGGAAAATCTGAGTTTTAAGCTGAAAGATAAACCAAGATTATGATCTTCCACCATATGAGATATTATGTAATGTGACAGAACATATTCAATGGTGTCTAAGGACTCTCCTCCTTTTCATGTTTATCCCATCAATGATATGAAATAAGAACTGAGTGCTTGGCAGAAATGTGTTGCAGATTCTAAAGCAATAGGAACCAGTCCATTTATGTTAATACATATTTTAAATTGTTTGTTAAAATGCACTGTTGAAAGTGAGAACCCTTGTTGTTTGACAAGATTAAGGAGTCCAAGACTGTAGAATATGGTGTGTCATTATGTCAAACAGACATAGAGTTTACCTGGTAATCTATGAGGGTGCCTGTCTTAAAACCAGATGCACAGTAATCAAAATAGTATTCCCATGTCCGCATGAACTTCTCATCGAACCCCAGAGCCAGAACTTTGCTGAGAAGGAAAACAAATATTCCATCATCACATTTTGAAATAAATTTACTTTGGTTTTTTAATCGAACTTCTTATCGAACCCCAAAGACGATTTGCATGCTAATCAAAATCAGCAAAATGTGTAAGAGAGAGTTGCATATGTACCTTTCATTTGCCAGGAAATTTTTTCTCCACCATCTCAGGGTGTGGTAATAACTAATTCCTATATTTTCCACATGCTCCACACTGCACTCGCAATAATCCTTCATGAATTAGTATTGTAGAACAAAGACAAAGGTATTTCTGAATATTGTCTAAACAACAATGGATGTTACCTGAATCTTGATGCATTAGCCATGGCAGTTAAAGTCCTATCTAGAGAAAGAAGGGTTCCACCAGGGAAGATATATTCCTTCAGAAAACCTGCTGTTTGCTTGATTTCTTTGGAAAGTACCTCTGGAATTGATATGAACTGAGAGAAAAAACAAAAGACCACTCTTGTCCATTAACCAATAGTTGGAACTTTGAAGTTACCATAAGCAAATAAGATAAAGAGGGCATTACCTGAAGGACAAAAAGCCCATTCTCTGCCAATAATGAGTCACAGCATCTGAAAAACTCCTCAATATATTCTTCACCAACATGTTCTACCATCTCACTAAAGAATACAATTGCAAATATTAAAATTATTTGTCATGTGACGCTTAAATATAAATTTACTGGGGGCAATATATAACTTACACAGATACGATTCTGTCATATTTGTTCGTCTTGGGTAACTGGCGATAGTCGGAGAGAAGAAATTTGATGTTTCCCTGATGACAAAACTTGTTAAGTGAAAACAATGCGCAAAATGTTTTTCTTCACCAAGACTAAAAGAACAAGAAATATTAGCAGACTAGAGCCATTTTCACACATGGATACCTGAAGTCCAGCTTCCTTCACTTTTTCTTCTGCAAATTTCAGTTGCTCCTCTGATAGAGTGATGCCAGTGTATTTGCATCCTGTTCTTTTGACAGTTTCAATAGCTAAGATTCCCCAACCGCATCCAATGTCGAGAACTTCATGCCACTTCTCTATTCTCAACTATATGTATCAAAAAAGAACACAATCAAATAAATGATCATGGCAAAGGAAAAAAGAAGAATAACTATGAGACCTCAGACCATTGTAAATTCTCACTTTTTCAATTAGAGAACTGATTTTTCTGCGCTGTGCAACGTCCAGATGTTCTTCTCCCGTCTGTAAAGTAACTTAATATGAGCATCAGATGCTAGAAGAATATAAAGTCCCAACATTACATGGAAAGATTCTTTTGTTCATGTTCAAGAAAAATTATATAAACTGGTATCCAGACCTGAAAAATTCCAGAAGAGTATTGCATTGTTTCACCCAAGTATAGAGTGAAAAGTCCATTACTCTGCAAACACAATTTGGGAGGAACTAATTAGCTTTAATTTGATAAATCCTGTTGCATATAGGCATTGTGAACAAAAGGACCTGTCTATGACCAAGGAAATCTTTAGCCTCAAGGCTCAAACTTGATTTTTTTTTTTTTTTAACTTTAGTAGCACAGTCAAAAACTTAAAACTGACAAGGTCATCACAAAAGGAAATTGTGAATATTGTTCTTATGAAATTTTTCCCCTGCAATGCTGCTTCCCAATACTAAAGAGCCAAATTAATGTAAAACAGTAAATTGGAACAACTTCAGCACCTCCAACCATTACTCTTAAGATCTTGTTAATGATACAAAAAGAGAAAAATGCTTATAATAACCTATAATTCATTGTAATCTACAAGCACCAAATATAACAGAGAAAAGCACGTTTGAGATCTTGGTTATGAGACCATTATCATGCTATCTAACCGGAGATTTTTGTTTAGGGCTGCTTTGACTCGGACAGTTTATTCAAGGAGCAAAAGCTGAGTGTAAATATACACAGATTTTCACCACCAAGGACCATGATACTTTTGATAAAGGTTTTCTTTTTGATGAGGTTCTTGTATATGTAGGTTTCAAAATTGTGATTAGTGGCTAGTGCAAGGTAACACCGAAAGAGAAAGGCAACTATGTAATAAAAATAACATCTTGGAAGGTGAATACAAAATATGTTGTTCTAATACCATGAAATTGAGTCATGATTGCTTACCAGATCATAATGACGAGAAATGTTCCTGCGAGCCTGTGTAATAGTATTTTGCCTCAAGAGATGCTTCAAGAAATACTTTGCAGATGCTATACCAGCAGTGACCAGTGCAGGTGACCACCAAGTCCTGCAACCATTTAAGTGCCAATGCTTAATAAACCAACTTTATTTATGGATTCTACCAGTATCTCAATCTAGATTCTTCTCCAAGTTATAATAAACCTTCTTTTATTCTGTCCTGAGGCAGAAGAGTTCAACTCTTTATTGGCAATTAGTATCTGCAAAATTGTCAATGAAGATTCTGATAAATTTTAAGTATCTAAATTGTACTATATTTATAGGAACAGATCTGGATAACCTTTTCTTACCCGGAAAAGATTAAGAAGACCTGATTCTTTATCAACGAAAGAAAAATCTCCATTGATATATGCATCTGCAAGGCCTATATCAGCTTCTTTCATAATCTGGAGGAAAACACATATAATGCTCATCAGCACTGATGACAATTGTGTGCCTTACCATGCCAGGTTCAAATTTTATAAACAAAAGGCACTCGATTTTAATATTAACAACTAATCCAACTTGATAGGAAATTCAATTAGAATTCAAAATAAATGTCAAATATGAATTGGGAGTAAGTAATGTCTAGTGTCTACCCTCCAGTAAAACTGAGGATTGTGCACTTTCAGAACTGTTTTAAGAGGACACTTTTCCATGCTTCCTTTGAAAGTGAGAATTCTGCCTCCTTCCTCTAAGAAACTGGTGAATGCCACATGGTAAATTGTATCAAATTCAAGAAAAAACATGTAGTGAAATTACAAAATGCTAAAAACATTGACTGGTTATTTTTAAGAACTTACATTACGCAGCCCAGTTGTATAAATTGTTGAAAGAATTTAGTAACAAAAAGACGTGCCGTTGTTTCCATGAAAGAGGGTGACATATGCTTTGGACTGTCCAGAACAGAAGAATGCTTTCCCAGGATACCATGTGCAGCATCGACACCAGCCTGAGAAGAAGAGCACCTCAGAAGAATGCTATTAGTGAATTGTAACTTCATTGCAGCCTAAACTAAAGGTATTTAACTTACTGAAATAAAAGTGAACCATTGTTAGAGTTAGAAATAAGCAGAAATTACTAGCTAGGTACCTTTAATTCATCCTCATGGAAGTCATAGCCTGAAAGAATTGTAAACAGACTCAGATGAGAGGTAGTTGACATTATGCTATGTTATCTTATAATGAAAATACTAATAAAAGTTTAACTGTCAAGCTAATCAAGGTTTTAGATCACAAGGAATATAAAAGCACAGCGCATGACAGTGCCAGCAGGAATGATTGACTATCTTAAACTTATGATCCAAAATGTTAACTAAATAATGTAATATGGTCATCTAATCTCATGAGAAAAAATCTTACTACAGAACCAGATTCCTCTCTTCCCCTGAATTTGATTAAGCTCAAGTGAAGCTTTTGATGCAGCAACAGTGGGAATTGGATGGCCAGTCGACCACTTAAGCAAGGTATTGCCTGGGGTACGGTCTGGATTGAGAGTCACAAAAAATGGCTGACTTGGTTTCCCAACATTCTGAAAAAAGGTAACAAGAACCAGTCACCACTATTTAAGTTATAACCTGATAAACAACAAAGTATATTGGTAATTCTGATGAGATAAATGGTATCTTACAAGATTCTTCTGTGCTTCCCTAGATTTTACGCAATACTAGCAAACTTAATATTTTTTAGATTCTGAACTGTGTGTGAAAATCATAAGTTAACATCTAGTTTACTCAGAGAATTTGCTACAGACCTGTAGCACATTCAGCCAGTATGTTAAGCATGCTTTATTTTCTCTACTTCGGAGAAAATTCATTGCACTCCAAGCTGATCTGTCCTTGGGCATTAAATTGCTGTCACTGTGAAGGAAAATATCACTGCCAACAGAAACAATTGATCAGATTTCATGAATTTTAGTAGCTCAATTTCCATAAACTAAAGAAAATTCAAAATGATTATTGGCTATATGCAAATCATTCATTGAAAAGTTACAGACATAAGAATCATCCTTGGATTGAGAGTTCCCAATAAGAGGGAATTTCAGTATATACAAAATACATCTCAAATGATAAGAATGCATATTTTGTTTTCACAAGTTAAAATAGATTAAAGAGAATAAATACAAGTACCTGGAAGCATATTGGAATGCACCCAGTACTCTCTTTTCTTCATATGTTGCTTGGTTTCCTAATATTCTTAGGGCTGTGGGAGCATCAACAGCTATTACGCATCCATTGTACGTTTCTTGGAAACCATCTCCACAGACTATGGTGATACCTGCTAATCCATTTTTACAATTATCCTTGGAGGTCCATAAATCGCTGATAGGAAAAACGCGTTGCATCTAAATGGGAATTTACAAGAAAATGATGCTCAAAAGAAAAAAAAAATGTCATATTTTCCAGATAAATATTGAATGATGGATGGTTTTCTGTTTTCATTTTCCTTTGTCACATTAGGGTTATTTTCCATAATGCTAGAAGGGTAAATTTTCCCAACATTTATCCACTAGTTTGGAAAATATTCCTGATATAAAACTTAATACACAAATATGACAGGCAAGTACTCACCATTATCAGCAGGCAAAACAGAATTTACTTCACAACCAAGTTTAAATTGACAATCTCTACTCTCCAGCATGTCTCTGACCTGATTTAATTGAATTGGAATATATTTGTAGTTAGCTTACAGCAACAGAATCTTAAGCTTTATACTTTTGAACAACCTATTTCACAAATAAGATGAACATATAAGGGAATTGGACAGTTTCAGAAACTAGAAATGTGTACCTTTTTAACAAAATATGAGTGGCTTCTGATAGTTAACCACTGTGGATTCCCAAATAGCTGCACATGGAAATGGAAAAAAAATCAATAAACAAAATCGACATGATGCAACTTAAACCTACAGATTAGTGATCAAGACGATAATGCTTGAGAAATGATAGCCATAGGTACAGCTTGCCTTTTGGAAATTAATCAAATACCTGGTACAAATGATGATTGCGACAATATGAAAGAATGGAGAAGGCTGAAAAGCCCATAACCTCTTCCTGGGAGCAGGACAATACTGAACCACATATGGGAGCCTATAAAATTTCAATTGATTAATTCCAATAATTGGTATAATAAAAGCTCAAGAATTGGATGAAATGTATAAATTCTTCAGCAGCTCACCAGATAAGAGTTCTTAAAATTTTCAGAGTAACCCTTAGAATTTATAAACTGCCCCAAGGTTTCATTTCGATCAATGTCTGGATTGTGCTCAAGTGATTCAAGGTAACTGCAAAACATGGAGGACTATACAGTTAAAATGGTAATAAAAAGAAATCTCAAATTGTCCAAATGTATATGACAAGACAATGAATGGCTAACCTGTTGACATCATTCCCGAACTTGGTAATTTCTCTGAGGTCTGGCCAATTGTAAGGATTCAACATTTTCCTCTTGTGTGCAAACTGGTTTGAATAGCCATATTGGCTGCACCACTCATAGCCATTACCTTTGTCATGGCTTACAGAGAATGAAACATCAGATGCTTCCACATCAACTCCAAGGCTATCAAACAACTCCAACATTGTTGGATACCTTGCCTGTCAAGTTATCCATATCATCATTTTTCTCAAATCCAAATTTATCCAAAGAAAATTACAGCAAAACATTAAAGCTTTGAAGTTTTATACTTACCTTTAATGGTTGAAATTTTAGGCTAAAATACTAAAAACAATCTTTGTACACTTCCATATTTCATTAATAAATTAAAAATTTATCTGAAACCCTAATGGATAAAATCTCTTCACAGTAAACATTTTCTTTGAATGATACTATGTGAAGCTTTTGTGGGTTCTAAAAATATTTGGACAAAATAACTTGCTAATCAAATTTAAAGGTTACAGTAGTTTAACATTTACAAATACAATTTGAAAGTGATTGTTAAAGCTGTCACACCATTAACAACCAATAGAAAATAAAGAAGCCCACGATAATGCACATGCGAGATAGTAACCAAATTAAAACTATTTGTTGGGAATTTCATGTATTTATAAGAAATATTGTATGTGTATTACATATATATATTAAAATGATGATAAATTTCACATGTTAATTAATTAGAAACACCTTAAGTATGTAACATATTAAAAAAAGCTTTATTTTAGAATGTTTATAAATCAAATCAAATCAATTTCGATTGAGACTTCTTAACTCTTGTCCAAAGTTTGATCTAATTCGATCTAATTAGATTCAAATAAGTTCAATATTATTCAATAAAAATATTTAAATTTTTTATATTTTAAATTAATAAAAATTAATATTAAACAAAAATAATTCTCATTAATTAAATAATATTCCAAGCTAGGTTAGACTTGGATTTGATTGAAACAGGTCAATTTCATGTCTACATACCTTCCTAAAATTTAACAAAAATATATATTTATAGCTTAATATTTATGTATACATCAAACAAAAAAGTTGAGTAATGTGTTTATATAAATAAATAGATATGTATATCATGAATATGTATATGCATACATATTTATTTACAACAAGAGATCAATTTATATAATATAAATATAAAAATATTTTATACATTTTTATAATTATTAATTTTAATAGATCTAAAAAAATAAAAAAAATTAGAAAAATAATTTAATCACATCACTTAAATTTATTAAAATTAATAATTAAAAAATATATAAAAATTCTTTTTTATTTATTAGTAATATATTAATTGAGGTGGTCCATAGTCCATAGGCAAGCTTGAAGGCCTTCACGCACCAGGTGGCTCTCCCTCCAAGCGTGCAGCTAATATTTTTGTTATTAAAATTAAATAATTAAAAATTGCATTGAATTTTTTTTGCCAAGTGGTTGGTAGGTGGGAATTTCCCAAGAATCTTAAAGATCTGTCAAATACTGTACTGCAAATTGAATGAACTTTGTCCATAAGCCGGAAAGATACACTGAACTTCCCAAACACACAGTAACAGAGAAAAAAAGGAAATATCAGACCAAAAAAAAAAACCTAAAACTGTTATTTTCACGATGTTTTACTAGAAACACAGATCAGCCAAAAGTAGCAGATGGACAGTAGGATAGCAATAATATATCTTTTTTTAGAAAGCTTGAAAATTTGGAACCTTGAGATGTACTGTTTTGCACTTGCCTGTAAGGCCTAGAGAAGAGTACCTATTTTGAGATGCCATTTCTTTTTAACAGGTTGGTCTCTGCCGCTCATTATGCACAGCAAATGACACAAAAATCAAGCATGAATTGAGCCACTCAATCCAAATCAAGCTACAGGAAACAAAAACGGAATCCCCACACCCTACAACTTCTGACCCACCAACCCATGGAGGATAAGATATGCTACAATTATGTGTAAGTACTAGCTAGGAATCTGAAGACTGTTTATCCTTTGGGTTGTTGGAAAACTTAAATTTCTGCAAAGCAATCTCAAAGCTAGGAGAGTGACTGATGGGACAATAAAAAACACTTAATATTATTGTGTTCTTTTTAAGGAAAATTAGTGTATCTGTATTTTTTTTCGTACATATTTTGCATACATAGAATACGTAAAGAGAAATTATTTGATTTAGCAGGATTATACATGTTTTATTTTTTAAATATATATTAAAAATATATATTATTATTTTAGTTTTGTCTGTAAGATTAAAAAATTTTATTTTTGGTGTATTAGATAATTTTTTATAGATAAATAAAACAACTCCTTTTTCTTCCATACATTGGTGTACGTAACCCATTATTAGTTCAATCAAAATAATTGCACTTTAAAAACCAAAAAAAAAAAAAAATGCACTTTGCATTCAAAATTTTAATTTTAAAAAATATAATCTATTTAATAAAATAAGAGTTTAGGTTAAGCATTGACTTAAAAAATCATATGTGGACAAAATATTTAAATGCATGAATCTATAAACTTTTTTTCCTTCAAAAAGGTTTTTTTTTTTTTTTGGAAGAAAACAATTTTTGCACAAATAATAATAAGAAAAAAAAAGAAAAAATAACCAAATAATGCTTTAATAATCGAATCAGAGGTTAAATAGGTCTGAAATTTTATGATTAAAAATTAAAAATATGATTTGAGTATTAAATAAATATTAAATATTATAAATAGCTAATAAAAACATATATTTATTTTAATATGGTACGATTACTAAGAAAAGCTAAAGATCAAAAGTTCGAAAAACATATACTAATGTTTAATTTAATGGTTTGATTACTAAAAAAAAATAAAGGATCAAAAGCTCAAAGCCAAAAAAATTTCCCAGTTAGAAAATAAAATTTAAAAAAAAAACACAAAAAAAAATGAAAAGGAAAGAAGAAACTTACAGGATTGAGAAACAATAAACCAAGGTCTAAGTCAATGCCATCAAAGGTAACAGTCTTGGCATGGCCACCAAGTTGCTCTTCTTGCTCATAAACCACGACGTTGACTCCAGCTTTGGCCAGAACGTAGGCCGAAACCAGCCCTCGGATCCCACCTCCGATCACGGCCACTCCCATTTCTGATATCACAGCCACCAGCACTCACTGCTACCCCTGCATTTTAAGTTGAAAATCAACTAAAGTAACAAATGAAAAGGAAATGCAATAGCGTATATTGACGACTTAATTGTCTTACGGCAAGGATAAGTATGCCTCAAATTTCTCCAAGTGATACTAATCAAACCTGACACAGTCAAAAAAACAATTCTATATGTGATTCCATATTGGTTTCTCAATGGTCATATATATAAGAAAATGTTTAACAGTAACTATCGAGGGAGGGGACCGACACTTGTTAATATATTTCTCTAGGATTCCAGGAAAAGAGTGCATTAAACGACAATTTATTTTTTTAAAATATGTTAAATGTTGAATCTGGTGGAATTTAATATTTTTCTAGAATGACTCTATGCTGAGTAGATTAATTATTTTAATATAAAAATAATAAAATAAATAAAATAATTATAAAATTATTAAAATTAAATATATATTATATTTTATGTATTATTATTTTATTTTATTATAGATAATAAATGATAAAAAATATTAAAAAATACATCCAATTATGATCTAATATCAAACAAACTCCAATTTGTATTCTTCAATTGAGAATCATTCCCACTTGGAGACAACTTTTACTATGTTATTAATTAATTTATCTATGAAAAAGTTATTAGCACTTTTATCTGTCTAAAGATAGTACCACTTAATCTTATATTTAAATAGTCTTTTATTTTTAATTAAATTTTATTGTTTAAAATATCAAAAAGTTTTTAATTTTTCTCTACTATTTTTGTAAAATTTCAAAAAAAAAATTACTTAATCTCAAAAGTATTCAAAAAATTTGTTTGTTTTTTTAAACAAACTTCCTGTTGGATTACTTTAAAATTTATAGAAAAAAGTTTATTTTTACTAAATATTTTATTAATAATAAATAAAATAATTTTATTGAAATACTTCCTAAATCTTTCCAACACTTTTAGTATGATTCTAAGAAAATTCATCACTTAGAAATTTCAAGCATCACTTGCAATTTTTTTAATTTCATCATTGTAAAAATTCTTATTTATTTCCAAATTTTTTAAAATTCACATGATACAAATAAATAAATATGATTAAAAAATTTAGAAATTTATTTGTCTAACAAATATTTTAGTTTTTTTATTTTACCAATTGATTAAAACATGTTCCTAATATGAAATTTTAAATATGTATGTAAATAAAAATAAATAAACAATTAATTAAAAAATAAAAATAAAAATATTAAAATAAAAAAATAAAAAAATAAAGAAAGACATTTGATTCTCATGTGTCGGTGACAAAGAAAAAAAAAAAGATTTTCTCCAAATCTATTTTTATTAAAGGATATCGTTGTCAAACGGAAGACATTTGATTCCCTGCATTCACATCATATCAAAAAGAAAGATATACATATAAATAATAAAAAATAATATGATAATTAAAAAAATAGAATCAAAATTTATTTTTCATAGAAATGAGTAGTTCGAGAAGATCAAAATTAAGATTTAATATGATTTTTTTTTATTTTTCACACAATAAATTTTAAAATTATAAGATATAAAATTTAATTTATTATTATTATTATTATTATTGTAGGTTCATAAAATATACAAAACAAGAGCGATTAAATAAAGAATTATAATTTCAAAGTCAGGAAGACCAAAAGGCCAGAGACTAAATGAACAAGAGAAAAGGCAATAAGGGAGTGAATTAGATTTGATAATTTAATATATAATATGATAATATGATATAAAAAATATAAAAATAATATGATTTAAAATTTTAAAAAATTATTAATAAATATAATAAAATTAAAAAATTATATTTTATATTTTATATTTTTATATTTTATATTAATATAAATTATAATACATAATTTTTATATAAAATATGATATAAATATAATATTTTATATAATATGATAACGCGAATTATCATCTCAAAAGTCTTATAAATTAAGCTTAATTAATTTGTGGAATTTGTACACTAACACCCAATAAGGAGATGACACGTGGAATTTGCGTTGAATTAGAAATGACCAAGAAGGTGGTTGTTGTTAGGAGGGGTTGCTTTCGATTGCTGACTCACCAATCTTGATCTGCTCTGGCGGAGTTGACGATGAAAGCATCACCGTCTAGAAGCTAATATATAAATCGCCCACCTGGGGTGATGCTCTACATTCCACATGTCGGCTGAACAATTTTTTTTTTGTTTTTTTATTTTTTATTATATATTTTATTATAAAAAACATTTTTTAATAGTTAGGTCCACAACTTTTCCATGGGATCCATTTTTTTTTTTTAACTTTTCCACTATAGCTTTTTTATGAGACTATTTTTTTTATTTTTTATTATATAATTTTTTTGAAATCAACTTGATTTTTTTTTTATTTTTTTAATTGATCTGTTATATATTTTAAACTCACTTGATATCTATCAGGTGTTTTTTTTTTTAATTATTTATTATTTATTATTTATTTCATTTTTTATATAATCAATAAACAGTTTTTAGATTTTATTTTTTTATTGTCTTACTTGATATTAAATTTATGTCACGTGATGAGACACATTTATTGTTTTGGGTTTTTTTTTTTCAATTTTTTTTTTTAATGATTCATAATTTTTTTAACATGTGATTCAATTTTTTATTCTATTTTCAGTGAGATCCTTTTTTCTTTGTTTTTTTTAATCTTTTTGTGTTTTGTTTTTTTATTTATTTTAAAAATGTTTAATATAAATTTTGGGACCCATTTGATATCAATTTTTTAATTTAAAAAAACTTAATTAATCTTTTATATATTTTTTATTAGTCTCGTTTAATACCAAAAGTTTGTTGGTTATTTTCGTAAGTATTAGTTTTTTTCTTTTTTATATATTTAATAAATAAATTTTTAGATTTTATTTTTTAATAACTCACTTGATATAAAAAAATACGTCATGTGTTAAGTAATTTAATTTTGTTTTGCTTTTTTATTTTTTTATGTTTACATTTTATTTCTTTTTATTTAATAAATATTTTAACATATTTTTTATTTTTTAAATGTTGGGCTCATTTGATATTATTATTAAAAATATAATTTTCTAATTACTTTTTCTTTTTTATTTTATAATTTTTAAAAATAATATTAGTATAAATGTCAATGTGACATCCGAAATTAATTTTTTTGTTCTTTTTTAAATCTTTTTTATTTTTAAGAAATCCATTATATAATTTTTTAAATAAAATAATTATTTTTTATGTTATATGCCAACCCATTTTTTTCACCATTTTTATTTTTTATTTCTTTTTTGTATTTAACAAATATTTTTAATATTTTATTTTTTATGGTAGGTCTTATTTTATATTAATAATTAAATTTTTTTGTAATATTTTTGTAATTAAATAATTTTGCTAAAAATTCTATTAATGGAGATTTCAACTGGCATTCAAATTTGATATTTTCATATATTTTTTTTAAAATTTATGATATAAGAAAATTGATGTTTTAATCAATAAAATCAAATTGACTTCAAAAAAATTTACAATATAACCAAAATATAGTAAGTATAAAAAATAATAAAAAAGTAAATTAAAATAAAAAATATATAAATCTATGATATAAATTTTATAAGGAAAGCTTATCGTTGCTAATGTCGTATGGCAACTCAATCTTCTCTTTTTATTTTTTTACCTTTCCATCATTTTTAATTTTTTAAAAATTTTTCTTCTTTTATTATTTTTAATTAGATAACTTAAAAAGAAAAAATACATGTGAACACATGACACTTTTTTTTTTGGCTTTTTTTTTACTAAATAATAAATAAAAATTTAACTAGTAAATTAATTTCTTCAAAATAATTTTAATGAATATATGGATAATAAAACAACCCATATCCATTAGATTTCAATTCGTGCAAATCTAATAGGTATTTTTTTATTTGGGATCAAACTAAAGGTTTTTATAAAAAATTAAGGTCAAGTTGAATGTGAATTTATAGTGTTCCGTCTTACTTTAATTATATATATTAAATTATATTTTAAATAATTTATTTATTTATATATTTATATATGTATTATATTAATAAGTTATTATTCAATATTTGAATTTAATGAAAAATTTTATATATGCCTTAAATAAGATGTAATCCATCAATCTATTCACACATTATATATATTTGGTTCATTTTAACTTTAATTTGACTCTCATTTCAAATCTAAATATGCCATTTTATGTTTTTTTCTTTTTCTTTTTCTTTCAATAATTTTATAAATTTTTTATTTAGATAAAAATTTATGAAAAAAAATAGGTGCTTCAACAATATGCCAATGTGCCTTTTTTCCTTTAAATTTTTTTAATTAGTTAAATTTTGTAAACAAATGAAGTCAATTGATAATAACAGCAAAACAATTTATTACTTATTGACATATTACACTATTGTTGATACTAACAAATAACTATAAGTCTATAAGTAATTAATAATTGTATGATCTATTAACAGATTATTAAACTCTTAATTTCAATAATAAAAATTTAAATTTTATATCCATTAATCAAATTTTATAATATATATTATTATGCAATATAATATATTAACAATAAATTTTTTAATAATGAAGCAAATTTAAAGGTTGATTTAAAAGATAATTAATTATTTAATTATTAAATGAACACTAGTTAACAGTATATATAAAACCTACTACTTGTTGTATAGAATATAGATGATTGTATATATAATTAATATACAACTATCAGCTACTAATTGTTTCAGTGAACCTGCACCATATATTGTATTAAAATATATTAATCTAGGCTTTGCTTGTTTGGTAGTGTGAATAGAAAATGAAAAGAAAATTTAAATGAGTAGAAATTGAAAGAAGGAAAATATTTTTTTAATCTATGTAAACGATAGAAAAGATGAAAAATTTGAAAGTAAATTTAAGTTTTTTCATTAATTACATGATGATAAAGTTGAAAAATGAAAAGAAAGAAAATAACAATTATATTTTTTTTGTAAATTAACATAAAAAAACAAAATTTAAATATAATAGATAATCTTAAAAATATGCAACACTTAACTTTTACCCTTATTATTTTTCTGTTCCTACCATTTTAATTTTGAATAATTTATTTTTATGAATAACTGTAAAAAATATCATCTTTCCTATTTTTTTTTCCTTTCACTTTTCTCTCAAAGTACATCCAAGATTCATTTTCTATTTTACCAAACACATATTTAAGTTTTGTCCGATATA